GTAGGAGTTGTGAGTGTATCCCTGTCAGATATGCGCTTATATCTCGAAATTCGGAACCCCACTTCATCGTCTGAGGTGCCGCACCCGTAAAAAGCTAAGTTGACGAACATTAGGTGATCAACTAGCTAGGGTTTATGGAGAGTATATACTAGATATTTGTATATATATATATATAGATTTACTGTATATATATATAATGATATATATATATATATTATACCTATATAATAACTATACTTAATCTTAGTTAATGGGATTTTGCAACCAAATTCGAACCGGGGCCCCACCTTGTACATTTTGAACCATAGACCGTCCGCTTGGAGTTCTGCAGGGCTCGCCGTCCCACCTTCGGGGCGGTTCTCGTTTCACGGATGCTGATGGCGGGATAGCTTCAAAGAGACTGACGAGAGGTCTGACAATGGTTGCAATGTGGGGCCCCCTAGATAGCTAAGTTGGTTTATAACTCCAATAACTATGGTTTATAGGTGATATATCTATAGTTAATGGGATTATAAACCAACTTATAACTGGGGGGCACCACCTTGTGTCATTGTTGCACCCAAAAAAATATCAAAAATTCAAGCTGATGATGAAACCTCAAACGCTGGGTCTTTCTCACTTTGAAGAATAGTTCAAGGAGGGCTATTTTATTTTTGGATGTTTTTCTCGCGGCAGGTTTTGGATTTTTTGGGGGTTTCTGGTTCTATGCTCTCCTGCTTCTTTGCTTTCCTGCTTTTCTGCTTCTCTGCTTTTCTGCTTCTCTTCTTTTCTGGTTCTCTGCTTTTCATGCTTCTCTGCTTCTTTGCTTCTCTGCTTTACCTGGTTTTTTTCTTTTCTGCTTCTCTGCTTTCCCTGCTTCTCTGCTTTTCTGCTTTTGTGCTTCTGTGCCTTTCTACTTTTTTACTATTCTACATGTTCTTTTCTTCAGTCATGTGCTTTTGCTGCTCTACTTCCTGCTCCTCTGCTTCTCTGCTCCCTATCTTTACGGCCTCCTGTTTTCTTCTGTTATTGTGCTTTATTCTCTTTGTTTTGTAACCTAAATGAAACCCTAAAGACCCTAGGTGAAACCCAAAGAAACCCTAAAAAAATCCTGATAAGAACTCCTGATAAGAAACCCTGCATGAAACACTAAATGAAGCCTAAATGAACCAGAAACCATAGATTAACCCTAAAGAAACCATAAATGAAACCCTAAAGAAACCCTAAAGAAACCTTAAATCAAACCCTAAAACCCTAAAGAAACCCTAAAAGTAACCCTAGATGAAACCCTAAAGAAACCCTAAAGAAACCCTAAAGAAACCCACATGAACGTTTGAAAATCCTGATAAGACATCCTGATAAGAAACCCTACATGAAACCCTAAAGAAACCCCAAATGAAACTCTAGAGAAACCCTAAACCTAAAGAGACCCTAAATGAAACCTTTAATGAAACCCTAAATGAAACCTTTAATGAAACCCTAAATGAAACCCTAAATGAAACCCTAAAGCAACCCTGAATGAAACCCTACAGAAACCCTTAAAGAACCAAAAATGAAACCCTAAATGAAACCCTAAAGAAACTCTAAATGAAACCCTAAAGAAACCCAAAATGAAACCCGGAAAGAAACCTTAAAGAAACAACCCACATGTACGTTTGGAACTCCTGATAAGCAACCCTAAAGAAACCCCAAATGAAACTCTAAAGATCCCCTAAATAAACTTAAAGAAACCTTGAATGAAACCCTAAACGAAACCCTAAATGAAACCCTACAAAACCCTAAATGAAACCCTACATAAAATCCTAACTGAAACCTGAAGAAACCCTAAATGAAACCCTAAAGAAACTCTAAATGAAACCCTAAAGAAACCCTAAAGGAAACCCTAAATGAACCCCTAAAGAAGCCCTAAAGAAACCCACATGATCGTTTCGAAATTTTGATAAGAACTCCTGATAAGAAACCCTAAATGAAACCCTACATGAAACCCTAAATGAAACTCTAGAGAAACCCTAAATAAACCTAGAAAAGAGCCTTAAATGAAAACCTAAAGAAACCCTAAAGAAACCTTAAATGAAACCCTAAAAAACACTAAATGAAACCCTAAATGAAACTGAATGACATCCTAAATGAATTCCTCAATGAAATCCTAAATGACACCCTCAAAAAAAAAACAAAATGAAACCCTAAAGGAAAACCTAAAGAAACTCTCAAGAAACCCACATGAAGGTTTCAAGTACCAAACTGTTGCAAATACAAGGCAAATGGTACCAGGTTTCAGAAAGCAAAAACAAATCAAAAACTATTCACCCATAGTTCACCCCAGGACCCAGTTGGGTTCCATGTTGGTCTTCCTGTACCAGATCCAGGTGGCTTCTGTTGCATCCCACAGTGCTACCGTTGGCAACTGCATGTGATAGCGCTGAAAGTACTGTCCATGCATGTACATATATTGTGTATGTGTATGTGTATGTGTATGTATATGTATATGTATATATATATATACATACATAGATACTCATATACATACATACATACATACATACATACATACATACATACATACATACATACATACATACATACATACATACATACATACATACATACATACATACATACATACATACATACATACATACATACATACATGTGTCTATGACAATATTTGTGTTGTTCATAGTCATCTTATATATATATATATATTATGCATGTTTCTGATCATGTATTTTCTGTAGAGGTATCTATTTATTTATATATATATATATATACACAATTGACTATACATAATACATGAATATTAATATCTTGTAATGTGGCATCTCTACCTGCAATGACACTTCAGAAGACCGTTTTGGAGATGGGCGGCTCAAGCACCTGTGGTCGTGTTCCATCCCAATGGAACACGCAGCCAGCGGAAAGGCCCAATATTTGGAGATCCAGGGGTAAGAATCATGTACAACTAATCAACTATAGTAGCAGCATTAGTATACAAACATAGTATGATAATATGATATTTGGTTTGATATTTGCTTTCACCATCCAATAGTACGATATTGACAACCATAAATCTATCAGGTTGGATATTGGTTGTCAAACTAAACATCAATCGGTGTATAGATTCAAGCAACTTGATGGAAGACCAAGGCCTTGAAGATGAAGATTCATATGGAGAGAGGTCATGAATTCAGCTTCGGGATAGTCTTAAAGATGTCTAAGGACTATAGCCTCCAGTAATTTTTCAGACAGCCATGGAACATGGTCCATTGATAGATTTTTGTTTGACCTATTTTTCAAAAGCTGATGTTAATAACGATGTTGCAATATATCAGAGGATATCAGATTCTCCACCTTCAACATATCTGAGCCACGCCGTGCAAACTTTCTAATCGTTCCGTGTCACGGAAGATGAACCCGGAGGAGATGGGCTGGGGATTTTCGCTGTTGACAACTGTGGAGCCCTGTTGAAAGTTATAGTCATTACAGGCTGGTTGGTGGTTATGGTAGAATGTTTTGAAAAGTAGTGATGGTTAATAATGGTTAATGAGGGTTGATATCATAGCGGTTGATGATAGTTATTACTGGTGAATAGTGGTTAACGATAATTAATGATGGCTAATGTGGTTAAAACAATGCCATAAACCATCCCCCAGTCATCACCATTTTTATAGGTGGTATTTTACCATTAGATGGTTGGTTCATGTATTTTTTTTACCCACATGAATGATGAATAATGGGTTAATAGTCCTAGTGAATAGGACTATCATGGGGATTTCATGGGAATATTATGGTTTTTGTTATTGTTTTACCCACAGTACCTGGTTTTTTTTCTGGGAGTTTTGTCCCTCACTTTCGCCACCTTGATGTGGACGTCTCTTGTTACGTTCCCATGGAACGCTGAGTACAGTAGATGGCGTATCCCTACTACAGGTGAAGTATATATATATATATATTACATATGTATATACCCTCTGGTAATTTAACATAGCTATTGAACATGGCCATGAAAATAGTTTCATTACCTATTCAAAATGGTGATTTTTCATTGCTATTTTAAATTACCAGAGGGTATACATATTATCTATATATTATATATGTATACTGTTCCGATTTGGCTAATTGTAAACCAAGGGATTTAGCACATGTCCTTTGCCCACTGGTTTGTTAACACAGGGCTGACCTTCATTGAAGAACTACAATGGTAATAGGCAGTAAATGAATGGTGTCAAAACCATACCATCTAGTTGTTCTAAAGCAATGTGAACCATTGATTCAGCATGGTTTGACCAGTTCATGTAAGCATTGTGAGTAGCGCTATTTGGAGTATAAACGCTTGCGGTGAGAAATTGATCAAAAATATGAGAGTAGAACCGAAATCTCTCGGAAAAGAACCAACATGTTTGCCCACTACAGGTAGCGTTGTCAAGGTTCAAGAAGGGATCAAAACCTACAAATACGATTTTTAGGGTGATGAACATCCATTTATCAGCTGATGTTCATGACTCTACATGGTTTTGAACCATCAAATATTCATTCACCTCATGCTTGAGATGAAACTGTGGTAGTTTTCAACATGACGTACTTCTTACAAGTATGGAAGATGTTTACTTATGTAAATGTATAGATACATTATATATGAGGTACATTTACATACTTGTAAACCTTTGCTTGGCTTGGACAGACGCGTATATGTATGAACATGTATTAACAATGTGTGCACATGTGCTGACATTCCCCCCACACATGCAGACAAATAGAAAAAAATACTTTTTACACCTACATTGGATGTGTACATTTTCATATATATATATATATATGTAATTATATATATATATATATAGAGAGAGAGAGTGTGTGTGTGTGTGCACATCCCATGGATATGAGTCAAAATTGGTTCCCACTAACAGTGGTTCACCTGTTTCCTGTTCAAAAATTCTCCGGTGAAATCGCCACCAGGTGGATCTAGGTCGTTGGTCCCCCCTGGTCTCAGGATCACAGGGTCCAAGAGGGTCAATACCCTCCACATGAGACGCCCCTGGAGACGGCCTGGACTTTTTGGTGCGACCGGGGACCCCGGGGAATACCGGGGAATACCGGGGATCGAGACATCACGGGACTGGTTGAGGGGCGAACGGTGACCTGCCGTCTGTGTTGTTTTTTCGTCACGTTTGTCCACCTCGGAAGATTTGGACCCATTGCATCAGCGGAATTCAGAATGGGATTGATCAACACGAACAGAAATGTGGAGAAAACACGGCAACAAAATGTGGATAAAGACATCGAGCCTTGAAAGACGGAGATCCAGGCGAATTCTAGCGACCCCTTGGAGGTGTATCAGAGAGTTGTTGTAACGGTCTCCGCAATGTTTGGTTTCACCAACTTTCAGCTGTTTTGTTTGCCCCAGCGAGAACGTGTCCTTGTTTTTTTCGGGGGGCTTCCAGGTACGACAAAAAGACCAGCGACCGGAAAGAGAGCGAACAGTACCTGTCTCACAGCAAGGGGCCGGTCCACCAGGGGCCAAGTTCCCTGAAAAGTACGCGGGATCAGAAGGGATTTATCATTGTGTATCAGCATCCCTAACCAAAATCAACCAACAGCAGAGGTGAAGTCATATAGATATGTTACGCATCTATCATCTAAAGACTATACCAATTTTATCCAGTTTTATGCGTTTTTATACGTAGCAAATTGATGGTTTGGGTACTACTTACTCTTCGGCTACCGGAAGATCTGGAAACAGGTCCCTGTGAGTCCTCACAGTTTCACAATGTGAAGCACGTTTACCATGTCCCCAAGCATTTGGATCTGGCTCACAATTATAGATTGGCGAGAGCTAGATAATTGCATTTTTTGTTAATCGGTTAGATACCATTGATTGGATACCATTGATTTTGGATACCATGGTAGAATACTGTAGATACCCTGTCTTTGAAGTCTTCAGCGGTCCTAGCTTCAAAGTTCGAAGCCGGTGTCATCACTAACGGCCTGATCCAGCAGCAGTTCGATGATTTATGTTCCCGGATGTTCCCAGATGATCCCAGCCGACCCTGCATTGATGATCATCTTTTTTTATGGGTCCCATAACTGGATCCCAGCTTTAAAACCGATGGTCTCCAGGGATTTTCTTACCTTTCAAGGTACATGGAAGGTTTGAAGCAGCTGGGCAGCTTCAACACCGTGGAGGCGAGCATCAACGGGGAACTCAACAACCCCAAGCTGTCGCGCTGTCGCTGGAGCGGCGGTGTGTCTTCAAAATGGTGCGATGCGAGTCGCCCCCTTTTCTGTTTTGGTGGTTTGGAACCATGGTTTTTTTTTTGATTTTTCCATTCAGTTGGGAATGTCATCATCCCAACTGACGAAGTCCATCATTTTTAAGAGGGGTAGGCTCAACCACCAACCAGTTGTTGTTTTTTACAAGTTCACTGAGGAAAATGAAACGTACCCGGTAATTATCACTGTCTTCAACAGGTTTAATCCACCAAAAAAAAGGGGGTACGCGATGTTCAGACTGTCAGACACGCCCTTGTATCATCCAAATATGAGTGATTAGTGCATATCTGTGTCTAAATTGTTGAAGCCCCACATTCCATACATGTCGTTTTTTTTTCATAAGATGACCATCTTTTCGTGGGTTCATTTGTATCCATTGTTATACCCATCCCAGATCCATATGATCTGGGCTGCCCGACCTAGTCAGATCCGTTTTTTTGAGATGACCAAGAAGGTCCATCCAGAAGTTCAGGTTCCAGCATATGACCTTAGTTGGTTATATATATATATATTTATATATGTATATCTAATTATATATATTTACAATATTATTTATTTATTTATTTAGTTATTTATTTATTTATTTATTTATTTATATATTTATTTATATATCTATTTTATATATATATACACACATATAATATAATACATACATCTAGTCTAGACCCTCCAAGTACCCTTGAAAACGCTGTGATCTCTCTGATCTCTCCATAATCTTTGTACTTTCACATTGGGAGGTAACCGGGGGTACCTCTCAGGGCTTCTACCGCCACTACAGTTTCCTTCTGCGGCCTTCCGAGCTTCCCCGGGATCACAACGTGCGCGGAGGGGGATGATCATTGTCTTCCTTATATAATCTTAATTAATCTTATATAACTGGTTGGGTCCCGCAGCAGCCAGGTACTTCTCTTTCGCAAAGGCTACAGACCCATGTGGGAGGACATGGCGGACCCATGCTATTTCATGGCGAATCACGGGATTTGAATGGATTTGATAGGTGTATTTGTATATATATATATATTATATACATATATATATATATTGGTTGTTGGTTTGGAACATGTTTTATTTTTTCATATATTGCGAATAATAATCCCAACTGACTAATATTGTTCAGAGGGGTTGAAACCACCAACCAGTATATATATATACACATACAACCAACTAGGTCGAGCTGGAATCCCATTTAGCAGTGGTTTAGAGAAGAATGAACGGAATAGTCTGGACTAATATGGCATACGGTACTATATATTGAGAGGAAATGGACCCAGATAACATGGAATGATATGCAACAGCATGGGCTCATGTAGCTCATGTATACATACATGTATATATGTATATATATATATATACAGAACAAATTACTGTAATACATGTGGAATATGTGAGAAATTAAACTGATAGATAGATTGAATAACATGGAATGATGTGGAAGAAAAACACGGATTATCACCCGGAAAGACATCACTTTGAAAAGGTACAGTTATGACAGAAATGTGTAGTCAAGTCTGGCATTGCTGATCGGCAGTTTTTTCCATCATAGAAAGTCGTCTTCGCAACGCTTCCTGTTTTTTTTCTGCGAGCATGGCTCGTTGCCCCCTTAAAATTGTGCCCTGGCAGCCCCGCGTCCCAGGAGTTCCCTGAGGGCGGTTGTTGGATCATCCGGATCAAGCGAAAGGCGCTGACTGGGGCTGACTGGGGATCCCCAGGTTTTTCATCTCCAGGTGAGTGCTTCGAAAAAAGGCCAGGTTAGTTGCGGATTCTCTGGGGGTTTACGGGTTTACTATCCAGATCTATCCAGGGATCACACTCCATGGGGTCCATGGAATCCAATCAAAATCGCAGGCCTCTCAGAACTACGTGAATCGCATGTGGGAGAACCTTCTGTTGGCGTTCATTGGCGAGGAGAGCGAACTGGAGTGTATTGCCGTGGATACATCATGAGAATTCATGATATATCTGGGATTCTAGGTACAGTACAGTTATATAGATGGGGTTATAAAACCAACTTTAAACTGGATTGGTTGATTCATGACACGAATCATCTTTGCTCCAACCAAAAATCTATAGGTGAATATAGCCACTTTTTGTGAAGCAACTCTGCTCAGGTTACTGAGACTGGGGTTTGAATCCAAAATCGGATACACAATTAATTAGCATAAGCTGGCCCTGTATCATCTGCATACAATGTGGGGCCCCCAAACGTTACGTTTGTTGGTTTATAACCCCATCTAACTATGGTTGTAACTAACATAAACCCTAGTTATTGTAGTTATAAACCAACTTAGTCATCTGCGGGGCCCCGCATTGTATAATTGGATGCATTCGCTGGATGGATGGATGGATGGATGGATGGATGGATGGATGGATGGCAGATGATGGATGGCAGAGGATGGATCCCCATCCCCTGGCATTGGGGCATTTTTATCGGCTTAGCCGGCTTGGCAATTTAACGTAGCCATGAAACACCACTTTTTTCGTACTGTAAATCAGCTAATCCCTTCCTCCTAATACTAAACCTCCCCCCCCCCAATACAAAACACGGCAAGTAGTTTTTAGTATTAGGGGGGTATTTATTATTAGGGAACCAAAATATTGCCAAAAATGGCAGTTCGAAGCTTACCCCTAATACTAAATTAAAACCCTTAATAATAAAAACCATTTTTTCCGATCTCAAAATCAATTAAATTTCCTTATATAACGCAATTAAAATATTGCCACAAATGGCAGTTCGAAGCTTACCCCTAATACTAAATTAAAACCCTTAATAATAAAAACATTTTTTCCGATCTCAAAATCAATTAAATTTCCTTATATAACGCAATTAAAATATTGCCAAAAATGGCAGTTCGAAGCTTACCCCTAATACTAAATTAAAACCCTTAATACTAAAAACTATTTTTTCCGATCTCAAAATCAATTAAATTTCCTTATATAACGCAATTAAAATATTGCCAAAAATGGCAGTTCGAAGCTTACCCCTAATACTAAATTAAAACCCTTAATACTAAAAACTATTTTTTCCGATCTCAAAATCAATTAAATTTCCTTATATAACGCAATTAAAATATTGCCAAAAATGGCAGTTCGAAGCTTACCCCTAATTGCTAGAGTAGCCAGGCAGCTTGGAGTGAGGGATTGGGACTAGGCCCCCCTAATACTAAACACCCCGGGGTGAACTAGTTTTTAGTATTAGGGGGGAGAACCCACAAATGGTAGGTTGATTTTTAAATTGTTTTTTAAAGGGGATCAATTAAAAGTCAAATTGGCCAAACTGAAATTTTCGGAAATTGGAGATGGATGCCTGTTTTTAGTATTAGGGGGACGTTTAGTATTAGGAGGAAGGGATTATTTTCATATAGGACTTAACTTCCATAGCATCATAGCTATGTTGTGCTCACAAAGTGGGTAAGCCAGCATCACCAAAGACTTGACTTCCCAAATCTTCATCGGTTTGTCTCATGCTTCCATCCCAATTTTGGGGGATCGGCTGATCCCAGCATCACTTCACCTGGCAGTTGTGCCAAGGTTTCTTTAAGCGACTTTCAGTTGAAACCTATGACCCCCCCTGCCAAAAAAAATGATTATACTACTGTGACCCGAAGTTGACCACTCCACTACAAGACCTTCCAGTTATGACTAATGACCATTCATTATTATGTTTGCCTTTCATTTCGGTGAATCATATGGAAGGTCGGATGCGGAGGTAGTGTAAAATGGTTTTCCGAAAGTTGAGCGGGCCAGGAACCCCACGGAGATCCGCGTGTTTAAATGCGGGCGCCGTAGTCATATCTAGTCATGACCAGTCCATTGAATTCATGGTCTGCCAGATCCTGATATACTCTGGTAAACTAACATAACTATTGAACATGGCATTTTTTAAATGGGTAAATCAACGAACCAAATGGCCATGTTCAAGTTCGCAAACTCGCGCTGCTGAGGAGTTTGAATTGCCCGACGTGGTGGGCTGTGTTCTATCAACACGCTTGAAGGACGCATCGGTCAAGCTGTTTGGGGCTTGGGGTTTTTTCTTCGATCATCCCAGTGAGTTCTGTAACTGGTAACCCTGGTTGTAAAACACTGATTCGAAAAAGGGATAATCCACGACAGAATCGGGGACTTTCGATCGCCAGGTTTTTCACCATGCTCCAAGGTGTGACTGGTGCCATGTTTCATGGACCAAGTTAGTTATGCTCGCTGAACCTTGACGTCCTTGATGAGTTATGTATTTTGGTGGGGAGTACATTTGAATGTTCCTATATAATCCTATATATATATATATATTCAAATGAACTTTGTATGGGATCAAGAGTTGCAATGGTTTTAGGTGTTTTTACTCGTACTATGTGTCATGTGAAATTGACCCGAAATTCCTCTGACGGCATGAAGGGATCCAATCCATCGAGCTCCGGAGGCCACGCCGTCAGAGCCGAACGTGGAATGCCAGAAAGAATGTCAGATAGAAAGTCAGAATATACATGCCATACTTCCAGATGATATGTCAAAAACTATGTCAGAAAAATGTGTCAGGGTGGGGGATCACTCGAAGTAAGGTAAATTCATTTCATATGTTCACCATTAAAAGCCCATTGGAGGAATTTCCCATGTTCAAAGGAACTCAACATTGATTTTATGGTTTGGGAACGTTTTGGGACATATACCATACATATTACAATATTATAGCCCATATGATATTCCATTACATCTCTTAGTTGATGCTTGCTTATGTTAGTTAAACCCGTAACCCCAACTACCGCAGTTACACGGCAGGATGACGTTCTCTCTGTCTGGAACTTGACCAACAGGGACAACGTGGTTCGGGCCCCCCAGTGATCCTTCGTTGCCCGGGTCGGGTTTGTGGAAGCATTGGGAATAACCCCCCAAAATGGCAGTTTGCCATATTTGATTTAAGCGGATATATGGAAATCATATCATAATATTCTATGTATATTCTATATGTTTTCTATGTATTTATATGTATCATATGTACAATATTTGCAACAATCTGGAAATTTACTGTAGATGTTATCCCAACATGGGGAATTTCCGGAATGGGTCTACCAGGCTCTCCGGGTCGTCATGAGCCAAGTTGATGTAAATCCTGGCACTCAGGGTCTCTGTCAGTAATGGGTTGCCCTATTTTCAGCTCATTTCCAGACTACTGTGGCATTCATGGAGTACGCAGAGCTTCATATGTGGAGCATTTGGAGCGTTGACATCTTTTGAAATCACATATCAACTTGTGTGTGCTCCTGTGACAGCCCCGTCACACTTTAGAGCAGGAACATATCATTAAATATTATATACATGCTATTAAAATATTGCGCTTTGCCATTCCAACATATCCAGACATATGAAGGGTAAAACTTGAAGTGGATATGATTAATCCATTTGATTTTTTCATTGGGGCGGGGGCATATGGTGGGTACTTGTAATTTATTAGGGGGAATGGATTAAAACATTTTAAAACCATGTAAAACCTGGGAGCAGTCAGCTGAACTGCGTTAAAACATAGGGAACAGACGCGGTCATTGGAGTTGTTCCTTCCAGCTGTTAGTCTTCTTAATCCATGTCTTGTGTACTGTTAAAAGGTTGATGATCATAGTCATAGTGTAGCATGTCTTAGCCATATGTTTAAGGGAAATTAAAGGTGCATGATATATATCTGCCCACATGTGTGTTATGATGTGTTATGTGTGTGGTCAAATTTGGTGGATATTCCTCCACCATGGAGGTTCATGGATAGCCATGAGATGTCAGGTACGACCAAGTGTTGGCTGCCTCTCAGCATTATTACATTACAAATCATGAAAAATTACCCTCCATCATCATTGGTTTCATTGTGACTCATGTGGTTAAACCATGTCAAACCATGTGAAACCCAATTTCTTCGGTATGGTTCGTATACATACAACCGATTGGGCGTGCCTAGCCTTGGTTCACTATCCCGGCCATGCCATCTTCTCGATCTCCGCATTGGAGCTCCGACCATGGTGACTGTGGAAACGTACCAAGGCCAGATTCAGCATCGGTGAGAAATTGAAGGAGGTGCTTGCTCCGTGGACGACTTCCACATCTGTAAATGATGGATTGTATGGAAATATCCTGTCAGTATAGAATGTGGTATCACAGTTTCTTTCCGCTTGGTGAAACATCACATTGTGCAAAACTTTCAATTTGACCAGACATGCGGGATCGCAAACAACTTTCTGTATCTTCCTGTAGTCTAAGACTAACAAAGAGGCAGATCTAGAAATCGGTGGAGTCACAAACAAATTCAGGTTCTGGTTGGTGGTTTGGAACATGTTTTATGACTTTCCATTCAGTTGGGAATTTCATAATCCCATCTGACGTTCACTCCATCATTTTTCAGAGGGGTTGGTTGAAACCACCAACCAGTATATATATAATATATATATATATATTATATAATATATATATATATTATAATATATATATATATATTATATATAATATATATATATATATATATCAACCATATATAAACCATATATAAACCACCAACCAGGGTTCCTTTTATGGACTATACGGTCGGTGGTTGTTTCAAAAAATCATCCATGGGATGATCCCGATGCCGATGCTGCCGATGATGCCGTTGCAGGTCTTGGGTTTGGATATGAACGCCTTGATCCAATACAAGGACCACATGCAAAGCCTTCAGGACCTGGGCTTCAGGGACCTGGAAAGTACCATAGAGGCGCTATGAAAAAACGGCGCATATGGAACATCAGCACTTGTTGAGGTAAATCATCGAAGTCAGGCCATTTTCCGAAGTTGATGCTTAGTTTACTAGAGGCCAATTTCAGTTCAGGATGATGACCCAAATGAAGGATGAGTCGGATATGACAGCGAAGTGGCGCACAACGCAACCACAAGAGAGAGAGAGAGAGAAGTTCAAGTACCCTCCAGCAAACTAACATAGCTATGGGAAAGGAACCATTTAATTGGATTAATTTCCTATTAAAAGTTGTGATGTTCCATAACCATAGAGCCATCTAACATATAGCTATGATAGTTTATCACAGGGTACACGAGTACGTTCTTCGGGGAATATTGCATCTCAGTGAATCGCGGGAAAAGAGCATACGATGGCCTTGATGGCCTCTCAGAAATCCTGCGATGTACCGATGTACCATTGATTTATCATACATTAACAAAGGGACATGAAAACATGCACTAACAAAGCATCATTGAAGCCACCAATGTTGATGGTAAAAGGTTACTAGTAGCAATTGTATATATATAAACGTTAACATGCATGAGCATACATATTATACAATATAGATTAAACAGATGCATTAACAATACATCAGCATACCTTAACCTACATTATCATACCTCAACACACACACACAAAAACATACATGGACCAATACCACACGTGAGTATTGTGTTTACTTAATAGGTTAACTATAGTGTTGAACCCCACCCCGAAACAGGTGGTGTTCATGGATAAAAGATTGATTTGGGCGAAGAAAAAATGACACCCTCACTGGCCAACAGAGAGCAACCTTGGATGATCATAAACATTTACCCGGCCTGGTTATGAGTAACAGTTTGCCATGGGAAATGATGGCCCATAGAAATAGATGGTTTACCGTTCTTAAAAATGGGTGGATCTTTCCATGGCTATGTTAAATAACCAGCTGGCAATATGTTTGTTTGGGGCCTGGGGGTTGAAAGTGCCAATCCGATGAGCGCAGTTTTTTTCACCGCGAAAAGCCACCGCGGTTCAGCCGCGCGAAATCGTTCGCCGCTCCTCTTAGTTCTCAAGCCCCACTTTTTTTGGATGGGAGACCAACATGGAAAACAAGATAGGCTCTGGTCAAAAACACAGGCTTCCGAGCTGTGTGCTACAAGGTGGTGCCCCAGTTCGTTAGCTAAGTTGGTGCAAATAACTCCAATAACTATGGTTTATGATATAGATATATCTGTAGTTAATGGGGTTTATAAACCAACTTATAACTGAGGGGCACCACATTGTAGTTTCAACTTCACGGTGAGTCGCAGCCTCCGTCGAGGACTTAGGCTTTGTTCTCCCGGCCGATTCCGTCGGGGAATATTTCCCGCAGAAGCAATTTTTCATCAGCCCTGAACTGATGGAACTTTACAAAGTGAGCATTTTCCCACAGGATTCCAGACATGATCTGAGTTTTTACCATATTTCAAACATCAGACGTACAATACATAGCTATATAGCTATAACTACCATAAACCCTAGTTATTGTAGTTCTAAACCAAATAGCTATCTTGGGGGCCCCACATTGTAGGTCTTGTTTACCAAACACTCAGTCCTTTTGGCACCGGCCGCACCGGTATCATCGCAGAGGCAGTGTTTCGTGGATCGCTGGGTAAACCTGGGGTGGGTAGTTGTTGCGCCAAATAGATGGGAACTAAACGACTCCGACTATACCGTACCCAGCAAACCCTAAGGAATATTTTTTACTGCACTTATAGCCCTCTATTGCACTTATGTTACTGGTGTATTTCATGATATTTCTCACCAACTAGTTTTATGAGTTATTTCATCCCATTTACAGCTGTGGTTGCCAAATTGCCAAAGATTTGCCGCGGTTTTGTTGATCAGCCAGTGGACATGTCCAAGCGTTGAGCTCGTGCCAGTAACCAGCAAAACCAACGAGATGGGTAGAGGCGGATAGGCCAAAACAAGACAAGACATGACAGCATCCCACAGCTTTTCCACCACAACCAACCATCTAGGGATTCTATCCCCATATTTAAAAGAGGGATCTTTCTCATTCGGATTTTAGAATATAATGCTTCCATGATATAGGATTATTTATGTATATATATATACATATATATTATAATATTATAATATTATATATATATGATCCCATATTGTATAGCGTCACCATAAGCCTAATTCAACGCCCACATTGGGGATGCATCCTGAGCAGGTCGGTGTCGCCATGCCGTCTCCCATGGAGGAGAAGATGAAAGCCATGTCGGGGAGCCCGGCGGTTCGGATGACCATGAAGCCTACCTGGCCTGGTAAACGTTTCCAAAAAAACATGGAAAGATCCACCATTTTTTTATGGGGAAATCCACTATTTCTATGACCATTTTCAATAGCTATGTTAGTCATTACCAGGCCGGGTAGTTTCCGTTGACTTCATAGATTTTGGACAACATGCCCAGATGCTCCATGGTGCTGGATTTTGTTTTACCTACATTTATTTACCCCAAAAAATGGCCCAGTCATGTAGGGTAAAAGTCCAGCTCCGTGGAGCATCTGGGATGGGCCCACTTTGAACTGGGGACTGTCGCGGGATGGTCGTGGTTGATATGCTGAGCCAAGGTCACAGACACAGAGAATGGGGCTTCCAAGCAACGTTTGGTACTTTTTTGTCATCAAACCTCACCTATAAACTGAAAAACTCAATAGCAAGCCATGGATTTTCCATTTTCCCAGCTATAAAACCTCCATTTAGTTTGGGGGATTGGATGATTTTTCTTGATTTTTGGCTCAGATGCACAAAACAAACGGGACATCGTTGAACAAGTGATTTCTCTGGGGTGGAACTTCCCCCAAAATTGTAGTGGCAAAGGGATCCCTCGGCATATCTGAAAAGTGCCATCCAAAATTGTTGATTTCTAACGGGGATACCAACCAAGTAGTCATGGGACCTTGGGATATCCCAATTTTGAACAGACTCCTGGGATGTTTAAGCGCATTTTACGATACACACATGTTGTTTACCCTCTGGTAATTTAACATAGCTATTGAAAATTGCCATTTATAGTGGATTTACCCATTGAACATTGTGATTTTCCATAGTTATGTTATATAGTTTACCAGAGGGTAATTATTTGTTACCTCAGACAGTGATGCCAAGGATTCCCCGACAAATGCCCGCTACCAAGGTTAGCCCTGAATGCCAGGGGCGGCAAAGAGGACTGCCTGCTGCGTGCATGCAACCTGTGTACCCAGGGTCCATCCGTGGTTAGAAAGTGAGCTCCATGGGTTCCTCTTCAAGATGCTCCAGTTGCAATTTGAGTGATACTCTCAAGGAAATTCAGGTGGATATGGGAAACCCACAAAAACCTTGGATATATGTCATTTCCCCTAGGACATGATCTATAAACAATGAAGTAAACAGAGAATTTTCCAGATTGATCTGTTTTTCAGTGCATCTCACAGCCCCTTCTCTCGCGGTCTCGCTAACCTCCGCGAATCAGAAGATGCGGAAGGTCTAAAACATGATTTTAATGGAATCTATCCGGAGATTTCAATAGATTTCATAGGTAGAGTTGATGGGTGTATAGTATATACCCAGTAAAATGATGATGAGTGTGTCTGAAAATACCGTGAAGTAAGAAATGCAATTTTGGGGTTTTAAGCTATGGGATTTTGCGGTACCCATCGGTATCCTACCTTCTTTCCAGACAAACTAGGATATGATACCACATGATGTTTGTGTTTTCTCGCCGTGAGCAACATGTAAAATGTAAACATCTTGGGTTCAATGGTCTGGGCAGAAGTAGAATAGTATTCGCAATATGTGGCACGCTCATGCTCTTTGACTGGTTCGACATGGCATGTCATGGCGTGTACCCAACCCTGGTAGGGTTCGTAATAGAGTGTGGAATAAAATAAGCGGCTAAAAACGGCTAAAACCAAACGTTTTGCTGTCAAGGATTGTCAACCACAACATGTTCTTTTAGAGTACTGTAAGGTACAGAGCTAAACCTGTATTGTACACGTTTGTGCGTTCAGTATCAAAATGTTAGCCATGTTTCTTGAACGTGACATTTTGAGCTATACTGTGCATGGATTGTAGCATATGTTAGCCTTACAAATATGTTGTTTAGCCTTCTTTTGGATGTCTTTGGATCTTTCCGGGACTCGCTAGAGTGAGCGACCAAGATATATCAAGATCCCAGGAGAAGTCGATGGTCCCTCAGGACGGCGGCTGGGGACTGACGTGCGTGGGCCGTGGGCATTTCCGGTTCAACGGCTAGGGAATCTTGGGGGATCTTGGGGTTATTCTCCCATCAGACCATATCTAACCCATGTACTGGGCGCTACCCTCTGGTAAACATACAAAAAACTTTGGAAAGATCCACCATTTTTTATGGGTAAACCACTATAAATGGCCATTTTCAATAGGTATGTTAGTTTACCAGAGGGTATGTGGGTGAGCACTTGACGGGACCCCCGGTGTATTTTTCCCGGAATGGGTTGACATGGGTTGACTTTCCCAGGAAACGCACATCGCTTTTTTGGTGAAGGCACCAAACCCAGTATCGCCCGGGCATTTTGCAACATCGAAGGTCGGCCCCGCAATAAGGCTTTGGTTTAGAAGCTCCATGAATACTGTAGTTATATCCTTCGTGAACCCAACAGTTAGCCAATGTTAGCCAAGTGATGTAGGTCAACTTAGCCATCATAAATCAGTTAAACAACTGATTCCACACACAAACACTGACTCATCCTCATTTTTGCTTGATGAAAAAAAAGACATTTCTCGATGGTTTCGGGGCATCGAGCTTCGCGAGCTTCGCGGCAGGAGAGTGCCCTCGTTCTTTCAGAAGGGAATCCTCAAGCTGGGACAAGAGGCCGCCTGTGAAATCCCCAAAGGTCGATTAATAGCCCAACCAGGATTTCGGGCGAAATCCACATTCTGGTTCCTCGTGGAAAGCCCCGCTTTACATGGAAGATCTATGTTGGATAACATAGTTGACAACATACATATTATATAATGTATACATATAATATATGATGTATATTGATGTAGTATATATATATATATGTATATATATATATGTATATATATATATATATTATATATATATTATAGATATATCTTATATAACTACCTAACTACCCATGTCGACTGGTGAACGAATAGCCATAGTTGCCACAGGTCCAGAAGCTTCCTGGGACACGGTGGGACAGACGGAGATGGTGCCTCAGGGCCGGCGTTCACGCAACGCAGGCGCGGTGGTGGGCTGAAAAGTGAGGTGGTTGGTTTATAACCCTGATTTACTATAGGGAGGATAGATATAGTTGTTATTTAACTGTAGATATATATATATATAATAATATAATATAATATAATATAATATAATATAATAAATATATTATAAATATAATCTAATATAATCTCAATGATATCATATATAATAATCTAATACAATATAATATAATATATGATATATATATATATGTATGTACCACAAATCCTAATCAAGCGACTGAAGCAAAGCAACTTAGCAAACGAACACTGGGATAATCACCTTGTGGAAGGATCAGGAGACCACGTATGGGGGCAAAAAATTGGCTATCGGAACATGGTATACCATTCTATATAGGAATTATATAAATTATATATATATACATAATATACACCAATCTGTAGCATATATATATAATGATATCATTAATATTACCTGTCTAGAATAGGTAGTATACGATGTTTCTTTCACCTTTTCTTGGTGCCGAAGACACTCTAAGACTTCTATGTTGAGATTTCAGGTTTGCCACTTGGATTTTAAGGTCTTTTGCGGGGATAGTCCCGTTAAACGGTCACTGGGTGGGTTATAATTTATGCCTTTTCTCTCTAGCTGCGACCCCATAGGGCCTTATAAAACACGAACTTCATGGAAACACCAACGTTGGTGGTCAGCTGCAGCATGTTGACAGATGCCGGTTCCAGTAACATGTTTGGTATCAAATCCTCCATTGAATCATCATATGGGTGTATCTGAAAATGGGGTATGCCCTAAATTTATGTCAATTTTATATGGAACATGCTGAGTTTAACGTATCATCAAGTTCAGTGATACCCTATATTCAGACAAACCCATACAATTAGCCTCTAAACACTACGGCAATTGGTTTACTGTATGGCCACGCATCATTTTATGGACACAGCGGCCTTTTTTCCAGGGTCCATCCACTTCCCCAAGGCGAAAATTTTACGCCCAGGTATGCACACCATCGAGATCTATTTCCCACAGTTCTATTTCACCCAGGTTGATATGGAGGACACCACGGGCCATGATGAACTGAGGATGATAGGGACGTGGCGGTGGACATCGGTGGACGCCCTGGTGTTTTGTCATTGCCGGAAAATAGCTGAGACTTATGGATGTTTATCCACCTAAATGTGTTGTAATAAGATGTAATAAAGGTGTTGTTTGACCTATCCCCATTTGTGGTTTTTGTTGCTGAAAGGTTTGAGGAGATCATTGAGACAACATTTGGATCGTTTGCTGGCGGTTTTCTTGGAACGGGTTGCGTTACATTCAAATTATTTCTTGAGAACGACTATTTGACTATCGAAATTGTGACTATCCTAGTTTGTCGATGGGTTGCAATGCCCGAGCAATCTAACCTTCTTTGGTGTACCAGGCGGTGGTTGCCCAAAGTATGTTCGATGTCAAATGCATCTATATTGTATCATAATCACAATGTGGGGGCCCCAAGATAGCTAAGTTTCTTTAAAACTACAATAAATAGGGTTTATGGTAGTCATAGCTTTAGTTAGATGGGGTTATAAACCAACTAACATCACTAGGGGGCTCCACACAATGCTTGTGTGACATTAAGGTGCCAAGAAGCCACCGGTTTATCAGATGAGATTGAGAAGGTCCCAGGCATGTCCCAGGCAGGTAAAAAGGCACGAAAATCGGATGTTGCTTTGGGATTGGTCCATGTGGTCCATGTTTTTTTTTAGAATCTGATGTTACTTATGTTACTTATGTTACATATATACATAGTGGATCATAGTGGTATAAACCTGATGCTTTGGTTGACCATAGTGGTTTCATACAGCATATGTAAACAAAATACTTCCGTTGATGTTAGTGCTTTTCAAGCAGAAGCGGGCCCTGACGGTGCGGTGTAGTTACTGGTTTTGTGCAAATAAATCCTCGCTGTGCCATAGGAATTCGATGCAAAGCCCGATAGGCGGGGCCGAAACTCCACTGCGTTTCGAAGTCTACAGTGTTGGCCCTAAGGCCAGTTATAGCTGGCTTCCGATGAGATATATGATATTTATATATATATATATATTATTCTATATAATCTTAGTTGCAGGAGTTTAATTCTATCCCATTCTTGCCTGATTTCTCCATCATTTTACCATCATTTCTGGCTGGCCATAGCCAGCCAGCGGCCTGACCATTTGCCTTGGGAGGTATGGCCCCACAGTCATTGGCAAATACACCAAAGGTGGGGTGGGAGCCAAGGTCAGTGGTTTTGAAAGCGGGGATGTTAAATGGGAATATGCTGATTCTAAAGGCTGTGGTTGTTCATATGCATTGTTTTTCCTTGCCGATTAAAGGCGCAGCAAAATATGAAGCAAATCCTGAATTTTTGGACCCCCAAGGGATTCAAAGTGGGGCCCTGAAATTTTAAGTTTTAAAACTCATAATCCGAGAGTGGTTTGAAACCAGGATCCGAGCTTGGGACATGAAAAGAGAGGCCTATAGACCCCTCACTTTCTCATACACTTATCCCAGATGCTCCATGGCGCTGGACTATTTACCTATATAAGATATAAGCCTATATACACTACTGGGCCATTTTTGGGGTAAATGTAGGTAAATATTCCAGCACCATGGAGCATCTGGGTATGTATTTTATGCCATGATTTGTGGATATCTTCTGCATCTTTACTCACTGAAATCAGTACACACATGGTACAAGCTAAGGCTCAAGGTAGTCGTGAATAAAATGGGAAACATCATCTCTAAATGGCAAGATTCCTGAAATGGGGGACCCCAAAAGCATCCAAAACTTGTCATGTTCAATGGACAAACCATGCGTTTTGGGATGTCCTTTATTTCGCGGAAACACCCAAGGTGATAAAACTGGAGTAGTTGCTAAGTTGCCACAGGAAGGCCCGCCCGGTTAAAGGTTGGATTACGTTATCTCATCGTTCCAACTATTCCGATATATCCACCATAAATCCAAAACTTTGCCTAGTTGTACACCAACTTGCCTATCATAGAACAAGTTTAAAGAGCGCATTTAAGATTCCAATTTAGAGTAAATAATGTCCACCTATGATTTATAAATAGGGGGGCCCCCTCCCTCCCCCTCTTTGACCCTAAATAAACTTAAAGCCACCATCAAACTTGTTTGTATGTAAAGGTTTTAAATTACCACAATTGAAAACGAATACATAAAATGCAATTTCAAAAAAAACAGGAATCCAGCAATTGTTTTAGTATTGATCTAGTACTCATGTCATGGACTTAGTATTGATCTAGTACTCATGTCATGGATTTAGTATTGATTTAGTATTCATTTCATGGATTTAGTATTGATTTAGTATTCATTTCATGGATTTAGTATTGATCTAGTATTCATGTCATGGATTTAGTATTGATTTAGTATTCATGTCATGGATTTAGTATTGATCTAGTATTCATGTCATGGATTTAGTATTGATCTAGCATTCATGTCATGGATTTCGTATTGATTTAGTATTCATTTCATGGATTCAGTATTGATTTAGTATTCATTTCATGGATTTAGTATTGATTTAGTATTGATTTGGTATTGAATTAGTATTGATTTAGTATTGATTTAGTATTGATTTAGTATTCATTTCTTGATCAGCGGGAGGGGGAATCTCAGTAGCTTTATTCAGGGTCAAACTCTAATTGGTGCTAAGGCACCTCATGGGGGGTACCCTTGATGAGTTGGTTTGGAGCTGATTTTGGATAAATTTAAGTAAAGGTTTTGAATAGAAAGAGCATGCATCATTTTTGACAATTTCCAGCTATCATTTTTGAATAAAGGTTTTGGTCAGCCCCATCTGGGCAAATCTGGGTTAAGGGCCAAAAAAAAATTAGCTTTATTTAGGGGTCATTTAATATGTTTTTTGGGGAAAAAATAGCTCTATTGAAGGGGTGTTTAAAAATCGTAGGTCAACATTATGTATATATATATATATATCTATTTATATATTCAAAATATTCAAATTATTTCAATTTATAAGAGTTTAAATTCCTATACTTAAGACATCTATAAATCCCCAGCTTTTGGTTAAATATCCCGTTGTCACCAGTCACCAGGTATCGGCCAAGTCGAAGCGAGGTTTCCATCGGATGATGAGGCCCTCAAGCCAGTTATTAAGATCAGTCATGTTCCTGGCTTGATATGATCATAATGATATATCATTATATCACATATCTATATAGTAACATGGCTAGATAGTTATAACATGATTATATCAACATGGCTAGATATAACATGATACAATGATATAACTATAAGCAACTAGTTGCAGGATGTTATTTGCAGGAGTTATTTCATCTTATAAGTGTTGGCCATAACTGCAGACCCTCCTTTTTTGTAGCCTTCAAAACGGTGTGATTTTAGCTCCAGAATTTATTGTGCTTGGCCGATGGGATGATGGGACGGTTGTTGATGTGTTGATGGGCTCACTGGGCTCACTGGTTTTGATCATAAAAATGGGGTCATGGAAGTAAAATAGTCATATCCCATGACGGATCCATGTATGCTATGAATATGGTAACATGATGTAACATGGATCCATCAATATACCCCCTTTATGTTAGCATACCAGCACCATGGATCCGTCATGGGTATTGATATATTGGATGGTTTTTTTTGTCTGAGATGCTTGGATCCCGGAAGCATCGACAAATTTGACAAGGGTTTGCAGACTGAACAGGGATGACTTTAGGGGCGGGCAATCTTTGAAACATGTTGGCCTTTTGGGGGATAGCAATCTTCATAGGGATCCAAAATGATACTGTAAACTTTAAACCATCCCAAAATTTGGATCATGAATCTGTGTGTACTCCTTTGGGACTTCCGTGGAATTCCTTTTTGACCGTTTATATAGATGAACTGACTCGTTTGCAGGAAACTTGAATATCTCAACATTCATGTTTTTTCTTTGAGTGCAACACCCATGCCATGAGTGCCAGCTATATGCAGTATCTCATGCTTGGTGGTTCCATGTTAAATCCATTTAGATTTTTGGTATCCTACGAGATGGGTCCCCGTAGTTATGTTTGTTGATTTGTAAATCACATGAACTATAGTTATATCAGTTATCTCCTCCATAAACCAGCTTATGTGCGTCAATTGAGCTGTCACTTAAATCAGCCAAAGAAATGCATCTAAATTCCATGAACCCCCAAAAAAATCTATGTTTTGTTTTCTTGGTAAAATGACCATGTTTTTCATCTTGTTTCCCTAGGTTTTCCCATGAATATGCCATTTTTCTGGCTGAAATTTTGCCAGCGTTTTGTCCCCCGCCAGGATCCGATCAGTTTCGCCATGACGGTGGTTCACCGCCTCCTCGAGAGGATGGAAGCCAAAGGCGTGGCGGTGGCGTGCAGCGGTGGGCAGTTCTGGCGATGAAATCTGGTGATTTTTCGATGGTGATTTTCTGGTGATTTCATGGGATTCTATGGTGAATTTATGGTGATTTAGCCTTTAACCAACCCTGATGGAGATATACTGGGGATTTAATGGTAGGGATAATGGGAATTTATGGTGATTTAATGGTGATTTAATGGTGATTTAACAAACCTTAATGGAGATGTTCAGGTGAATTTTTGGTGATTTTTTGCAGATTTCAATTCCGCAGTCCGCAGGTAGGTTTTATGGTGATTGAACCATTTTATGGAGATATGATATGTCATCGGGATGTAATAGGGAAATCAGGGATATCGATGTTAAACCATCCCTAATTCGGGTTTTTGAAATTGGGCATGCCCCCATGGACAAGGAGATTTTAGCATCTCTCTAACATGAAACACCCCTATTGTATGGTCCCAAATATGTGTTTCATCCGCTACATCCACCATGGTTTCTGGCGAGAAAGATATTTGGCCGATGGAACTCGTGGAAAACCCATTTCCCAAAGCCCGGTCCTGGTGTTCAATCGGCTTCCAGGGTTGCAACATCATTTGAACGATAGACTATGATAAGCTATTTATGGTTTTGGAACATGTTTCTAGATAGTATATAAACACTTTGTATAGATATGAATATGTTGGTTTGTTTAAACAAATGAACTATGACATGTTTGTATGGCTATGAACTAAAAGTTTCTAAGTATCTAAAAGTTACAGATCAACGCCTATGTTTAGAGCAAATTGAGTGGGACGGAGATTGATAACTACAAGCTATTTCGGTGTGAACAGAAGGGTACACTGGGAGCGTGCGCCCTGCAAGGCATCAACGAGACAGGAAACTATATGCCCAATGGGCAGCCCCTGAGTGTTTGGATGCTTGGCAACTTTGGCCTCCTTGAAACTTGTAAGCTGATGCAGAATGGTTCATGTTGTTTTCTGTTTACAAGAAGATGAAACACTCTTAGTCTTAGTATGTCAGGAGTACGGAATGCACACGTGGTTTGTCAAAAAGGACGATCTCCATAATGAGAGAAGTGCACATTTCAATCAAAAGAAACCAATGCTACCTTCTCGCGGAAAAAAAAACAGCTTGCCTTCCAGCGTTGGGCCGATTCACTAAAGTGGACCAGTTTTGTTTCCTACATCAAATATTACTGTAGAGTCGCACGAAGCGTATTGTTTGTCTTTGCAGTTGTAAAAACACCATGTTGCATACTTCAACTACACGACAGCACATGGTGCTATGAAAGCAGAGACAATAAGTCTCAATAAGTAGTATCACAAGAAGAAGCCAGGGTTTTACCATCCAAGCACAACGATGTTCCTTTGATATCCTTTGATTGCGTTGTTTAATTCCTGCAAAGCAATTCTGGAATCCTTGAAAGATGAAGCAAACGCTGGTTGGTGGTTTGGAACATGTTTTATTTTCCCCAATAGTTGGGAATAAGAATCCCAACTGACTTTCATATTTTTCGGAGGGGTAGGTCAACCACCAACCAGGCCACATCTTGTTTCAACAAGGTTGAACTCTAAAAAACCCATAGTTGGCTGGAGGGTGATTCAACTACCAGTGGCTCATCATGTCCCCCCATAAACTCAAGTCACCAGAGGCTGAACGGAAACACTGGCGATTTTTTATCAGCGATTTTTTGACTTCAAGTTTTCAGGGCTGATGATTTTAGGGTTTTAGGTTTTGTACGGTTTTGTCTGTTACTTGAAAAAAACACTAGCTCAACACAGGGATTTGTGCGTGTCAAAGGGTATATCGTTCCGAAACAGTTCCAAAGCTGCGGCGCCGTTCCATGAGGAATGCCATCGGCCGCATCGACATTGGCACCGAGTCAATTACGGAGATGCCGTTCTGGGCCGTTAGGGTCTCTGATTTGTGGCTCCCATCTATAAATGGTTTATGAATGTTTATTAGCTATAACTGTGGTTGCTAATCACTTATTTATTAGCACTATGGTCCATGGTTGCTAGTCACTTTCCAAGTGGGATAGTTTCCAAGTACAACGAACAAAAATAATTGTTTCCAGTGCCACCTGGCAGGACCTTCCCAATTCTAAGTGGCTGATAGCCCAAAATAGTCATCGTAATCCGGTGGATCCCTCTACTAACTACTTGTATACGGTTATACCATGAATCTAAGTGTATAAACTCTGCTTATGGGATGAGATTCGCTTGTTTTTTGCAGGACAGGTCCAAGTCTATGAAGTCTTTCATCATGGACATCTTCGAACGCTATGCCAACGAGTCCAACATCGAGGCGCAACTGTTGGGCGGCGGCAAAAAGGGGTCTCATCAGTTCTGCAGGGGGATTCCCGGTTGATGAATGAGAGGGATGTCCTGGTCTTCACGGGTATTTCATAAAAAAATCATGGGTGTTTGATGGGAGTTCCATGGGATGTTCATGGGATTGTAATAAAAAATCAGGGGGATATGAATGATATATCCTTTGGTGATTTCGCAAAGAGGGTTCAGTATGAGAAATATTTCAGTCATCCACCGATCAACAGGACATCCTGGAATCCTGATAACTTTTTGCAGAGAGAAAATGCGATCTGGATTTCTCAAAGTTAATACTTCATTGAGGCTCCAATCTCACCTGTCTATCCTTGAAGTTCCAAAGTCACCTGGCATGTTCCCATGTCGATAGCTCCATGACCTCCGATCTCCGGCTTCATGGCATCCATGGCAGGGCGTGGATCAGTACAACGCCTGCTATGGTGGACAAGCCTGCGGACTTTGTACCCTCAGCTGGGTCGAGTCCGATCGTCCCCTGGCACTGGAGAGTGCTGATGGGGCAGCGCGCCTGGTGTTTTTTGATGTTTTTTGGGGAATATTGTAGCATCCAAAAACAAAGGTGACATGAACTGTTGGTTTCTAACATACTATGTTTACATATGTTTACTATGTTTCAGGGTTTTCAACAATCAATTTGGCTGATATTTCATGTTAGTCTTTTAGAGAGTCACATGTCAAATGCAGGTCATCCCTGAACTTATGTTTGGTGGTGCCTCAGTAAGTTAGCCACTATAACTATGAAGTAGAAATCATGATGATTGTCCCTGTAGTTAGATTGGCTGTTTATCTTTACCCATTCATACCTACCTCGACCTTCCAAATCCTAGAAAAATATAGGTGTTTTCGGAATTTGACCTATATCGCCTGATTTTACCCAAAACACATAGATACTACTTTGGTCTTCGATTTTAGGACTTTGATTGCATGATTTTGGGCTTGGTGAGACAAGGCCAAAAAATGTTTGCAGCGCATCAAACGACTAGGGAGAAAACCCGCAAAACCCCACAAAAAAAATCGCAAAAAACCCACAAAAAAAAACGCGAAAAAACGCAAAAACCCGCAAATCCTGAAATCTCGTTGTTCAAGGTAGTTTTCGGTTTTTTTTTGCTGTTCCAAATTCCAAAAATCATCCCGGTTTGTGTACCCGGCCGTAGTGCTGAGATTGTCCCAGAAACATACATGTTTGGAACAAAGTGAATCATTTTTTGGTTTGTTTGACCTATCTTCTTAGAACGACCATTTTTTCCTCGGCAGTGGAGGGTCGAGGTAACATAACCAACAATTAACACTATGACAATATATGTCAACAAGTTAAACCCACAAACGCTAGTTAAATCACCTCTAACCTCCATTTTTCCCGGTTAAATCCCATTGTTCAGTCCATGATTAGGCCTGAAAACCCTTGTGAAATGCATCAACTCGAGTTAAAAACTCAGCGATCTTGACGTATCTTGACCCAACTCTCTAAATTCCCAGGTCTTAAAGTTCTAATGTTTCCAATGTTACAATGTGAGGCCCCCCAGTGATGTTTGTTGGTTTAGATTCGCCCCAGTAACTAGTTCGTTATAAGTACCATAAACATCCATAAACCATAGTAAAATTGGAGTTATGTGAACCCCAACTGAACGCTATCCAACGGCCTCACGACTTGTAGGTCTTCCATGGTCTTCCAATGTCACCAGGTTGGGACGGCCGCTACGGCATCGCGGTGGCCACCGACATCTCGGAAGCGCATCCGGGCTTCATGGCCTTCGTGGGGGCGGTGTCTTGGCAGAGCTGATGGTGGAGACATATCCATGGGTTAACAAATGGTTAAGTGATGTTAAGTGGCATGGAACATGAATTTTATGACTTTCCATATATTGGGAATAATAATCCCAACTGACTAATATTTTTTTCAGAGGGGTTGAAACCACCAACCAGTTAAAGGTTAAGTTAAGAATATGGTATTATCATGGTAAATACATGTTAATAGTTGATAATGGTTGTTTTGTTTAACCATGATTTATATAGGAAGTTAATAAGAGTTCATGAAAGTTCTCCGATAGTGTTAACAGAATAGTGAAGAACATATGTTGGATATCAGGATAATGATTGGATAATGGAACAAATTGCAAACCGATTTACAGTTATGACCCGCATGTCAGATTTGGGTTTCGATCTCCTTGGATTTTGGGCACAAAAACATACAAAAACCAGGGTTTCAGGTTGACGTGTTCAATTAAACCGTCGGTGTTTTGCAGAATCAGGGTGTACATTGTATGGCAGGTCCTTTACAAAACCCTCATTTTCCACTTGCTAGTCAGTTAGGTAACACCAAAATCAGGTTTGGTAAAATCAGCCTGATGACCTATCTCAGAGGTAAGTTACCCTGTGGTTATGTAAGAGTTCGCTATGGAAGCCATGGCCCATGAACATAGATTATAAAAATGATAATTTACCTAGTAAAAATGTTGATTGTCTCATGAAACCACCATGAGATTACCATTTTCTTGTAATATCTTTGTTTGCCCACATCGCCAGCAGCCACTCAAACTGTCCGGTCGTCGCGCCAGTTTCAGGCGACGACTGCTGCACTCTTTTTCCCCGACGCGCCCATGTGTCACCATTCTCAACGCCGCTGAGCAGTGCAAGTTGATGGAAGTTCCTTACGGGGATAGCATGTCCACGTACCATGTGTGCCATGGGCAAAACTTGTCAGTTCTTCTAGGCTCTTTGGAGTTTCTTTATTGCAATCTATATATAGCCAATCTATAAAGTTCACTGAATGTATAGTTTGTGTCAATATGTGTATGGGATATCACAAATTAAGATTGTTGGTACATCTAAATTGTATATGACTAAAAGCATTCAACGAACAAAACGCATGGTGAAACATTGTCGCGTTTTCCGCGAGGCGCGAGTTGCGTGTTGCATCGCTTCGACTTCTGCAAGCCCGTGGGCTGGTCGGAGGACCAAGGGGATCTTTTTGATGATCTATAGCACCCCCAAGCATTTCTGGTTGGTGGTTTGGAACATGTTTTATTTTTCCATATTGGGAATAATAACCCCAACTGACTGATATTTTTCAGAGGGGTTGAAACCACCAACCAGATTTTATTGGGAAAAATGGTGGTTGAATGGGCTATTCAATGAGATATTATGGGTTGATGAGAGTTATTATCACCAAGTAGCTGGATGGCTAGTTGCTGACCCCTTTCAAGCTGGAACATAAATGGATCACCAGCCCACCAGCAAAAGATATTGTATTTTGTTGTGGACTATCAAAGATTGACCATGGTTTAATATATATATATATAACTACAAACATTGCAGTTCAAACAGGACACATGATGATACATACTGGTATTGTTGTATATGATAAACAATGGATGACAAATTTGACAAATGATCCAATAACGGGGAAAACAAAACAATTATGTACTTTAGTATATCAACCCCTAGTTTAATTCGATGACAAGCAATGTTGTGGTTTATTTTTTTCGTGGGAATGAATTACACAATATGTAGTTCTAAGTTATACGTATTCCTAGTTGAATATGTTGACTTTTAGTTATAGATCAAAACTGAGGGAAGGTATTGCAAAGGGTATGCTTCTTATTTAAGGGATTCTCCAGGGTATACGTGCATGTTTGGGGGTTCTCCCTCTGTTGGGCGATGTGTCCACTGTGTCCACTGTGTCTGCCAAGGCATGACATGGCACCCATCACCGATGGAAAGTACAGCGTTGAGTGTTACCTCGACGTTGCTTGGCTGCTGTTCGAGTGGGCCTGACTCCTTGGGATTGAACACATGGGGAAGCTGGGGCACCCCAGGTCTGTTCGCTGAAAAACACACATAGCAAAAAGGGTCCTTAGATTTTCGCAGTTTCGGAAAAGTTAAGAGTGGAAGCATCACCTGGTGGTACTTCAATGATGGGTAATACCCAAAACAAGTTTTGTCTATGAAGGAACTAGCAGCAACCCATGGTTCCTAGATCCCAGTTGGTTGGTTGAATGATTGTTTGCTGCGTTGGGGGAGTACACAACCGGTTGGTCGTTGTAAACACTATCTTAAGTGCTATCATATGTCATATGTGCCATAGCTGCGATGAAGGCAGAGCTTGCCTGTTCTGAGAGGGTTGTTTTTTGTTTGGCGTTCCTTTTATAATTTGTTTAATATTCTCTCCACAGCCAGTTTTTCAACTATCCCATAGGATCCACGTATGCTATATATGGTAACATTTGCCATCAATATGCCCCATTCATGTTAGCATATATACCAGCACCATGGATCCTATGGGTATATATAGCTCCTGTCATGAAGCCAGTAGAGTTGCTCCATCTCAAGGCACTGGATGCGTGTCACTCCACGCTGAGGCGGTCTCTGGATCAACAGAAATGGTGCTAATTAGCCTCTGGTAATGACTAACATAGCTATTGAAAATGACCATAGAAATAGTTGATTTACCCATGAAACATGGTGATTTGATGTGATTTCTCCATAGCGAACCGCTAGTTTACCGGAGGCTATATACGCAACATATGCTCATGCATAATATGTCTGATGAATTCCTGTATCCATTTATCATCATGTATATGAAATCATAATACACGAATACACTATAATATCTATAATACAATATAACCCATATGCTCCATGTATGGTATATTTACCTACATTTGGGTGATTTTTGGGGCAAATGTTGGTAAATATTCCATACGTGGAGCATATGGGTAATACAATATATATATATATATATATTATAATTATATAATGAAATATGACTTAAATCACATATTATCATTTTTTGTATATATATATATAATATACACACAAGATGCCCCTCAGTTGTAAGGTGGTTTATAAACAGCATTAACTATAGCTATATTTCCCTATGAGTAAGCTCTAGTGAACCAAGTTATGAAACAACAGTGATAGGTAGAGCTGTCAGCTGGGGGATGGACATGTTGGACATGTTTTTTGGATGTTTCTGGGTAATTTTACCCTCTGGTTATGTCAAAATAGCTATGGAAAGATCCACCATGTTTAATGGGAAAATCCACTATTTCTATGGTCATTTTCAATAGCTTTTTGTATGTTTACCAGAGGGTATATGATATAAAGACCTCACTGTTCTCCCTCACAGGAATCATGGTGAATGTATAGCTGTTTTTGACCTCACGCAAAATGAGTTACACAAGCTGCACCCTGATTTATATTTGTTGTTTGTACACCCAACAAACCATCACAAACCATCACAAACCAGATATACACGTATATTATAGACACATATACATACATACATACATACATACATACATACATACATACATACATACATACCGACAGACCGACAGACCGACAGACCGACAGACCGACAGACCGACAGACCGACAGACCGACAGACTGACAGACCGACGGACCAGACGGACCAGACGGACCGGACGGACGGACAGACAGACAGACAGTCAGACATACATCCATGCATGCATGCATACATGCATATACATACATACATATAATATACATATATATATAATTATATATATTAAGTAATATTGACATGCCATAAATCCTACTTAAGCCAGGCAAAAACTCAATGGCCGCGGCCCTTTGGAGGTCCGGGAGACTTCGGCCGGAGGTGTCGATTTTTTTGGGGGTTCCCGTTATAGCCCTTAACGGTTATAAGATGTGATAACTGGCATGACATATAAGCAACTAGTTACAGGAGCATATAATCCAATCTATAACTACTAAGGGCCATAAGTGTGGAGATAAACTGACTGGTTAGATCATGTTAATACTGGTTAGCGATATATATATATATATACATTTATATATATATATATACAATTAGACATGGTATGACATGGGGACATGAAACATCATGAAACTAGATGAAGAGGGACAAGCAGAATGTTCCAATCTGCAGGATTGAACCCAAAAAATGGTGGCAGGTGGCAGACCTTAGTAAATGGATGTGAATGGTAGCTTGTGGTAGGCTAACGGAATGTAGGCCTCTGGCTAACAAATTGAACCAACAGGTCTATCAATATATGGGCAAGCTTATGGAAAGCCAGCTGCTGAAGAGCTGTTCAATGTTGTTGACAATGCGTCTGTTTTGTACATAACTGGAGTTATTATTCTATCCTAGAGGAAGGGCCATCTTTTCTTTTGCAGGGTTAAATTAAGATTAGCCTTGATCGTAAGCTATGAAGCCTTGATCGCATGCGGGATGCTTACCACCAGATGTCTGATTCACCAAAATGAAGAAAATCGCCATTTTTATAGATAAACCATCTATAAATGGACCATAAATAATGGAATATCAAGCAGCTGGGGATGTTTCCCAAAATCTCTGGATGCCCCCGAAGCCCGGCTTCGCCGGTAATGATTCGATGTTTTTCTTGGGAGAAAAACTTGCCACAGCTGCCATGACCGGGCCTGCCAGGTTTGTATGGTCGTTTAGCACAGATGAACTCTGAGGAAAGCGTTTTTAAGCGTTGAAAATGGTTAAACATTGCGGATGATTCGCTCCCATTCTTAGGGGCTTACGTACATCAATGGCCATTTTAGGTACCTAAATTGGAAGTACCTACCATATATAAGGCTTCTGCAAGGGCTGTGTAAGGGGATATATCCCCCAAAAAAGGCTGGTTGGATGACCAGACCCAGCCTGGATCGTTTTAGAGGTCACCGATCTGAACGTCTTCCACACGGGAGGTGGCTACCATATCGTCCGAAAGGCGTGGTCAGATCCAATGCCTGGGGGTTGCTATTGAAATTTCGATCCATCACTACTGGACAGGGAGATGGGGGCATGGAGGAGAAACCAGGACTTTCAGATCACACCGTGATGAAGACTCCTCACTGTTACAGTTGATCAACTTTACTCAAGTTCATCATGTCAGTTTCAAGTCACACCAAACCACATGGGACTCGTTGGAATCCTGAACATTTCCCGGGAAACTCGAGGCTAAAACCTCAACAAAGTTCAACACATCCTTAAAAACACCTGGCATCTCATAGATGTGTCTAGAACAAAATCCTGGGACCCACTCTCGGTGGGCCCGTTTCAGGCCTTTGAACGCTTGGTGCGGGCGGAGAATAGGGGCATCAAACCTGATGAGAAGGTCATCAGTTCTGCCCGGTGTGCCTGGTGAGTGAAGGCTTTCTTTTTCTGTTCGGTTCATTGATCGTTAATTATGATACCTGAAAGATAGAACAGACATATATAATTACATATATACATTATATATACATCATATATATAATATTTATATATGTTTCGTATTGTTGTTATATCTATGTATATACATCAATATAATTCAATATATACAAATATATATATATATATATATGTTATATAGACCAATACATGGGTAGTCAGATATATTTTGACAAACAAGTATGACACTTATGAGGGTAAATGTACTATGCTATTATAAGTAGTACATGATTTCACCCACAAAAACAAAGATAACGGAGATCATCGGTAAATTATAGTTTGATTGATTGATAGTTTAGTAGGTGGGTTATTCGAAATGATTTAGCACTAGGGATTAGAACCAGCGCGCGGTGGAAATCAGCGTGTACTTCTCAGAATTCTCAGGCAGATTTGCTGGAATCCATGGGAATCCAAGTTTATTGCCAGCTTCAAAGGCCACCATTTTTGAACTGAATAACCCCCCCCACCATATTCAGAGCCTTGGAAACCACCATCTGTCTGGGCATAATTACCTGGTACACATCCAAGACAATTTAGATTATCATCATTGCATCCAAGGTAAGTTTGGGATGGCAAAGGATGAGTTGTAACTTTGAGCACTTACCCTCTGGTAATTTAACATAACTATGGAACATCACCATTTTTCCATGGGGAAAATTCACTTTTTCAATGGTGATTTTCAATAGCTATGTTAGTCATAACCAGAGGGTAAACCTCCATTTTCCTATGGTTTTCCTATGGTTTTCCTATGTGTTTTTTCGCTTTTCGCGTTTGAAAAGCTGGCGAAGCTGGGACGATTTTTTCAACGATCCAGGAGCGGTTGCTTCAAGAGAAACTCATGCCATCGGTTCCCTGGCCGCCAATGGGGAGTAGCCCTGAAAAAATGGGAAACTGATGGGACAATGATGGGAAATCACTACAGTTATGGTCATTTATCAGTTATAAGTACTTTTAACCCCATTTATAGAATGATATAGAATGTATAATCCCATTTATAACCAGTTATAACTGGTAAATGGCCATAACTGTATAAATTGTGTTTTTTTGCTTTTAAATATATACCCTCTGGTAAACAGCCACATAACTATGGAACATCACCATTTTTCCATGGGGAAAATTCACTATAAATGGCAATTTTCAATAGCTATGTTAGTTTACCAGAGGGTAACCAACATTAATGAATTGATATAATATAGTTTTTTTTTATATAACCAAACCAACATTAAAATCAACTAGTTGCAGGAGTTATCCAATTTAAGGCCCTGGTTTATAGGGCCATAACTGCATGGCTCAATTTTTGGGTGTCCACTGTGTTCACCACCCTATATGTTCTTGCTTGGTCCTTTCCCATGGCGGCTCCCAGCCAATTCCCTTGGACTTTTAAACTTTTCCGGACTGGTCATTTCTACATCACCACTAGAAGTTAAACACTTAACAGATCTTAACAGGGGGGCTGGGAACCAACCAGCTGAGGATCACGATCTCACGGATTCTGTATTTCAACATGTGATCTCGTAAGGTTCCGGTATGTACGTATTGTGGTACACCCAATGTCACAAACCATTCCCAACGACTACGTACAGATTTATGGGGTGGAAATCATGCCCCAAGTGGAGGTGTGATATTGGGCGTATATTACTCTATGCATCTCTATCCCAATTTCCAGCTTTGGAAGATGTACTGGTGAAGACTTTCAGTTCAGAATGTTCAGACCAGCAGTACCATCCACTGGTCTGAACGTGTGGTCATACTAGAAATGTTGGAAGGAATGGAAGAGAAGAAAGAAGCCTCCAGATTTTAGGCATTTGCTCTTGTTCCACGCAAACAGAGCAGGAAGCCAGACAGGGCGACGCCTAAAAAACGTTCTCCATTTTAGTAGTGGTTCGTTCGTTGTAGAGGACAAGCCAGTCGGGTCTATGCTAAAATGGCTATTAACCACTGGACGGAATCAGATATCCTTATCTTATCTGGTTGGTGGTTTCAAACATGAATTTTATGTTCCCCAATATATGGGATACAGTAGTCCTTCCCATTGACTAATATGTTTCAAGATGGGTAAAACCACCAACCAGTTATATTTTGAGACTCTTTTAGACAAAACCATTTCCTGCCCTTAAACCCTAAATCCTCAACTCAGGTAAGTCTTTTGAAGATCATCGGCCCTTGCCACACCGTCTCGCTCGGGCGCCCACAGTATCAGTGGTTGTTTTTTTTTTGTTTTCCACATGGAGATCAGAGGGGTACTGTAAGCAATGAACAAAGGCATGGAAGTATGAGAAGTGAGGGCTGGAAAACTAGAAAACTTTGGGATTTCAGCAATACAATTGGCTGAGGGTGAACAAAAACTGGAGACCGACACAACCACAGATGTTGGTCACTCGTAGTGCTTACATGTGGAAAACTGCTGATCTACAATAATATGTGTTATCTTCCGGAATGATGTTCTCATTGATGTTGATGTGTTGGTGTGATTTTTGCTATTGAGTTGCTAAGTTGCGGATGACATGAATATTATTTATGCTCAACATTATTAATCATTATTAATTATGAATAACCATACCTGCGAATTTTCTCAGAGCTCTACTTACGAAATCTAGGTCGATCATGCTTTTCCGAGATGGTGGAAATTTCCGAGATGTTTTTTGGAACATCACGGGAATATGGGAGGTATCCGAACATATGCAAACATGTGCGATCTATCCCCAGAACAAGGATGTAACGGACAGAGGTTTGGGTTTTCATGAACTTCATGGTCCATTCAGGAGTGAGGAATCTGAGATTTTATGATGTAATGTCACTCTATCGCCCATTTCTTGACACATGAACAGTGTTCAAAACCCCTGCTGATGATTAGTTTGGGGGATATGCTACCCTGTAAATATTGCGGAATATCATATTTATTTTCTTCAATACCTTCGGGTTACACAAGCGGCAACAGGGTTCACAGACGACGACCGCTTAGGTTCAAAGATGACGACCGCTTGGGGTTGTTTGGACTATGGTACGCAAAAGATATGCACTCAATCTGCAGCAGTAAGAAGATTAAAATCGGGAAACCACTTGGCAGCAGCTTTGCGTGCACCAAATGCCTTCCTTCAAGATGCAAGCATGCTGAGAGCAGGATGGCAAGCGCAGCATTGGGATTGGCAAACCTAAGCGCATAGTGTGTTCAATTGATTTTGCCAAAGCCAAAACAAGATAAATGGATATAAATGGTACGATTTGACAGGAAGCAAGATACATCCAACCTCTGTGCGTGCCACCTGGCAGATATCCGTTGAGAGATGACCGTAGGGATACACCCGAACCGAACGCCGTGAAATCAAAAAAAAACATCATCCATGAGCAGAGAACTAGGTCACCATTAGGAACAGGGCATCAGATGGATCAGATAGGAAAATTAAGGTAGCGACAAATGGCTTGAATAGCCTCATGGGAAAACCCTTTAACAGGAATGGCACGGATGTTAGCCCCTAGTGGCTCCCAAACAGCCGGGTGCTCGACGACGCACGTATACTTGTAATTGTGACTTCTCAGCCGACCCAAGACAGCAGGTGGAATTGGTTGAAGGAGGCGTACACCTTCAACGGCCCTGTTTTCATCACCAGCTAGCTTAGCCATCTTGCAAACAGGACACGCCTGTTGCCCAACCATTCTACAGGTAGGGGCACAGCTGCACCTATCTTCCCCCCCCAGTAAGATCATTTTAGTTCAACAGCTGATGCAAAAAAGAGGCATGGGGACTTGGAGTCTTTCTTGGAAAAAACATGAAAAACCCATGCACTGCTGCTTTAGCAAGTACTTTTTAGCAACATCATTCCATTTGGTGATCCGTGGGTCTTGAGAACAATCCCCCGTGCAAAGCCGGAGGTGACCTTGGTGCCCGCAGGTTATGCATACCGGGGATGATCAGAATCCACTGGGAAATCCGTTCTCAACCAGTAATTCCTGATACAATCCCCTTATAATACTCATCAATCATCATCCCCAATCAGTTATAGTGACAATCGAATCCCCATATGGAGGTTGCCTAAAATAGGGGTACCCAAAACAAATTATCCATTTGAAAGGGATTTTCCATTATAAAGCATCCATTCTTTGGTACCCTCATTTCAGTACGGCATAGAATCCCCACATCTGACGGTGAGAACTCGTCGGTGAGCTGCTCAGGTCTTTCCTCAATACTGCCTCGACGATCATGAACAAGATGGAGCAGGCGGGTTGACCAGTCCTCTTCCGGGACGATCCCAGAGATGAAACAACTGGCAAGGTGAGATGTTTCGAAAGATCTTGGGGACTTCAATTTGACTTTTTGGATCTCCAAATGGAGTTTTTTGGTGAATAAGTACTGGTGGAACCTCCAAGAAAAAAGTGATGGCTTGATGGATCAAAGCATATCAAAACCATGTTTGAAAGGAAAATTATATAGCCGAAACAACATCCATTTATATACTGTTTTTGTCTTCCCAATTTTGGTGTTAGGGCACCAAGGTTTTGATCCGCAATATCCAAAAAAAACATGTACATAGAGCGATGTTTGTAGGGAAATAGTTAATAACTGGTTGGTGGTTTGGAACATGAATTGTATGACTTTCCATATATTTGGAATAATAGTCCCAACTAACTTTCATATTTTCTTGGGATATTCCTTTTCCATTCGGAATGTCATCCTCCCAACTGACGTTCACTCCATCATTTTTCAGAGGGGTAGGTTGAAACCAAGCAGTGAGAATCCTTTGATGTGACCCAGCTTCACCTCCGGCCGATTGAAGTCAAGAAGATGGAACTGCAGAGAGTTTGTTTTGCACCAGTTAGGTTTGTTGTTTTTTTAAAGCCAAGAATACTATATATAGCTCTAGTTGGATGTTGTTTTTTAAAGACCAAGAAGATTTTATAGTTCTACTTACTGGTGCGTTTTACGCAGGGAATTGTCGGGAATGATCCCAGTCATCAATAATCATCCCAGCAACCCCCAGCAACCCATCCATTCCCTACTAAGCACCAGTAAGTGAATCAATCCATAAAGTTCCATAAAGGTCACAGTAGTTTTTCAGCATTGTGCCCTCCATAATTTTCAGATGTCCAACGTGTCCATCTTTCCTCGAATCCATCCAAGGTTGCTTCAGTACAACCTATATAGATCTATATAGTATGTTATAATCTTAAGGGCCTATATAGTATGTTATATAATGTTATATATTCTTAAGGGGATATATTATAATTATGTTGTTTTGAATATATCTTCACTCACACGAAAACAGTTCAACATGCCGGAAGTAACTTCGATTGGCCATATGGGAAGGATGAGTGGGTGCCATGGGATTACCAGGCCCTGGGAAAGATCATTTTGGTCTTCACCTACGGTTCTGGCTGTGCAGTGCGGCGACCAAAAAACGGGGGGCGATTTGTCTTCGGCTGGACTTGGACTTGGTATAGTTCCAACGTGTCAAGAGTTTCAACATGTTTCATCCGTGTAGTCCACAAACATCCGTTGAATGGCTGGATTTCTTGGGTTAAACAACAAAATGCATTTAGGCTTTCATGCTGGTCCGATTTTTTTCGGTGAATGTTCACAGCTGGAAAGCCTTTTAAAACAGTCAGGTGTTGATGGGAAAACTGAGTAAACACCTGGTTTGTCTAAAAGTGGGATGCAGTCCGGGAATCAGAGGTGGAAATGGAATGATTTCCATTACCATGTTGGATTACCGGAGGGCACCCAGTTTATGGCAATTGAGAAACAACTCAATTTTGAGATATACAGTATATACAGTCCAATCTTAGGATACCATAGATGGTTGCAACAGCATGTTGTTGGTTGAATGTTCATGTTCCGGAAATCCCCATTGTGGTTGTCAGTTACATGTATGATGTATGATGTCATTATCATGTATGGTCATTTTGCTTACTGCTATGCTCATCCGGATAAATTCGGCTCAAGATCACAGCCCTCACGTTCAGCTCAAGATCTGAAGCATCAACTGGTACTTTACCCCTGCAAGATGTTTGAGTTTGTCATAGAAATGGTGCACCCAAAATTATTTAATTTATCACTCTGGCACTGTTTCCCTATTTTTCAATGGCACTTTAGAGCCTCCCCCTTAATTTTCCCACAGAACCATGGAACCGGAGCTGACTCCGCGCCCATCATTGTCTGAGGCCAGCATGTACCAGATGCGGGTAGGAGCCTCAGAAGTTGCCAATGTAAGACAGTTAAAAAGCGAGATGAGCAGTGTTCAAAATCCCTGTTGCTTGATGACTAGTTCGGGGATTATATTACCAAACATATTGGGGATTGAAATAATCCAATAGGGGAATTCCTACGAGCCAACCAGTACAACAATGGAATGACAGAGGGATTTTCAACACTGCTCAGATGAAGACTGGGCCAGTGGAATAACAGGCTGGTGATATCTCTATGCATCCAGGCGTAACTTCTGAAGGAGTATGGCTGGGGTATGCTGAAGTGGATCAAGTACCTTCTCCGGAAGTATATGGATCCATAGGCCCATAGGGTACTATTACTATTGTTAATAATACAATGTTGTTTTCTTCCTGTCCATATTTAGCCGGGTCGCTCCAACTCAGTATTGGCAAATAATGGCCGCAAGGGTAGGAAATGAGAGATTTTACCACCTTATTTATCCAATTTATCGCCCATGTAACTGGGGTGTTGGGAGCAACCCTGTCATTGTTCGTGTTTTCAGCTTACCTGGCCACATGGCATAATGATCCCTGTAGGCTAATACGTTCGGGATGGGTTGAAATGACCATATAAATTGCTGCCAGGACTGAGGAACTGATGATATGACAGTGATGGTGATGATGATGATGGTGATGATGATGGTGGTGGTGATGATGATGGTGGTGGTGGTGATGATGATGACGATTACGACTAATTTATGAACGGATAGTTAGATAGTTTATGATATCAGTTTTCAGGTGAGCTTTGCCCACTTCCAACTCAGGGGCATTCCTCCGAAAGTCCCAACTTGGCGAGGTGGATGATGTGCCTTTCTTCGATCCTTACGAGATTTGGAAGTTGCAGTTTTACCGCAATGCCATCAAGGTTTCCGATAATGGGCTCAGTCGTAGGTTGCTCCGTTTCGGCAAATGATGAGGAAACAATGGGTAACATAGATGTGGAAAACCCATGAAATTTCCCCTTCGGAACATGATCTACATATATTTTTGGTGGGTTTTCCATTTTTTTGTTTTTTTTTTCACAGGAGGGTAAATGATGGTAAATGAGGGCGCCACAAGGCGAAGACCTTGGTCATGTCACCCCTGGGAAATCCTCGTGGCCTAGCCAGGGAGGTTTAGTTCACTGGGAAAATCTTCTACAAACGGTGGATTTTTCAGCTAGCCATGTTTGATTGCCAGATGGTATACAGAAGTATACAGAAAGTGTACAGGAGCTCAGGTTATCCCAATTGCAGCATTTGCAAGGTACAATAGGAATCTAAGAGAAAGGCCATAGCCACAAGTGACATTTTTTTATTTTTTTTTCAGACCTCATGAAGTTTGGTGACTTTAAATGGGAAATTAGAACAAGCACCACTCTTCCAGTGGGTCTGCTGTTATTAAAACAAGATGGTGCCCCTCCCTGTTCTGCTTGTCAGTTAATGTTCAACCTATACAATTATAGTTATATCTACCATAAACCGTACAGGCAAGCTAGTGAAATAAGCCGCATTCGCGAGCTAGGGCCGCTAGGAGGCTCCACCAAACGTAGGACGGCCCACGTTTCACAACGGAACGGTCTCATTGGGCCAATGTCTTGGTTCCCTGCAAGGTGACGCCGGAAGAATCAGTTCCATTGCATCACTACTATGTGCAGTGCCTTGTCGGGATTTCGCTGAGTGATTTTTGACGACTGACCCCTGGCAGACGTCACAATGCAAGTTCCGGTTTAGTTTTGGCGCCTCGCTGTGTCTGCGAAATGGGTGTTCCTCCAAACAACCAGCAGAGTAATAGGGATGAGAACGAAGATTCATTGTTATTTTTTGGTAGCCTATTTGGGTATGGGTCAATACCTATAGATACATTTTTAGTGGGATGAACATCCATTTACCAGCTATTTTGGGGTTCACTAGGTACCAGGGTTTTGACCCATCCCCATTTCAGATAAAGACATATACTTGTACAAGAGGAATGAGGAATCTATTAATATTCGACCAGCAGGAATGGGATGCCGCCCCTCTGAGGACGTGGATGAAGTTTGACTATTTCCCACAGGGCCGCAGGAGGGGATGATGACGATAGACGTCACCCGGAAAGGATGAAAGCTGCCAAACGGATTGAGGAAGAATCCCATCCCCGAAAAATCTTGAGCGCCAGCATATGCCGTTGGTGGTTTCCCATAAAATACTGTGGTTTCATCCCCTACTATTTACCGTGGTTTCTTGAGTTTTTTCATGTTCCTTAGGGCTGATCGAAGGAATTCGCTGACAGGTGCATGATATCTGAAGAACTGACTGATTGACTGGTTCTCAAAGTTTCAAAGCCCTGCTATACCTTGGGATATGTAAAACAAGTCATTAATGAGTTTGGATTCTTGTATAGGAAAATGTGTACTAACATGTCTGCAATGGATACCTTAATTCAGAAAATAAATGAGCACACCACGTTTTACATCTTACAAGTCTTACATGTATTCTTTCTTGATTCCTGATTATGATAGAATTTCCCGCAACATCCCTCCTGCGACCTTGTTACAAGTGTTCAAAATCAACAAACGCAAACTCAGACACCCTCCAGGATCCCTCCTGGATCCGCAGTAGTGTTTCAAGTTCAGAACTGCAGCGCAGCCCGACCCTGCTATGAAATCTATGAAGGAAATCTTCAGAGTACAGTTTTTTGTTTTTTTTTGACAAGTCCCAAGATAGAGCAGATAGTCACTGGAATTTCTTTTAGGTCACTGGAGGACGGTCACTTACAGGAAGATTTGCAGCAGTGACAAGTTGATTGATGATCTTATCAAACTATGGATATCATATCATATCAATATAGTATGCGTACATGGATATAATCTATATTTATGATGTATACTGTATAGATATGTATAAAACATGTACAAATATGTACAAATATGTATAAACATATATATATATATATGCCATGGTCAGAAAAAAATGCCCATATTTGGAGATAGCCATCAATTCATCAATGGCGGGATTTTTGTACATCAAATGATGTTTGGATTTCCTTCAATGGATGAAACCTCATTGATCCTGTGATCTTAGTTACCCTCCGGTAATCAAACATGGCTGGCTGGAAAATCACCAAACTAGCCATGGATGTGTTGTGTTGAAAGGGGATACCATCGAACTATATAAATAGTGGGTTTTCCAACAAGCCACGTTTCATTTTCGGAGGGTATCCATGAAATTAGTTGAAATTACATATCTACCTAGCGGACCTAGCCCAGTTATGCCAGTTACAACATGCTGTACAGTTATGGCCCGAGTTATACCAGTTATAACTACTAACAAGTCACCCCATAGAAATAGAATGTATGATCCCATAGAAATCACCAGTTATAACGAATAGCCATGGCAAAGATTATGTAACTGGCTTATGATCATATTTACAACATATTACAACTGTTATTTACAACTGGGCTTATTGTAATATGTAATAACTGGGCTATATTTATAACTGGGCTTAGATAATATGGCTATGGATCAATATACCTATAAAAATACAATTTTTAGGGGGTTATTCACATCCACAAATCCCAGCTATTTTGATGTGAACTACAGGGGTACTATTGGTTTTGACACACTGCCATATGAATCGTTTTTTTTTTCGGACCAAAAAAACAACCGCCAGGAGCTGCAAGGTCTCGCTGTGGAAATATGAGGAAGATGCAGCAGCCTCGGTAGTAAAAAAACAATAAAAACACCAACAAAGTCTTACACATGGATAGAGTATCACCTAAATTCTTAATTTTGTGATGGAACATGTTAGGTTACTGAATTTCTGAATTGATTTCGTTTACAAACTAAGCGTTCTGGAAACCCAGCAGTCTTACTTTTGTGTAATTCTATCGGCCATCTGTACAAGAAAACCATAGCTATAATTTAGTTTACTGTAGGCTAAGCAAGAATTCACACGATTAGACTCTTATCCATCGGTAAATGATAGCCGCAAGGCTGGGATTTTTGTTGTGTGACTTTACGTAAGACCCTCGGGGTCCTCCCTGGGTCCTAGGAACCGAGGAAGCCCGACTCATAGGAATGAAACACATATCCAATTTGCACCTCGCATGATCAGAATTTCATCAAGTTCCCCTATTTTTTTTTTAAAGTGCATCTGTTCTTAGCTTGGCTCCAGCTCATTGAATGTCATACAGTTTTTTTTGAATATAAATATATTAAACATCCCTGTCGTCAAAGCGTCTCCAATATCGTCACAGAATTCGTTGGATCTTGGGGAACTGTCCAATGTCGTCAGCCCTTGGTCCTGGTCCCGTCAGAACGGTGATTGATCTGATCCACAGGTACAAAAAGGTACACTTCTCATCTCGTTATGGAAAAATGCCATCCATCCTGCATCCTGGAAATGAGACTAAATCAAGTGTTGGGCAGTTTTGGGCATTTCAGGATGAAGCATAATCCTTCAGGTGTAGGAGTGTAGGCGTCAAGAACACATGTTTTAGGCCGAGAGACTAGCAGTTTTTGAGGCAGTTGCATCTCAGATTTACAGTCTTCATTTACCCGAACCCCCAATGCAATTCCATGGAAGACTATGGAAGACTTTGTGCAAGTACTTCCTACTTGGTTTATGAGGTGTTATCCTACTTAGTAATGTAGTATGGGATAGTACAGGTGATTTTTGCTAGTTGTAAGTTCCAAGTGAAGCTACTTGCAGGAGCAGGCTATCGTAAGGAAAACCCCATAGTTTCACCCAGCTTTCCACTACCGGATGCTTAGATTGGTTGCCACAGTTATGGCTCTATAAATGGGCCTTAAATGGGATGAAAGAACCTATATGTAACTAGTTGGTTATATAATGTTATATATATAATTATATATGTATATATTTATATCATGAAATAGCAAAGGTATAACATCGTAGAATTGTTACGGGCTAGAACTGTGGCTGCCAAGGTCTACTATCTCATGCAGATTGACAAATTTGGGCGACGATTCTATCATCGAGGCACCCTCTACATCCCTCTACACAGGTAGCTGGCCATATTTCTACTATCGGTTGCAAGGTGGACTCCCTTTGAGTCATAAGATGTTGTGATTTTCCAGCCAGCCACGTTTGATTGCCAGAGGGTATCCATGTTCTCCATGACCATGGAGGTTTCCTAAGATCATCCATTCTTTGGTAGCCCTGTTTCAGGAGACCGCCATATAATCCACTCATCTAAAATTCATTCATTACCATTAAGTATCCAGTATCCATTTTGCAAGTATCCTTATCCATCTAACGTATCCATTATAGGTATAGTACCCATTCCACTAAGATCTGATCGAATCAGGATACTATATGATACTATCATAATACATACTGTTCATGGATACTCAGTATACCTATAATATCCTATAATGGATATTATAGGATTTATAGCTACAATCCATTTTAATTTACGTATAATCCATTGGAGGATCCGCAGATTCCGGTCCACAGGTGGACTGTCCACGGGTCCGATGGCTCCTCCGTTGAAGTCGTGGATGCCGGCGGCACCACCGTGGATATACCCTCTGGTGATGTCAAAATAGCCATTGAAAATTGCGATTTTCCCATTAAAAATGGTGATTTTCCATTGAACATGGCCATTGATAGTGAGTTTTCCCCTTAAACATGGGGAATTTCCATAGTTATGTGGCTGTTTACCAGAGGGTAATCCAAGAAATTGAGCAGTTGAGTGGTGAATCTGACATGGTGACTTGGAGATCCCCCATATTTTCTTGGAAACTTCTGTTTAGGTATGGATCAACACCTATTTGGCCAAATTTGGGGGAATGAATATCCCAATTTGGTGAGAGCATACGGGGAACAGGGTTTGATTACCAGATCCATTTGATAAATTTTGGACCGTCTATGATTGTTTTCCCACTTTGGGTATACCTTTTTGACTCACCCAAGTGGCGGGTCATTCGATTGACTATCCATGTTTGTTTCTGGAAGCATCAGAAAAAGATGGGGTCGTGGAAAGCTTTGATCCATACCATGTGGTGTCGTGGTGTTTTTTTCCAGATAGCTACGCAGGTCTAAAATAGGGTTTATTGTAGATATACTTAGGGCACCACCTTGTATGTATTGGGGGTTCAAACACATTGTGCTCGCCAAATGGGGGTTCAAAGTACTTGAGATACTCACCGTCTAGATCATGACTTCAGCTCAATGAAGTCTCGTTTGGCTTGGGGAGGCAAACACACAATCAGGGTCGGTTTAGTACCATCTCCCATCACTTCTCCATTCATTGGGAAAAATTGGGGACTACTCGCCCCTTTTGATCAAGCAACCACTGTGAAAGGACATCTCTGCAACTTAACTATACTGTAAATATATGTAGCATAAAACTTCACTGTTTGAAACAACAATCCACCAAGCACAGGGAGTGACACTTGGCCAGCTACAACCAAGAATCCATGTTCCTGGGAGTTAGTCATCATACTGTTATCATGATGTGTGCAAGCTCAAGTCTGTTTCTGTGGTATTATTACACGTGTGAACTACGTTGTACTTCTTAATTATTTGTTTCAATGGTTTTGGATGCTCCGGGTACGATCTGAGCAAGTTGAGCCACACCAAATATTTTAGATCAGATGCCCTGCAAACTGCAGAATTTAGTCCTTTGAGCGGTGAACCATGCCATTCTAGGGGTGTTCAATCTTAAACCTGCTTAGAACATCTTAGAACATCTTGGAACCATGTTCGGGAACATCTTCAATCTTGAAGCAAGACTCAATTTCTGTTTCTGGAAATGACAGCTACTAAACAGCCATAAATCAATGAATCTGGTAGGCATTCTGTCTTTATCCACAGGGACCTCAGCCGATGCTGCTGTTCTCCAAGTCCACCAAGGATCCGAGTTTGAAACTGCCGGTAGACAAGGCCGTCGGGACGGGCGGAACCAGTGGGAGAGGTGGAACAAGGCCCTAACTGGGCTGTGGATTTTCATGACAAAATGGTAGAAAGTTTCGTAGTTTCTTTACAAAGACACCATCCTGCAATATCCTGCAAGCATTTGGAACACCAGGAGTGAGGGAGATTTTATCATATGTCATATGTCTCAAACACCTATTCCATTGCCTGGTTTGTCATCATGTTCATTTTTCCCATTTTTTGCATGAACAAATCTTCAGACAACCCCATGTTTACCACTGTTACCTATCCGCTTTCTAGCTGGCATTTTTTTTCACCAAAGATATGAAGTCCGATACTTAGATGTGCATCCAGGTAATACTAACCTGGTTGGTGGTTCGGAACATGTTTTATTTTTCATTTATTTTTCCATATATTGGGAAGAATACTCCCAACAGACGAACTCATATTTTTCAGAGGGATAGCTCAACCACCAACCAGTAGCTGTCAAATGATCCATGCGAACCTATGAATTTGACAAGAGATGACTCCACATATTATGGGTACCCCACAACGGGTGCTGGGATAGACTAGACCCCCAAGGCTGAAGAACGTCCGAGCCGTGAAAGCTGGGGTCCGGTCTTAGTGTTCGGGTGGCTCAGTGGATGCCACGGAATGGGCGCTAGGCTTTGCCTTGGTTTTATGGTTTCAGTGTATGATGAAAAGTCTGAAAAATGGTGTGTTTGACTGGAAGACCCTCCAAATATACATGTTTCACTGGCGTTTTACCATGTAATTTGAGTACTTTTACAATTTTTGGGTGGTATTTGGAATGTATTTGGAGGGTCTATAGATATATTGATGTTTAAGTCAACAATTATCTACATCAAGCCAAAGTAGTTAAGCTGATACTGTTTCGAGGTCGAAGCACCAAAATGATGAGTTCACAATCCCAATTTTTGGTCAATAAGAAGTACTGCCAGGTACAGTTGTGGCCCTTAAATGAACAGGGCCTTAAATGGAATGTTGTTTAACTCCTGCAACTGGTTGGTTATATGAAATCAATCAGTTATACCCTCTGGTTATTTAACATAGCCATGGAAAATGGCTCATTTATAGATGGTTTACCTATTAAAATGGTGATTTTCCATGGCTATGTTGGTCATAACCAGATGGTAATGTGTTTAAAGGCTATAACTGTAGATTTGCACACTCGACCAGTGTTGTTGCAAAAATGACCAGATTTCGACCCAATGACCCATATCCTGAAGCTGACAATCGCAAGTTCTGCGAAGATTTCGAGTAATTTCAGGCGCCCAGGTCCTGAAAATAGCTTAGGACCTGGGTCTGATTCAGAGGTTGCATCAACTTACATCTAGTGGAATGTGTGCTGAAAAATTGCCTTCTCATTTTGGGGCGCCCTAGAACCCCGAACAGCCAGGGAATGTCATGTATTTCTGCTTGTAGGCGTCCGGAAGAGAAGCAAAAGGCCATTAGCAGCAGCAAGGAGGAGAGGTTCAAGGAAATCGAGTCCAGAGCTTAAGATCTTTTGGGTTGGCTCTGGCAGATTGCTACCTGCGGCTAACTTAGTACTCTTCTGAATCATATACTTGGTGGTTCACCCCGCGGATAGATAGGAAGTGGGGTATACATAGGATGACCCACTATGGGGATTTCACCAACCTCTGGTGGTAACCCCCTGCAATGATAAAGGTTGATTGGAGGCTTATGAACCACCAACAATCAGGGTCAAGTCTTAAAATGGTTCACAGATGGAGGATGCACCCAGGTGTTGTAAGCCATACTTGAGGTGCTGTTCCTCTAATGTGTACAACTTACACAACCATAGTTGTAGAGGCCCCATATCCCAACTTACAAGGGATTATAAGGGTATTCTTGTTTCATAACCCCAACTGCGCGGCTGTAATAGTTGGTAGATTTCCGGTGGGCATACAGAACGAGGCTGGCAGCCACTGTCAATAGCTACCATTGCAATCAGAGGATGAACATTTAAAATTATTTCTCAGCCATTTAAAAGTTGAACTACAGGGCACCGGTACCTGCAGTTAGCCTTGGTATGCCCTAGTTGCAGGGATTAGTTTATCCCATTTATAACTGCTAAGGGCCATAGCTGTGGGGTTTTGATCCATACCCATGTATCGTGAACCGGGGTACGCGACTCAACGCGCAGGTACTATCCCTATTGATACAGCCGTACCTCATGAGGGAGAAGTTGGGTTGTAAATTTTGGGGGAAGTATCTTGTTAGGAAGCATTCGGATCCATAGGCTATTATTTTATTACACAAAGTCTTGTAGTCGTACTGAATGTACTGAATTTCAAAATTATTCTACATTCCTATTGGCTACCTTAGCTGCTTTGCTATTTGTTTTTATCGCATGTAGAAATTGATGACCCTCCGGCAAGCTGGCAAAGATCATCCAACAGTGGGTTATGTTTTTTCATGGGGAGAATCATCTATGAATGGGGTATGTTCCATTGCCACTGTTGAATAATCAAAGTATCTAAAATTAACGTGGAATACCAATGGATATCATCTGTATATCATCTGTCAGTGTAGAAATCATCTACAGTTATGGCCATTTATTAGTGATAGGTGGTTATTTCTACGGGACGATACATTCTACAAATGGGGTTTTATTAGTACTTATGATGACTGGTATTTCGGGCCATAACTGTAAAGGTCATCTATAATGATGATCGGAGGGTATACCAGTGTGACCTGACCTCGTAGTTTCACGGCTCACAGGGTCAGCTCAGCTTTCGCCCTATGAAACGTAAAAAAGACAGTTTTTTGGGAGTTGGTGGTTGGAGAATCTTGTGAAAATGTGTGTTTTCTTTCAAACATGTACCATGTTCATCCACGTTCATTTGGAATCGATGATAGAAACCACCATACAAAATTTGATATATGGTTCAACATGGATTCCTCAAAAATGGCAATGTTCAATAGCTTCACGACATCTTTCAGACCCCTTGAAACAGCCAAGCAGTTTCAGTAGCTTCAGGCCTCATTGCATCCCCAACCTTGGATGAGATGCTCCAGCCATTTGTTCCCGGCTGGACGTATCCCCATCCGACCATCCGACCCAGAACATATGACTGACTTAAGAAAAAAAGAAGGTACACCATTCCATCAAATGCCTGCAGTTAATCATCATTTTACTGTGCATAATATACATACCTACCTGCCCACCTACCTACCTAACTACCGTACCTACGTACGTACATACGTGCATACATCATATATAATCATATTATACAAAATCTAAAATAGTGTATGGTGGTATACATAATGATGTAGGTATACGAGCCCCATAATCATACATTTTTTTCGATATGTGTGCCATCTAAAAAACATCCATCACCTGGGGCTCGTCTCCGCGTCGCTCCCATGTTGCGCATTGTGGCCGTCTCGGGCGAGACCCTGCGCAGCTTTCCGCTGGAACGGCTGGAAGCTGCTGCTGGAACCACGGGCTTTGGCAGCTCGATGGGGAAGCGTGTATGATTTGGGGATATCATGGGGATATCATTGGGAAATGGGGAAATGTCATGGGGATATGATGGATGATCTATTACACGTTATATTTTTCATCATATTATATCATTATATAAATATATATATAGATACATATACAATTGTATATCATATTCTATGGTTGGTGTTTTCAAACATATTCTATGGTACAACCGGTACAACCCTTAAAATATTGAAGAAATATGGTCCCTGATCATTCCCTGATGATTCCCCAGATCGGGCAGGTCAGGTAAACAGCCACATAACCATGGAAAGATCCACCATTTTATAGCTGGGAAAATCCACTATTTCAATGGCAATTTTCAATAGCTATGTAAACGTTTACCAGAGGGTAAGCAATCGTTTTTGGTGGTATTTTTGGACAAATCCATTCTTTGAGCCAGTGGATTGTCATTTGTGTTTGACCAGAAATGGGATGATTTATTCCCGGTGCATAGCATTTTGTTTGATAGGAACATTACGATGACAAACCATTGGATTTTGCGATATGTACCTCGATTATCCTCAATTCTCAACCAACCAATGTTTCACGCTTTATACCCCCTAAATTTAACATGGAACACATTTTTGTGAGCCATACTTGAGACCAGAATCCTGTTAAATTTCAGGGGAAGTGTCCGTTTTCCATACAGCATTGGACGGACATCCAATCATGATTCGGATACTTTTTTGTAGGCGGTACCAGATATATGTAGATGGTTCACACCCGCAGAAATGCAGAAATGATCACCAATATGTTTTGCTCAAATATGATCTTCCCATATCTTCCCTGTTTTGCTGGTGATGTTTACATATATTTCCAATATTTGGATGTTTCTCATATAGAATTTGAATGAACAACATGTATAATCCCATTCAACTAGCAGCAGGTTATGCCGTCAAAGAGGAGCTACAAGATGAGCTTTTTGGCTGCAGCCAACCTACGTGACAAGGCGCATCCCAGATAGGAAATTGACAAAAACTATGTGGATTACTACAGAAGCCACTTTCGTTCCTGGAATATGGACTAGGTATTTGCGGGTATATATGATATCATTATTCCTGAAATATCCCTAGTATGCCGGTTCAAGAAAACATGTATGTATATTATATATATGTATGTATATGTATTGTGTATATATATATATTTATATATATATATTGCAATTGGGCCACTTCCGATTCCTGCGTCCCGCACATTCAAGTTTTGTACACAGCAGGGACCTTGGAAAATAGCTTTGCGAATGACTCGCCAGGACGTTGCAATAGATTTTTCGAGAAATCAACATTTTTTAGGTTGCTGAATGTGAATGTAAATACTTAATTATCATACTATATATATATATATAGATACGATTGCCCACACAATTATATCATATACGTGTATAAATATGTATTACACATACATGCATAGAGAGATGGGGAGACATATACCGGAGACACAAACGATACCATGGTGATGAAGTGGTTTCTTTCCGTTTCTGCCAGCGCCGAGGTTGCAGGTCCCAAGTTTTCGTTTGCGGCTGCTGCAGCGAAACGACATGGTACCAGATGCTTGGCTTCAAGGGCCTCAGGACCCTAAAATGGAGGTACGTTAGTACCATAATATAAGGCCATATTGTTGGGGATATTCCTTGAAATTTAGCCCTTATGTATGGTAGGTACCTCCAATTTGGGTTCCTGAAATGGCCATTTGGTTACACGATGTGTACCCTATGGTAATTCAACTTAGCTATAGAAAATGACTATTTTTAATAGGCAATTTGCATAATAAATGATCTATAAATGGGCCATTTTGGGCAAACCTTGGTTTGGGGAAATGACCAGACATGGATATACACCGTGCAGGCGCGCGATTGGGTTGCCACCCCTAGGAAATCCATGTGCTTATGCAAAACAAACAGCAAATACCATGCAAAACTGCTTCTCCAGGATGTTATCCTGTTTTTTCATGTTATGTTATTTTTTGTTTGTGTTAATTATGTATTTTGCTGACATCGTTAAGTCTAGGTGTGGATATCTATATGGGATATATGGTGATCGTACTGCCAGACATGGTGGTTTCACCGAGACGAACAATGTTTGATAACCCGTCCAACTGGTGAAATGAAGTCCGTATAAGGACAGCAATCCCCTGATCATTTTTTGTGCAATCTTAGTCAAGTGACAGAACGGTGATAACCCAACCACCTACATGTAGATACGTTTTATTATTTTTTTTTATTATTATTACTATTATTATTATTGTATACGTATACATTGACGCGTTCATTCCATTATATCAATATTACATATATATATATATATTATATATATATATATGTTTTTTTTTTTATAATACATGCGATATGAAACAATATGAGATAGGTCTACAGACATGGCTGCTGTGGCCGTTGCTGCGGCCGTTCAGAAAGGACAAGATGTCTTGGGAAGAGTTGGGAAAGCCTGAAGAATTACAGGCCGGGCCGTTCTTTCAGGGGCTGGAGATATCTCGAGATCGGATGGGCGTTTTCATTTTCAGATCGAATTATTTAACATGAACATTTGGTTAATGACAATCCACTATTATTTAATATACTGTCATAGCGGGTTCTTCAGAAAAAACCGCCACATGAAATCACAGAGATCCCTGGCTTACCCCTGCAACCCCCAACTTCAATGTTGCGATCGGAAGTGCCGAGCATCATCAACAGAAATGGTTGTTTTTTTGAAGGCCGCCAAACACAAAATTCAGAAAACAATATTAAATTGGGGGACGGGGGGACATGACCTCTGTGGTGTGGTACTTCATTGGATGGCTGTTTTTTGAAGAACCCGGTATAATGCGAAATAGTCAACTGACAGTATTGGTTATAGACTAGATATCCCATTTATTCATTTACGTTTTATGCTATGGTTATACCGTATATACCCCATAATTCATAGGGAACTTTAACTAACATGATTATACATATTTTTGTTCACTGTCATGTTCGTAAAGCAATAGTAAACCACCACCCCCCAGGACTTAGCAATAGTTGGGATGTAACCCCTACAACTATGGACAATACGCCATGTTCAGACAGACCCAAGTACCAAAGTATTTATATAGCATATACATATATACATATATACATACATTGTATATAGTTGGTTATATATATATATATACATACCTATCATTCTAGATCCCAGATGATATCCTCCACTATTCACTCTACTGTTAGGAAAGCAATAGGATCGCAATAGGATCCACCATCCCCAAAGTACTTACCATGGGTGGGATTGGAACCATCAATCCATATGGGTGGTGAACATGGACCTTTGATAGGCAAGGGGCCGTTGCCCACCTGAAGCGACATGATGGTGCCATCAGAATTCTACCCTTGGCGAGCCACACATATCTTTGTTGAAGGCCATGCGAAACTTCTTTTACGAATGGTGCAATTCAGCAACATTGCGGGGTACGAAAGTGTTACACGAGTTCATAGTTTTGGTGATTTGCGTTTTCCTCGTTTATTTTTCTTCCGTACAAAACCCATATGGTCCATCTTGTTTTCTATGTGCTTAGACCATTGCGCCCCTAGTTAGATGATGTTAGATGGACCGTCCTTTGTTGAGTGTTGATCGTAACATGTCGTAAACGGGCTCTATCATGTTCTGACCCCTTCTAAAAAGGCTGAGCAATCGACAAAGTTATTGCGACTGCGAAGATGGTTTCACCAGTTTCTTCGCCTGCGTTCTTTCGCACTTCAGCTCCTTCCCTGAAGCTCTCCATATTTCCAGGTTTCCAGCGTTGCCAACCATTTCATAGAATTGGATGATGGGAAAATTTACAGGAAAGCCCTATATTTGATGGTAAAAACCATGGGTTTCCTGTAAATTTCCCCTTAAACCAATCCAGTGACCATTGCGTTTTGACTTGGCCTTTGGCCTTGCAATGCCGAGACGTCCCCCTTCAGGTGGACCCCTTCAGGTTAGACGGAGCTGTCGGTGAATCCGAAAACCGGATCGGACTGTTTCTCTGACGGTTGCTGCTTCATCCCCATGTGGTGTCTCGAAATAGGATACCAGGATACCCAAAATGAATCAAAATGATGGATGGTTTATCATGGTTTATCATCTTCCTAGATTGCGGACATGTTCGATTCTTTGAGGTGCCTCATGTCTTTTGTGAAACAAACTCGAAAATGATTGGGCATATATCCCAATTATATCCCCATGTTTTTCCACTGTCGATGATCATAGCGTTGGTTAGTTCAGACAAACCCAATTCTTGGCTGCTACAAACCCACATCTTAAAATGGGTCATCATGTTTGTTGCAATACTAGTTCTAGATATCCCAATCGAATTATTGTTAAATTATATAATATTATGTGTATATATATATCATTATATATCACATCCTGTTGACTGTATCCGTTAAGCGTCAGATATTATAATTGCTTGTATGTCCCATTATATCATATTATATCACGCATATTTGACTTGGTCCATGTTAGGCCTCCATCATTTCCGTCATTTCAAATCTAGACCTGAAGAAATTAGAGGAAGTCAAATCTCTCCCAGAACTGAAGAACATAACAGATTCCTGGAATCCCCTCAGATTTCGTGTTAAAAACATCTGCTTTCCGATTCCTAAAATCTCCAGCAGACGAGACTCCCATCCGAAAGAAGCCGCCTCGTTGCAGCTGGTGATTCTGCCCATTGGCAACGGCTCGGAAGAGAAGCTCTTGGAGGCGGCCGAACAAGGCCGAACAAGTCCAAAAATGGAGAGAAAAGCTGGAAATCTATGGACAAAATCATGGAAAATCATGAATATATACATGAGGTATCATCGAACTAAAAAAAATCCGGGAAACACAATTGTCTGATTTCTATTTTTTCAGGCGTGCTATATCACGCCATATCACGCCATTTATATATGGTAAAGCAATTTGCAGAACTCACCAGGGGTACTAACCAATTACGACCCCAAATTGCCTGATTTCACAAGTTGAGGCCTCTCAGTTACAAGTTGGTTCCTTAAAATTAAACCCATTGACTACAGTTGTATCCCCCTAATCAACCCTACGTCGTCACCTTAGCTATCACAAATCAATGAGATATGATGAGATATGCATATAAATCTCAAACAAACTCATTAAATCTCACTAAATTCCATTAAATCGCGATTTTTCTCGGTGAAACCCACCATTGCCTCCAGGTTGTTTCGGTTCAACCTGTCTCCAGGCGATGGCAAGCTGGTGAAGCAGCTCCTGGCAGAGCCTGCGGATCCCAACTGCCTGGACAAACAGACGCATAAGTCGCCCCTTTTGAAGGTGGGCCAATGGGCGATGGATTTTCACGATATCACTGAGATCTGGAGAAAGGATGGTTGATTGTTCTTTTGTTCAAAGGAGATACTTCACTTTTGTTCATTCTTCAATGTTGGAAGAACATTGTGATATGAAATGATTGATTTAAGTTTTGATAAGAAAAAACACTGTGATAGAACATTCATATCAAAAAAACATAAGTCAACCATTGTGATATCACTGAGAAAGGATGAAGAAAAAAGCCATGGTTGAAGAATGTTGAAGATACGCAATTGAAGTTGGTTATATACTAAATGTTTACTATCCATGGATATCCAATAGTATAATCAACTAAACATGGTTGATGTTATTTTCCATATATTGGGAATGATCATCCCAACTGACTCATATTTTTCAGAGGGTAGGTATACCACCAACCAGATATAATTTAGTTGATTATACTATTGGATTATGATGATTAATTATGACTTGGTTGGGACTTCTAATAGCTAATTTACTGAGGATATGAGGATAGCCGCTGACAGCCCACAGGATTGGGAAAGCGTTTTCAACCAACTAGCAATGGCTCACATGGAGGGTTTGTTGGGTTGCACGGTAGAAAATCCCACACCCCCATTCTATGGTCCCAATGATGTGAAAATTCCTACTAAACCTAATGTGTAGTGTTGTTAAAACAATCATAAACCATCCCCATCTTTACAATAAATGGGCGGTACAAACCATCAAAAATGGGGGCAGTTAGTGTTTTAACCACATTACAACAAATTGTAAGATATGTACAACAAACAAAACTGAGTGAATTGAGGTTTAGGGTTACAAAATGACGGAGTTTTGTAATAGACTCTTCAGGCACGTGGGGTTGTAGCCAAGCCTGACCGATCCATCCACATGATAGTTGCGGATTGAAGGAACTGCTCCAAAAGGAGGTAAAATGATAGTACTATTCCAAAATGATTTCCAAAATAATGATAGAACAATCCGACATTTAATATTGTTCAATCATGTATAATCCGGAAATCACATATATGATTAGGAAGATGTTGGATAAATTAGGATATATATATATATATATATTCAGGTAAAACAGTCATAATTAATTATGTTCAATCTGAGACTTTGCCCAGATAGATCTTTGTTTGGATTGGGTATCATCAGAGCTCAGCCAGACCAGTTAAGGAAAAGGACCTCTGGTTCGCAAACTGGAAAATCACCATTTTTAATGGAAAAAAAAAAAACATGTTGTTTTTCTCATCGAACTTTTCATGGGCAATGGCTTTCATAGCTATGTTGAATAACCAGAGGGTATCTAAACACTTTTAAGGAATGGATTTGGATTAAGAGCGATTCTAATCATTCAAGAAAGGATATATGATGATACATGGTCCGTGAATGTGCTAATGTTTGGGCTATGCCAATGGCGTTGCTTCAGAGGACCCGCTCTTTCATTTAGATCAAAAATCCCGAGTCTTTACCTCACTTCAACCGACTGAACATATTGATCCGTAAAGAAATTGTGTTGGTATGAAAATAGACTGCCCTCATTCCATCCACTGGTAATATTTCAAGAATTTTGCCATGTTTTACCGTTACCCATTTAAACTGCTATAGACTGTACAATATTCCCCATGTTCAGAGACACAAAAAAATGCAGTTGATCATTCTAGCGACGGCATTTTCCCAGATAGCTTGAAAACTCGGTTTTCCAGATGGTGAAATATTATGATTTGTCCAGATGCTCAAATTGTTCCCACGAATTCCCAGTGACGTTTCCCAGAATCTTTTTTAGAATCTATATTTTTGGATGTTTGATGCGTTTGTTTTCCAAATTAATCTCATCAATGATGTACCTTTCGGAATCACATTTGTTAGTTGAAAATATCCGGATCCCATGACTTAAAAAATGCCCTCACCCCAATGTGGCGAGCTGGAAATCCGGGATTTGTTCATCGAACGAACTGGTGGATTTTCGCTCGCGATTATGGAGCCATTAGGGGATTTATCCCATAGTAACATTAGCATTAGGGGATATGAATCGATTTATTACTATATATGTGTTTTTTTGGTAGTGCGGTAGTCCATGTAATTAACAATATCTCCGATATGTTCTCGGGTACGTTCTCGGATAATATATAGTCAAAAATTGTCCAGGTCCCATTAATTAAAACCTAATATGTGATCCATCAGATCAAATATGCGCTGTTGAAAACCGGATGAAAAAAGTTGCTCCCAGTGTAATTCCAGCCGTTTATCTTCCTAAATTGATTCATGACATGGGTTTGTCTGAAATTTAGGTGCCCCTAATCCCATTATGATCCCATGAATATCATCATGAAAAACCACTATTATACTATCATTGTACCATCATTATACCATCATTATACCATCATTATACCATCATTATACCATCATTATACCATCATTCATTGTACCTTACTTCTAATCCCATTATTTTACCCTCATTATACCTTTCTTAACGCCAACTTTTCCTCATGTCCAGGCCAGTGCTCAGGGCCACCTGAAGGTGGTGAAACTGCTGATCAAGGCAGATGTCGGCTGCATGCCAGTGTCACATCATGGGAGAGAACGTGTGTTTTTGTTTTTTATTTTTTGCCTTGGGATATGATATTATAAATATATTTATATATATATATATATATATAATTAAATTGAATTAAATTCTACTATATTATTTATTATATTGTATATTATACTATATATTATGTTATATATAGTATTATATGTTATATCATATTAATATTAATATCATGTTATATTATATTATATTATATTATATTATATTATTGTATATAATTATATATATATATGCAAAATTGGATATAATGGGGTGTATACATATATATATATATATATAGAGAGAGAGAGAGGGAGACTCTAATGGAATATAATGGTGTGTGTATATATATAAATATACTGTAACGGAATATAATGGAAAGTAATTGGGTACAATGGGGTTTACATATATACACATAAATATTGATTTAATGCAATGTCATTGCGGATATTATTGCATATCAGGTGATATGTAAGCAACAATACATCTGTATTTGCTGAGTTGGTAATTACTTATTGCCCCATTCCCGAAGCCACCAGACATGTGAAAAGCTTCACCGTTCGTGAAAAACGGGTCTATATGTGTTGGTTTAGGAGCACAGAATTAACCATATGCTGCCGTTTAGTTTCAGATGTTTGTCCGTAGCTGTCGGATTTGTTTGCCAGTTTAATGCCTTTCCATCAAATCCTGATATCCTCTGGTAAATGAACATAGCTATGAAATATAATATCACCATTTGTTGCAGGTAAATCATCTATAAATGGCCCATGGCTACCATAAGCGATGTAACAAATTACCGTTCTGGTTGTTGCTCATGTTGGCACCCGTCAAGTCATCACGGACCCCCCCAAAGATCTATTACTTCCTGGTCGATGCAGCGGTGGCCAAATATTCCTTCGGTTGCTGATCATATGACCAGAGTTATTATTGGATTAGAATCTGCGGTTGAAATGTTGGCATCAACCAGTTAGCTAAAGAAGCATACATATTTTGATGAGTGTTGGAGCTTGAAGCCCCACGTGTGTTAAATTGCATGTCCACAAGTGTCGGAAATTGCTTCCCTGGAGCGCCATTCGAGAAATGTTTGCCAGGGACGTTGACAGGCAACCGCAGTTATAGATGCAAAAACCCAAAGGTTCTTGTGATATTTTCTATGAAATCAAGTCAGCGAAATACACCACAACAATAATTGATCAGAATCACAATCTGCGTAGAAAGTTTGACCCACCTCTACACTACCCTCACCCTCTAGTAAGCAGGTATGGCAATGGAAATGTATCTTGGGGAATTCTAAGCCATGTTGCAGTTACCAGATTGATTTCCCCGAAGTCCCCAAAAAAATCAAGCGAGTGAATCCAACATGGACTCCCCCAAACAAGAGAAACAATCTCCCAACAAGTTGGTTTCCCCCCAGTTATGTTCTGGTTGGTGGTTTGGAACATGTTTTTTAATGAATTTCCATATATTGGGAATGTCATCATCCCAATTGACTTTCATATTTTTCAGAGGGGTTGAAACGACCAACCAGTGTTGGTTTCGAAAAAATTGCCTGATAACAGGGACAAATCGACCTTTTCACCCAACTTCGTGACCTTCGCAGACCTTCGCTATCGCCGTGAGGCCCAGGCCAGCCTGGATCTAAGGGACGGCCGCCTTGAGACTCCCCTGATGGCTGCCTGCAGCCACGGGCATTTGGAGGTGACGAGCTAAGACCTGGGATACCTGGGATCTGGAGCCCTGGCTGGCACCATGCTGAGCTAAGTTAGACATCCCCAACTGGATGGGGTATTGGTACTCTAATCTCCTTTATTTTTTTTATGCTATAAATGGAACATCAGCGGCCAGCAAGAGATTATTTTGGTTGTGGACTATCCATTGACCATGTAACTGTTGGTTTTATGGTATATGGTCATATAGATATCATGATATATACATATATGATATATACACTTAGTTGGATGGCGTCTCTAAACGGATATCTGGGCGGATGCCACCTTGGGGGAATTGTTACCTAGACTGGTGTGAAGGGTTTGGAGAATGTTTTTATGTACATAAACCCATCAACAAAAGTGATTTAAACACCAAATGTGTGTTGATATAACATGATATAACTATCAACATGTCGCCAACCCAACGCGATAAACCTCCAACGGTGTTTTTTTGTTCCACTTATCTCTGATACATGATGCAAATTTGCGGATGGTTTAGTATGGAGTTTCGCACATTCAACTTTGTTTTGGTGAAGGATTTGGTATGATATTTTCCGCTTAGCCATTCCAGATGACCCAAATGCTGAAGACGAATTTGTGTCAGAAACCCAGCTGAAAATGGGACTTCCCAGTTCATTTCCTAAGAAATGAACTTGAAAACATGGATTTCCCAGCAAAAAAACAACATGGATTTTCCAAGTTATCTGGATCCATGTTTTGGGGTAGATCAACCCATAGAAAACGAAGCGGCCGATTCAACATCCATGAAAACAGCTATTGGTTGAAAAAACTCCAATAGCTATTTGGTAAAAATGATACTTCTACAGGTTGTAAGTATCATAAACCATGTAGTTATTGGAGTTATTTGCACTAACTTAGCTGTCGTTTGGCGGCCACACTTTGTAAACATTGTGTGGGTTGTCGTGGCCCCACATCATGCTAGGTTTGTCCTTTATTCGCGATTGCCGAAATTTTGCATGTTTGACTGGAATACAATTTCAACAAATGTGGAAAGTACCCTCTAACAATCAAACGGGTCACTGGAACACCCTTGTCATTCAATGTCATTTGATGTCATTTGTACAGGAGGAGCCCCCAAAACGATACAAAATTTGTCTTACTTCACCAGGCCAATGATTAGATTCATGACCGGATATACCGAACTAGCTAGATGGGACTGCATAAACCAACAGACACAACTGGGGGGCCTTCCTGTGGGTCCTGATTGGTCTTGAATGGAGAAGCCCTGTCAGACGTGCCTCGCAACTAACTTTAACATACTTTAATATACTTTAATTGCAATCATTTGGAGATCTAAGAACTTCATTAATAATTACCAGTTTTTAGGCATTTAAGAATTTGATTAAGATCAGGAAGTTTAGCATGATAACCTGTGAATTGTCGGTCGTTTCCCGCGAGGTGGCCCAGTGCTTGCTTTCTGCAGGCTGCAAGAAGGATGAGACGGATGAGTGGCTGGGATGAAGGGTCCTGTGTCCTGGGAGTACCCATTACAAACCCACTTTGGGGTACCACATTTTCAGGAACCTCCATGTTTTTAGATGGTGATATTGGGCAACAGGATCCAAGGCAATGGAAACTCCACGAGATTTCCGGCTGAAAATTACAGCGTAAAATGAGGGGAATTGAGGATGAGGCAGCATTAAATCCCCAGCAGGGACCACAGATTTTGGTATATGTTTGGTATTAACCATCTAATTATTGGGGTACCCAATTGACATATATATTCATGTGAATATTAGGGTAAACTACCTTCCGGTAATTCAACATTGCTATGAAAAAGGGATGAACATTGCCCATTTATGGATGGTTTATCTCTTATTAGACAGTATGAACACAAGGTGGCTTTCCTAGCTATGTTAAGTTACCAGAAGGTATCCCGAAATGGTGGAACTTTTGGTTGGTGAAATATTGTAAATCATCCGGATACTTGATCTGAATAAAATGAAATGGGAGGTGAACACGTAAATCTTAGGTTCGGGGTTCAACATGGGTGCAGTTAAAGGCTGTGAAGTTGAAGAGCATAAATGATCGAGATACTGATATTAGCAGGTTAGTAACCATGTTTTTTTGCTGTGCAGTGAACAATTGGAACATCCAGAAATGTCGTGACATAGAATCACCATGGTATTTGTGGCATTGTGACTTTCTGAGCGGCAGTGTTTAGTGTTCAGGTGACCCTTGATTGCAGGCATCTGGGTCAACTCAGCTATGTGGGCCCGGGCCAACTTGTAATTCTCAGGTTTAGATATGATGTAAGATGTATGAAATGATGGTACCCCAAAAGCCCATATGAAATGGCTAAATTTTACAGGTCTACACTATATCCATCAAAAAAGACCCATCAATAAAGTTGGCTTTCCATTCAATCCATCCATGCCAGGAAACTTAGGATCTTGCCAGGGTGGTCCCCTTGCAGCCAGCTACCCGAGGCATGGCCGGACGGCTTTGATGATGGCATGCACCGCAGGACATTTGCAGGCAAAGTCGGCAAGACTTGCAGATGTATAAATGGTGTGTGTGTGTGTAACTTTAGATTTATGTGTGCCTATATAATTCTATATATATATATAGATACACATGTCCCAGCCACACTGATAATATGCATATACGTAATTATACGTATTATATATATGTGTGTGTATATGTATGTATATATATATACATATGTATATTATATGTATATGGATGTTATCCATATACATATACATATATATATATTATACATATTTATATTATATACATATATATTATATATACATATATATATTATATATACATATATATATATTATATACATATATATATATATCATAAAAAAATGTTTATATATATATAGATACATACGTATATATGTACATCATATATATATATATATATATTTGTTATATATATATATGTACGTGTTTATAAATTATATATTTAATATATAAGGATATTATACATATACACATGTATATCATATATATATATACACACGTATATGTATGCTATATGTATATATATATATAGTATGTATATGTATAAATTTATGTGCATATGTATATATATATATTATGTACAGTAATGTATTTAGGTGTATAACATATACTACTGTACATAGATCATGTATGTACCGTCTTGACAGATTGCATTTCACATATCCAACGGTTGTGGCTGCACAGGTTCTTTCATCTGGTAGTCAACTGTTTCCAAACAGGGTGAAATCACTGTCTTTGGCTGGTTGAATGTTGATGTTTGTCACTTTAAAAAACAATTTTAAATGCTTGGATTAGGCTATGGTTGCTTGTTTAGATATATGTAATATGTTGCTCCAAGTGTGTCCGCTGATCCTAAGTGTGTTACCAACTATTTGTTGGACCAGTTAATTGGTTTGTTTCTCAGACAATCTTAGAAGAATGTCTTTTGCAAGTTCTTCAAATGGATTTTATCTGTCAATGGGGTATACCTGTCACTATGTTTCGAAAACTGGTGATAAACCATGGAATGTTGGGGCTTTATCCACACTGCCCCCGGCTGAGAAGACAGTGCCAGGTGGTTCGCCTTCTTTGTGAAGAAGGAAGTGACAAAGAGCCCTGGACGTTGGAAGTTGCGGCCCCCTATGTGCCATGTGAAAGAACATGTGTATTTTAACCACAATTGCCCGCCGCACGCCGCAGCCAGAAGCCCACGTCCCTCACGTCCCCAACGTCCCCAACGTATTTTAACATGCATAATATTTATGTTTCACATATACATATTATACATATCACACATATTATATATATACATACCATACAATCTATAGTATACATGATAAATTGTGTAATATTCAATATTGTGTATATTTTTGTGGTATTTATTTTGATGTATATACACATATATATATATATTAGATATATTAAAATTGTTTATTTAATATATATATATATTTGCTTAATATATATTATTAGATATATAATATTATATATATATATATTATTTAGATATTATCAAAAATTATTATTGTATATGTTACATTTTTTTATTCATTATAACACATGCAGAGATATTTTATTTTATATCATACATATATATATATACATGTTTTTTTAAAGAAAAAGAGCATTTTATTCATTGCATAGTTTATGTATGTATTATATTACATTTATTTTATGGTGTATATATATATATATATTCTATATCATGTGTGTTGTATTGTGTATTTGTTTGATTTGCTATATAATAGATATTTTATTTGTTGTTAATATATATATATATATACTACATCATATGTATTTGATTTTGAATTTATGTTTGTCATATACACAGTTATATAGTTATAATTTTGGAAACGTAATCTTGCCATATATATATATATATATCCAAATATTTATACTTGGATATTTGCAATCATATGTCATTATACTCTAAGGGGAAGGGGTTTCCCCATGGGGGTCTGGGTGCCTTGTTGTTGACACCTCGAAGGTGTTGTAGTGGTGGTTGATGTGACCTGCACATAAACCCAAACATTATTCCATATGTATATATATATATACATGTCTCATGGTTGAACCCAATTTTGTGATGGTAAACTTAGTAAAACCACCATCTCTGATGGTTGGCCACCCCAGTTCGAAGCTGATGTAAAACCCCATTGGATCTTCTACCTTGCACAAACCCAACAGTTCTATTGAACTAAACCAGCTGAGCTAAGTAAATCCCATAAAAATCCCTATGAAATCTCCATTTTTCTTCGAAAAACCAACATAAATCCCATAAAATGCCATAAAATCCCATAAATCCAACATATCAAAGCGTTTCGGGTTCACCAAGACGGCCCCGGCCATCCCCAGGATGCCGTGGACGCCAACGGGCGTACAGCGCTCCACTGTGCAGTGACGCATGCGTGGGATCAGGTGGTTCAGTACCTGCTGGAGCAGCGGGTGGACAAGGAGAATTTTGGGGGATCATGTGCCGCAACGTGCCCCCGTGTTGGGCATGGGAAAATCTCGGGAAAATGGTGATTTAATTCCGAAATTCAGGGATTCCAAGGGCTAGACACCATAGGAAAAAGTGTGTTTTGACTAAAACCAACAAATATTGTTTTTACTTTTACATGCATATATAATATAGTTTATTTGTGATGGCTATGTAACTTGGTTAACTAGGGTTTGTGGTAATTCATAACTATATATTATTCATGCAGTGTATAAACCAGCTCTTTACCTGGGACCCCACCTTGCACAAATGAACCGCTAAAAATACCATAGTTAATTGGTTGCAGGTTTTGTACTACCTATAACTATAGAGTTTCTTGGGAATTACCTTCTGGCCATGATGACCCATAGCCATACCGGGATACCGTACTGAACACAGCAGAAAATCACGGGGATGGGGAAAATGGGGAAAATCACCGCCCAAATGGTGATCCTTTTTGGGGTATTCTGATCATGGGGAGCCAGCATGTGGCTTTACGGCTACAACCAGGTCTCTTATGGTTCATATCTGAGGTGAGTAGGGTGGCTCCCAACCATCCACATCCGAGAATCCAATCCATCAGGATCGTGTCACATGGATGTTGTTTGGAGCTTCGTAAAGCGTGGCGATGTTTCAGATATCTTATGTAATTTTTCAGAGAAGCAATTCAAATAATTCAAGATTTCTAAGATCACCACTTTTAATGGGTAGATCATCTATAAACAGGCCATGGCGTTCATAGCTAACCAACTACCGGAGGGATCCTGTGTTCATCAAGGGAAGACGATCCCAGATGATTTCACCATCTATTTTTACGGCCTGGGATGTGTATATGCTGGTTGGTGGATTCAAACATGAATTTTATTTTCCATCATATATGGGAATGTCATCATCCCATTGACGAACTCATATTTTTCAGAGGGGTTGTTTTCAACACCAACCAGATATTTCTAGATGATTTACCCACAATCACCATCATTTATCATTAACCATCCATGGCAACCCTCCAGATGGTAGGTCAACCACCAACCAGTAACTGTCAAATGATCCATGCGAACCTGGCTGAATTTGTCAAGGGATGACTCCACATATAAAATGGGTACCCCACATATCATTAACCATTAACCAAATATTACTGTTTGATTTGGAGTGTTTTTCTCCATCGTGGCCACGGCGTCCAGGACGTTTTGGACCACCAGGGACGCTCGTGTCTGCACGAGGCGGTGATTTCTCCGAGGACCTTTGGAGCGGTGCCTCGAACACAGTGGGGTTGGCCTCTGCCGATTTTTCATGGGATTTCATGATGATTTCATGATGATTTAGTGATGACTAATATATATATATATATATATTATATATATTATATATATATGTAATATTTGTAATTATATATATATATATGTAATATATAATTATATATTTATATATATGTAATGTATATAATTATATATATGTAATGTATATAATTATATATATATATGTAATGTATATAATTATATATATATATGTATAATAAAATATAATATAATATAATATAATATAATATAATATATTATTTATAATATATAATATATAATATAATATAAGATAATATATTATATATAATATATAATATATAATATATAATATAGTATAATATAATATAATATAATTTAATATATATATATACATACATACCTTCTGGAATTCCGGTACGGTAATGTCTGTTACACTTTGCGAAGTGGACAATTTTGCCGTGTTTCAACACGGCAAGTCATCGTGAAATTACCTGGGCTCGGCCACTTCACTAGGATTTCGGACATCAACTGGGAAGGAGGAAGCTACAAACATGGGGGGGGTGCCAGCTTGTATAATTATAATTAGATGAGTGGTAGAAATCAACTTATAACTAGGGGGGCCACATTGCCAGCTATTTTTTTTTTTGGGGGGGGGGGGGCGAAACATTTTTCGAAAAGCACGTTCGGACATCAACTGGGAAGGAGGAAGCTACAAACATGGGGGGGGGTGCCAGCTTGTATAATTATAATTAGATGAGTGGTAGAAATCAACTTATAACTAGGGGGGCCACATTGCCAGCTATTTTTTTTTTTTTGGGGGGGGGGGGCGAAGCATTTTTCGAAAAGCACGTGTTTGTGGGAACCAAATATTGGGGTCAATTATGAATTATGAGTTCTCCTGGTTCCTAAGTACTTGAGGATTTTCGCTTGATCAGATTGCCAGAGTGAGGTTCGTGGACAAGCCCAACTATCTTAAGCCATTTTAAGGCATATGCTTGCCATCACTGGTTGGATTGGTTGTTTATATCATATGTTTCATGTCTTTGTGATACCCTTGGGCCGATGATGTCAATGATGTCATTGGCCACCGGTACCCTCTGGTACCCAGCGGCCGATCGCAGATGATCCTAACGGCAAGACTAGCCAAAGGTGTGAAGTTTGATGAAAGGTTGACAAGGAGTTGAACTATACGCACTGTCCCCTCATTTGTTTATCTATTCTCTATATTTATATATGTATTTACTCTTTATTTATGTATTATTGACTTATTTTGTTCATTGGTTTAGGCCTTGTGACACTACATCTTGTATAGGTCCAGACAGACTATCTCCCAAAAGGGTATGTGAACATCACGATCGAGACTATTACTATTCTGGCAATATGATTTGGATGCGAAATAAGAGGTGTACATGTATGTAATACATATATATATATACATACTCCATGATTCTTAGCGCGTACCCACATGATTCCTACTTAGTTCTTCCATGATTGCTGGTAATGTACATGTGCAAATATACATTGAAAAAAATCTGAGTAGGTCTAAATGGTTGTGCTACATTTTTTGTCAGGTCCGCTGTTTGGTGGATGCTGGGGTGGATAAACACCGCGCTGATGCGGAAGGCTCATGTTGACCATGGGTTTGGGAGGTATTTTCCAGGGGGAAATCTACGGGAAACTACGTGATGTTATATGATTCTACCAGCCAGACTTGGGGATCTAGAATCATTTTCTAAACATGTTGTTTGGCATGAATACTCTGCAGAATTGCAAAACACTCTGATTTATATAAACACACTACGAGATTACGATGTGGCAGGGATTGGTATTCCACCCTGGCGGCTGGTATGTAGCCCTTGTGGTACCCCGAAGTGTTCAGAACACTTTGATTGAACGTGTTTGCGCTGCGGTGGAATTGCTTTTGTTCGATGGTATCCATAGATAATTACTGTAGACTGTAATGATGGAACCAAGGAATTTCGGAAGATACACGGATCATTGATGTGTAATGATGTGTATATTATATATACAGAATCATGATGCTCAAGCTATTGGCGGGCCCATGGCGGGCCCATGGCCCATGTCCCCAAGTCCCGGTAGATAAGATATATGATCAATGCCATAAACCCTGGTAAACCCTGGCAAAGCCTGGTAGATATATGATAAACCCTGGATGATATCCTGTTTAGCGGGAAACCCAATGCAATAAACTCAATAAACCATCTAGGGATGGTTTTTAGTTAGCACCCATAACAATCCGTAACAATGGTAAGCCATTGATGGTAAGTCGCAGGGTGAATTCCCTCATCGATGAGGTGTTCATCCCAAAGTGACTGGCTGGTTAAATCCTTTAATCTTCGTGTTTTGCTCATGGAAAACAACAGCCAAGCAGCTTAAGAGATGAAAAAACAAAAATTCGTGGACTGGTCAGACTCCGGTCAGACTGACCATTTTCCTTAATGGTTTACACTTGGAGCAAACCACAAAAACGCAAACGTCACGGACCGTGACGGTGGCTTTTTCGACAGGGCGTACTCCGCTCTACGAGGCGGCGTGTCACGGCCATAAGACGCTCGGCACCTCCATAGGCCTTGGGAAAAATTGTGTTTTTTATGGCCACAAAATGAGGATTTAGTTTACATAATAGGATTCATATATGGATTTACAACATTTTATGACTGCTAAGTTGACGCACATAACTTGGGTGGAATGATGGAAATTGGATTGGAGTATTTCAGGTTGGTGAATTATTACACATTTTTACTATAATATGGATTTTGTATGGACATGGTTTTGTCTCAAGATGTGGGATAGACTTAAAATGCTCTTTTGATGATGTTTGAATGGGAATCTGATGCGCCAGTGGATTTGGGGTCTACTCGTTTGCAGCACACCCACATGCAAGATGAATATCATGTTTACAACTTGAGTTACAACATAAAAGTTTGCCAAATTGGATTTTGATGTTCCAGATATTTACAGAAGGGTCATCGTCTAAAAACACAGTTGATTCATGTATTCAGATTGCCAATTTTTCCCCAGATGTTGACAAGGCCTTTTTTGACTCCAGACCCGAATGAGGGAGAATCTATTTGTCACTGTGGTTGCCTATGAGTTGCGATATGTATGAGCAGCTGTGCGGATGAGAGACTCTTAAGAATTTTAGCTTAGCAAGCGTTTGTTGCACTTTGCTTAAAGCTAGGTGCTCTGGCTGATATCGAAGGGATCATGGAAAGCCAGCATGGTTAACCTTAGTTAGTCAGAGAATCATTTACACATCAACCAAAAATCCAGGGCTGTGATTTGTCACTGATACCAATAGTAATTGGACTGGGCAATCGCAGGGCAGACATGTCCAAAAATGAGGATGTCAAGGACTGTTTTCAATCTGGTGGTTGATTTTCTTCCATCCCACTTGATCCGACAGATTGACAACAGTTCTTGATGTAGATATAGTTGACCTATCGTTTGGCGAGCGTGAACCTCTCTTTTTACATTGCATGCAGTATATAAACAACATGCAACGGGTCAGATTGTGTTTTTGCATCCATCGAGAACATGTAACTTTCAACTTGCTCCCATGACCCATTTTCACCTGCGTCTCGGTGCGAGGCAAGTGGTTGCTTATTTGATTCAGCATGGTGCCGATGTAGACGCGGCCGATGCAAATGGGAAGACCTCCTTGTACATAGCTTGTCAGTGACTTGGCATAAAAGCGCAGACAAGAACTTACAGTACCCTTCGGTGGCATTAAACATGGTGGGTCGCTAGGAAAACCCCGAACTAAATGATGGGCGATTTTCCATTGCCGTGTTTGATTGCCGGAGGGTACGCAATTCTCAGCCTTTTATTGGGTCATTATGGGCTCACAAGACAAGATCAGGCTTGATTCAGGCTTGAAAGTTGGACAATTGCAGGTCACTTTTCAATAACTTAGTAGCTCTATTGTTTAATAATTGAAAACCCCTAAGTTATTGAAAAGTGACCTGTTTATATTAGGAATTTATCTTGCTTATATCATTCTCATGGCCCTGTTTTGGCCTGAAAGACTTGCTCTCCTGGGACGAATTGGCTGAAAGTTACATTATTAATAATTATTTATTTTGTCAGCATATATGATATAGTACTATATAGTATATATTAATATAGGGAATATATAATATGTAACTTTATAAACTTTATACTTTATATATTATATTACTGATCGATGAACAATTAGGGAATCTATGTCTTATTGGTTCTTGGCTTCCTTGATGACCTAATTCCAAGTCATATTTTGATGGAAAGATCGTGTTTTGTTTTATTGTACAGCTTCTTCATTTCGATTTTGCCACTATTGTCGGATTGGATTGGAAACACCAACGCGTCAAGTTTGAGTGTAGCCTTATGTAGTACATTTCTCTTTATTCAGACCAGGTTGCTACTGCCTAAATACCAATTTCTTCTGACATGTTTATTGCCATCAAGCATTTTGAAGGCACATTTCAGTATTCCTCGAACATATTGCAGGAAAATTATGATAGCCGCACATTCTTGAGAAAACTTCGATACGTTAGTTTAGTACTACAGTAACTAGTTGCTTTCAGTAAATGATGAATAATGATGATATATCAACCTAATCAGATAATCAAATAATATTTTGGGACAGGCGTCTTGGAACGGCCATGACATCACTATTCTCAAGTTCCTGTATTCCCATTTATATACCTATTGTCTATTGTTTTGTGTTCCATCCTACAAAGTGGGCCTCCCAAGTCACAAGTTGGTTTAAAAACCCACCTAACTGTAGATCTAACCATAGATCCAACCGTTATTGTAGTCATTTTTCACAATCTTAATCCCATAGGATCCATGTATGGTATATATGCTAACATTTGGGGTATATTGATGGTAAATGTTACCATATATAGCATACATGGATCCTATGGGAATCCAGCTTACCTATCATAAATCAACTATTCGTTCTCCGGCCGTTAGATCCCAGTTGTCAGCATGTCACCTGCTGGCCAGGATGGGAAGTCTGGCGGTCTGTCGGGCCTTGTTGGATGCGGGCGCCAACGTAGAGATGGCTGATAGAGATGGGTGTCTTTCTCTGAAGACTTACCCTCTGGTTATGTCAAAATAGCTATTGAAAATGGCCATTTATAGTGAATTTACCCATTAAAAATTGTGATTTTCCATAGTTATGTTGGTTTGCCAGAGGGTATGGCTTTCTCTGAAAACTTAGAGGAAAAGATGGGAAAGTACCCTCAATCCACAGGCCAAAAATCACCTACTTTGAGACCCTTGGTCTTAAATGGCTGAAAATGTGGATAATCCTCATGTTCAGACGAACCCCAGTTGGGGTGTCTATCTGGGGGGTGCAGTTAGGGCTGGATTTTTCCCCAACAGTTCCAGGTTTCCATGACTTTTTGGAGAAAATTCCTCAGATTTTCCCATGATTTCACCCTGATTTTTCCACGTGACTCGCGCTGGCTTAGGTGGAGCCCCATGCACGTTGCCAGTTGGTACGGTCACCTCCCGGTGGTGAGACTTTTGTGTCAGGTGCGATGGAGGGTTCGCATCAAACACGGGGCTGGGCCCCGGTGGAACCTTTGCTGATCTGTATATCTGATGTATGTATGTATGTGTGTGTAATTATATATATATACATACATAATATGATTAAATATATCTACATATAAGTGTGTAGCCTAGTGATGTGAAGTAATGTGTAGTGATATATGATGATACGTGTGTATTATTGCGTGTGTACGATCATGTTGTCATATGTGTATGTATGTATATATATATATAATACATACAGATGTTCACCCAATGTGTTGGCGGAATGTTCACAAGGCGCACGCGTTTCTATAGATACCGGATACCATACCTATGATAAAGGAAACATAGCATATGATTTCAAAGTGAGGGGATCGACTCCAATGCATTGATTATTAAGATATGCCATGGGTGTCTTGGGGGTACCACATCCATCGGCCCAGTTTCGGAGATCACATGCCTCTAAGCACTTGGTCAGGAACGCTTTCATGGACAAACAAGCATCTCTAGACTGTAGATGGTTACCTATGTGTAAGTAATATGTACATATACTAGCATGCAAACTATGCTTTATCATCATTATTATCATCATCAATAATGATAGTGAAATATACATACTGATCATACTGCTGCTGCTGCTGCTACTGCTGCTACTACTACTACTGCTACTACTACTCCTCCTCCTCTTACTACTCATGCTCCTACTCCTACCAGTATGATAATGACAATGAAACTGATAATGATAATGAACAAACAAGAACATGATAACAATCAAAACAATAATGATACTGAAGATAATGATGATAGATTTTAACGATAATAATTATCATGGTGGCAATGAAACTCATGATGATGATGGTGATGATGATGATGATGATAGTAGTGATAATAATTTTGATAGTGCTAATACTGATGATGTTGATTATGATGGCACCAATAATGATAATAGTGAATATGGTACTGATGATGGTGATGGTGACCACGATGATCATGATGATAATCTTAATGATGCTACTGACGATGATGATGATGATGATGATGGTGATAATGATAATCATGATGATCATTATCATGGTGATGATTATGATGTTTATGATGATGATAGTGATGATAACCGTGACGGTAATAACAATGATTATGATTCTGATGATGATAGTGATTTTAGTGATTACGATAATGCTAACACTGATGGTGATGATGATGATGATGATGATGATGATGATGATGATGTTGGTGATGATGTTGGTGGTGATGATGATGGTGAAAAATGTTAATGATGATCATGAGGTTAAGAATGATCATAGCCAACGGCATCGTTTGTTTGTTATCACAAGAAGTCCTGTGCATCACCTGCTCCGTCCTGCCAGGTGTACCTGAGAGATGTCTGTGATCAGCAAGGAGTGCACCTTTCTGGTTCTGCAGGGGGCTATGTGAGCCATATGGAGGTTTCCTTAAATGGGGGGGTACCCCAAAATGGATGGTTTATAATGGAAAATCCTCCTAATAGATGATTTTTTGGGTACCCCTATTTTAGGAGCCCCCCATATGTTTTTTTATAACCCCTAGGTATGGGGACACAATGGTAATATAATGAGGATATAATGGGAATAGAACATATGAGCCATTAAATTGTTCAATATGCTTCTGCATTAGGAGACTATACCTCCGCAATGGGAACATACTGGACGATCATTTGGGGATATGTAACGGGAATGTAATGGGAACACCCTGGTTGATTGGTTACCTTGTTGGGACTTGTACTGCAAATTTAATGTCTGGGGACTATGATAACCCATAGGATTGGGAACCGTCTTCAGCCAACTAGTATTTAATGATATGGGATAGGTGTATTTTTAATGGATCATGTTTGTTTCAACATGTTGACATAAGAAGCTGTGGGGGGGTTAGAAGAAGATATTATATATATATATATTATATATATTATATATATTTACATATATATTACATATCTATTATATACATATCTATTACATATTTTTCGTATCATATAATCACATATAATCACTGTACTTATATCACTGGATATTGGGGGGTTCTTGACATGGGGGATCCCCAAGTCACAGTGGGTTTCAATACTAAAGTTGTCTGATTTTGGATGAATTGGGGAAACCCCAGCACACTGTAGTTCACATCAAAATTACTGGATTTATGGATGGTAATCCCGCCAGTTTTGGTTGCCATTGGTTTTGACCCATATCCATGTCACGTTTGTGTTTTGAGAACAGACATAAGCTCATACACACACATATGTATATATATATATATGTATATATATATGTATATATATATATGTATATATGTATATATATATATATGTATATATATATATGTATATATATATATGTAGTATGTGTATATATATGTGTGTGTGTAGTATGTGTATATATATATATATATACATGCGTGTAGTATATTGTAGTATATGGAATTATATGGACTTGATTTCGGTTCATCACAACCTGGACTTCGTTTTTTTTTTCAACTTTGCTCGAAACCTTCGCCATGGCGCGGCCGGCGGCAGGACAAACTCCCTTATTCCTGGCATGCTGCAGTGGACACTCTGAAGTGGTGCGCTGTTTGATTCAGACACTCGTTCCGCGATCGGAAACAGCAGTCTCTGTTGGCTCTGGAAACGAAAATGATGGCTTAGTGGTGAATGGACGTCAATGTATGTATAGTACCCTCTGGTTATTTAACATAGCCATGGGAAATGGCCCATTTATAGATGGTTTACCTGGGTTTACCTATTAAAAATGGTGATTTTCCATGGTTATGTTAGTCATAACCAGATGGTATATGTCAACGTTTGGTTTTAATGTTTGTTTTTGGGATCAAGACAGGCCACTTCTTGGAGAGTTGAGTCTTCGATCTCGGAGTCTTGTAAATTTTCTCCCGTTTTTATGCGTTTTTTTTACAACTAGGAGGAAAAGACTATCCCCACTTAAATCATGTTTACCCTCTGGTAAATTAACTTGTTGTACCCTGAAAATCACAATTTTTTAGAGGAAACGAATCTTCCAACCCCAACAACTACCAGGGTCAACAAGTTAATTTACCGGAGGGTAAATGGCCATTATTTTTTTGAGATGTGCCCATTTTCAGACAAACGCATCTGTTGTTTTCTTCGTTTATATATACCCTCTGGTTATTTAACATAGCCATGGAAAATGGTCCATTTATAGATTATTTATTAAAAATTGTGATTTTCCATGGCTATGTTAAACAACCAGAGGGTATATATCTATATCTATATGACATATTCAATCAACCTTAAGTGTTTTTTCTTAGAGGGGCAGTTACTGGAGGAAACCCGCAAAACAACAATAGATCTTCCGTGGCTATCGCACTTAGACTGCACTGACGATTGAGCTCACCATGGTTGTCATGTTTTCCCTTATGATCCGTTGTGCAAATCTGGAGGGTGCCATTTTTTGTACCCCAGTCACTGGGCTCTTGAAACCGTGTTGAGCTGAGTCATTCCCAATTCCCTAATTACATATTACATGGTGGTTTCAAACATTATTTGGTTGGTGGTTTGGAACATTTCTTATTTTTCCATATAATATTGGGAATTTCATCATCCCAACTGACTTTCATATTTTTCAGAGGGGTTGAAACCACCAACCAGTATTACATGGCGGTTTCAAAGATTATGATTGTCCATGTCTATTTGGGAATCACCAATTATTATGTTTTCGATGTGTCGGTTTGTCTGAAAAGGGTATCCCAAATGCATTGGTTTCTCATGAATTTCACCATTCAAATTGCCATAATTTGTGGGTGTCCCCCGTGTTCGGACAAATCCCAGAACATACTGTTGGCTATAATTATATGAATATATATATATGTTGGTAGGGAGCTCTCAACCGTGGGTCTCCTGACCCTTCCCACCTTTGGCCTCCTGGCCTAGTCAAACGGACTCTTTTCACCTCTCATTGCGACAGCGGTGAACTGAAAGGTTCCTTGGGGCATTGAGCCATGGCCACGGTATGGAGTGACCTGGCATGGATTGAAGATGCTGTGGCAACAACACTCATCTGTACTCTAAAAAAAAGGAAAGGCACCCAGCCTTATAAATCATTTGCAACACCGGATATGCAGTGTTGAAAGCATCAGCAACTTGTGTGACTTCCAACGTTCACAGCTCACTTGAGACGACGGAGGGTGTCAGTGCCAGGGATCATAGGCAGCTGCTGCATCAAGCTCTCATGAGATTCACGGGCAAGGAAGTAAAGAGAGAGATCAAGAAGATGGCCACTGGCTGATTCCACCTGTCCCTTAACCCAGCGCACATAACGGACATCTTCTGCATTCTTGGAATCAAACAACTCCGTGTATGTGATCTCTGCGGCTCCCTTCTTCGCAGCAAACTTACCAAACATGATGATGGTGCGTCCCCATGACGCAAGGTCATTCACTCCCTGAGGCAAGATAATGGGCTTGCCTTTGGGTGTGTGTCCAACCACCTCATTTCTGATCTTTGCGACATAACCGCGCTTCAACTCAGACTCGCCAGTGGGTTCATCTGTGCGACGCTTGGCTGCTTCGCCCATTCCATGGAAACCTTCATCCTCAATCACTGCAAAGCTCGAAGGCGTGGGAACTTCTGGTTCATCCTCGGCTCCATGGGCACGAGCTAACAACTCGGCAAGCATCACTCTCTCACTGGGAGACAAAGGCTGAGAGGAGGCACTCATAGTCTCGGCACTGAGATAAAAAACGGAAAAAGGTGGTCAGTGGAGCTTCTTGAACATGAAAAATCACTGGCAAACAAAACTCAATTCCCAAGGCAAACTCTTAAACACTTGGACTCGAGAGCAAGCGGCCAATAACCCCAATTATTGATCTAAGCCTATACCCCAAGTATGAAACACTATACATGGTCGCTAATGAGATTTTACTCAGGGCTGATTGACTTTCGGGATTGCATTCTTCTCTGACGTTCCTCGGCTTGCAGCTGCAGAACTGTTTCTTCTGGAGAAATCTGATATGTGCACTGTCGGATGCACGCTCGCAGCAAGTCAGTCGGATCTCCGGCACTCTTCGTGAGAGAGTCAGCTAGCATTCTATTGGTAGGGACCCATCGTAACGATCCTTTCAAGCGTTCCAGACTCTGGCGCAGAATAACAATATCAATCGATGTACGACGGTCTTCAATGGATGTTGGAGAAGTAACAGCTACGAGATGATCATACAAGCTTTTACAATCAGTAATAACAACAGGAGGTCTGGATTGCAAATGTTTCAAATAATCACGAACATCACTGATACCATCAACAGCTTCGGATAGTAATAATGAGGCCCATTCCAAAGTGCCAGTTGCGGAGACCATAGCTTGGGCTTCTGCCGCCAAAGTTGATCCTACTGCACGGGATAATTTAAAGGACTTCCACATGGCTGGTGTCCAACTTGTTTCATGACCTTGATCCAAGGTATCATCAGAAAAACCGATGATGTATCCTGCTTGAGTGTGGTCACCTAAATTGGCCCATGCAGCATCACTATGGCAGCAAAAACGTAGCCTGGACGTGGGAATGCTCTTGAACGTGACTGTCAAATCGGAGAACTGCTTGGCACGCTTGATGACATTGTTGGCTTCCAGCAAATGATGCACAGTGGGATTAGGAAAGCTTTGTTGACTAATACTGGTTTGTGCTGACAAATCTGGACGACTCTGTGACGCAAGCCAATTCAAGCTACCATTTATGCCACGAAGAATGCTAATCTCTTTGGAGTCCAAAACGGCTCGTCTGTTGAGTCTACGGTGCTTCGGAAGGTGAGCAGGCTTCATGTTTTGCGCAAAACCCTGTTGGCTCATGGTGATATCAAAGGACTTTGGATCTTGGCGGTAATGAGTACCGCAAAATTCACCTTCCTGAACTCTCCATTTCCTGTAGGGGAATCTGGCCCTTAGTCTTTTGATAGCATCGTTATAACGACTACCTTCTCCTCCGGTCACCGTATCATCAACATGGGCACCAAGAACACCGGTAAGACGACCTCCCTCTCGCATCCAGTAGAGACAACTGTCATATTTACTACGTTCGAAACCTGCAGCAACCACTTCATCATTAAACACCTTATACCAAGCTGCGGGAGCATCGTTTTGGCCATAAACGTTGCCAAGAACTTCAATAAGACAGTCTTTGTCAATGCCTGGAATGCCACCTGCTGGAATCCTGGCAAACAGGGGCTTGTAGCAAGCAGGAAGAGGTCCTGCTTCGAGGAAGGCTCCTTTCACATCGCCAAGCTGCAAAAGCCATTTGTGGGATGCAAGCAACTGAAATAAAATGGTTCGACCAATTTGTGACAGAGTTGGCGACTGGAGCTGTCCCTCACGAACCTTGGTGTGTAGATCAGGGTCCAAATGTCCCTGCAGACACCACCTGGCTTTGACTTTCCAGTGTTCTAGATTGGCTGGATCAGGTTGTTTTCCGTTCTCAATTAATTCTTCTTCAGGCTTCTTGACAACAACATAACGACTTCCCATGATGCGATCAGGTTGATGTTGTTTGATCCAGCTGGCTTCCTTTGGAGGGACCACTCGGACGGCTTGTTTGTCGATCAGGGTCTGCCATTCGCTGACCTTGGCTTGATCGACTTTTGCTTGCAAAAATGGCTCATTATTGGAAACTGGAATCTCTTTCTGTGCTCGTTTATTGTAGTACTGGGCAACAAGGGCTTCGACGGCATTGTCCTTCGTGTTTTGAAAAGTCTGCCACAACTCATGAGATTCTGCAGTTTCACAACAGGCTGATTCTACATACGCAATCGGGTGCTCATCCGGGGAGTCGGACGGTGCATCAAGTCTCGGAGCTTTGTGCTCCGGTTGATCAGTGGCCTCCTCAGCATTTCTCTTGCGATTGGCCTGTTCAGCTTCCACTGCTTCCTCAATCAAATGGGGAACAACCTCTTGCATGACTTCGACAAAATCTTCTTGCCTCATAGCAGTTGGACGGAACAGGGTCACGGGGCCACTTTTGGATGGCAACCGACGGCGACGAACTGGGCCGTAATCACTCGGGCCAGAGGGGGCTTCTGCCACCTCGACCGCTTCTGATGGGCCTGCGCTAGAACTGGGCATTTCGGCATTGGGTTGTTCAATGGTTTCACCATTGGCAGGTACACTTGGAAGCTCTGGTCGAGAAACGGCAGGAGCAGATTGGCTACTCTGCTCACTAATGGCTTGATCAGGTTCGGAGGGCATATCAACATCATGTGCCAACACTGCTGGTTCTTGTGGAGGATATGCTTGTGCCACAAGATCTACATACTGGTGACTACGGAAGGTTCCATGTTCGATCATGTCTTTGATGCCCAATAACTGAGTCTCGGGTGTCTCGATCAATGATCTTTCTTCACTAGTGGCTAGACGAACTTGTTCTGGCGCACAACGCAATATGTGATTTCTATGGGCAACAATGACGTTTCGTCCTACCAAACCTATGACGATGCCACTTCCATACCAACGACCACCCTGTGAAAGAAGGCCTTTACTCCATTTCTGATCACGCCAGTAAGCGACAACATCGCCTGAGTTGAAAGGTTTATCCCGTCTTGGTCTGGCTATCAAGGCTCTGCGGAGACTTTGGTCGTCTTGCAATTGCAGGACCGCTTGCTTGTCTGGCTGCGGAACGCACGGCATATTTCCGTGCAAGAGCTTGATCTTGCAAGGAAGCTGTACAAGCGACTGCATCAGCTGGCTCATTTAGGACATCTCCAGGAAGCTCAGGGTTCTTGCCGAATATAAATTGGCTGGGAGTATAACCATAGTTTTGGATCATCTGGTTCTTGACATGGCTCTGAATGACGCATTCCAGCCACTCTTCTTTATTTTCTGGGCTTTTCTGTTCCAAAACTTTGGACAACACACGTGAGAACCAACCACCATGAACTTCCGTTTTACCAAGTTGCCAATGGGCTCCGGCCGCAGTCACTAACACATGAGTTCCTTCAAGCTCTGTAGGTTCGACCATAGCCTTACCAAGATTTGTCCTGGCTGGGTCAAGAATGATTTCTTTTGGAGGACCAGCCCAATTCACCCATTTCTCAAGGTACAGCTTCCGCAGGACACTGGCTGTTTCAGTTTCAAAGAAGGGCACCATGAGTTGATAGGACGAGGCGTAGTCCACTATATTGAGAGCAGAAATCTTTTGATTTGGTTTCCAACCAGGCAAATATTTAACATCCAAACCAACACGCTGGTTGAATTCCAGCACACGATGTGCTTGGCCGGGATTTGCCACTGTCGGGGCTTGGCGCGCTGTGCAAAAATCACAGGACAGATCCTTGGCCAACTTAATGGCAGCTTCACTGGCTTGACCGTGGCGCAAAATGCGCACCAGGTCGTGATTGGATGGGTGGCCTAGATTCTTGTGCAAACGATGCAAAACAGCTTTCAACTTCTCAGGATCAGTCTCGGCTTCTGTGGCTAAGACTTCAAAAGGAAGAGCATCATGGTGATCATTGCCATCCCAGTTACAGACTAACACTTCGGTGCATGAACGAAACTTCGGCACGGTGTTCAGCACCGCCTGTACAAAAGCGGGAGTGTATCGCCCAGCATGCTTGCTCACTGATCCAATCCCAGGTTCACTGCCGGCAATGGTGGCATGGACATGTTCAGGCACTGATTCTCCTGGGCAATGGCGTTGGAGGACTTCCATGTCAGAATGACTACACAACAACCGGGTGCTCTTACGAATATATCGTTTCGGCTTATCTTCACGAGCTGGAAGATGCAGGTCAAAACAACACATGTGGGTGATGAAGGATGTCAACTCTTGACACCACTGTTGCATTTCATCATCATGCCAAACAACGGAGCCGGCGGGATGTTCAAACAAAAATCTGCCACCTGCTGCAACCTGTTGCCTAATCAAGTCTTTGACAAACAACATGAAAGTCTTCAACTTCCGTCGGCGACTCAAAACTTCGCTGCAGGACATGTACAAGGAATTAAGGTTGAACCAACCTCCCGCATCAGTGCATGGTGGACAAATCACCAAAAGCTCCGGTGGATTCAACCTATAAGCTCTTCCTTAACCCAGTCCCGGTTGGCCTTGACGGTGAAGTCCCATCCATTCAACACATCGAAGGATATGCCCTTGAGTCCCATCTTTTCCACCTCAGGAGTAAATCTAGGGGGGCTAAACACCTCGGCAACTGCATACTTGCTTCCAAGTCTGGGTGATTTGAGTTGATGATTGAGCTGTCTGAGCTGTTTCTTGGTGAGGCCACCCTGTTTCTTACTGCTGGGAATGTTCTGGGTTCCAAGACATTCATATGACGGCTTTTGATCAGGCGAAGACTTGCTGGCAATGGGGGACCATTGTGCACTGGAAAAGGGACGAGACACGGACGAGACCGACGCGGATGCAGGACCTGGTGCAAAACTTGGATTGGACTCGGCTTCTATGCCCCGGTCATTCTCTGTCTTATCCGTTATCCCCTTACCCCAACTTACCCCATTATGCTTATCTTGATTATTCCCTGATTCCTTTAATAACCCGGCATCGGATGCAGTGGAAGGCACATCAACCATCTGAACCTCATGCTCGACGGTGCGGGCTGGAAAGTTCATGACGTCGAGGACATATTGGCCAGCGACATTGGACTTCAGTTGGACTTGGGTCTTACCATCAAACAGGGACAACCGATCATTTGCAAAGTCAATGCTGGCCCCGAGCCTTTTCAAGGCTGGTCTCGAAAGCAGCAAAGGCGCATCACCTGCTACTATGGCTGCTTGAACTGTGCCAAACTTCCCATCCAAACCTATGGGCATGACGACAACTTGAGTGGACGTCTCACGTTCACCGTTTCCAAATTTGAATACGTTCACCTCATCCTTGAACGTAGGTTGAAAACGGTCATCCTTCTTCCAGAGGCTTTGAAACTGAGACAAGGTCTTTTGTCCCACTATTGTCTTGCCACATCCAGAATCCAGGACAGCGAAACCTGGGCTGCTAACCAAAAGGACCTCTTGTGCTGGTTGTGCACGTTGCTCATGTAGGCATTGTACCTGTTGCACCAAGGTCCTCTGAGATTCCACTGCGGCCACAAAAGCTGGCTGCTCGGCAACGACTTCAGGGGCAACATAGCTGGCAGCTGTCTCCTTCACATTTCCCTTGGAGGCCTGAGACGGAGCTGAGGGGTCACGTTTTTGCCTGCACTCCCTGGCCCAGTGGCCCAGTTTGCCACAACGATTGCACTTTGTTTTGCGTTTCATCTCTTCGATCTCCACTCGGAAGGACCTACGCAAGTCCTTGGCTTGGTCGAACTTGCGAAGCTTCTGAAGACGATTGATCTCAGCTCTTTTGTCCTTCCAGGTGGTGGCAAGGACCTCGGCAACCTCCTCTTCAGGATACTCAGGATACTGTTCATCAACGTCCTTGACATAGTCGGCCAAGAAGAGCTCAACGTCATCAAAGCCTGTGACCTCATCGTCAGGAGGCAAACTAGGTGAATCCCCAAGCTCATCCTGAACCAGGGCTACTGCCTTTTTCCGGGAGTTGATGAAACCCGGGTAACAGCTTCTCATGGCTTTGCTCACGGCTTCACGTTTCAAATCTCCCATGGAGCGACCTTTCACAACGGCCTGCTGTTCCTCGTTCAGACCACTCCACTTGAGTAACATGAATCCTCGGGCCTCTTCCGGAAACTTGACGTTGCCTTTGCGCTCGCATCGATCAAACAGTTCTGTTGCCCTGCTGATCCACTGCCGAAGGGACTCTCCTTCTTTGGATCGCAGGCTAAACACTTCATTCAGGACTTCGGCTAGTTCATCAGTTTCGTCACGTTGTGGAAACCTTTGATCTAAGAGGTCCAAGAGCTTTTTCTCTCCACCCTCTTTCTGGTATTCCGAAGGCTCAAGGTGTTCCACACATTCTAAAGCCTTTCCCTGCAGTAGTGTAAACAGATATGAACCACGAGCTTCCTTAGGCAGCTTATCCAGAGTTGCAAACTTATTGACAAGCCAGAGCTTCCAGCGCCGGTACTCCTTGAAGTCTTCAGTCTCCCCACTGAAACAACGGACACTACCGCCATGGTCAGAGTTGGATGTCGATGACGACATAGATGCTGTGCTCACCTGTTCCTCCTGGAACTGAGATGGATGCTGGTATTGCGGACCAGCTCCGCTACCAATGTTGGTAGGGAGCTCTCAACCGTGGGTCTCCTGACCCTTCCCACCTTTGGCCTCCTGGCCTAGTCAAACGGACTCTTTTCACCTCTCATTGCGACAGCGGTGAACTGAAAGGTTCCTTGGGGCATTGAGCCATGGCCACGGTATGGAGTGACCTGGCATGGATTGAAGATGCTGTGGCAACAACATATATATAGTAATCCTTGAGTAGGCAGAAGAAGGAAATGCAAGAAAAAAAATGGAACATCATTAGTCATTCTAAAATCAAAAAAACAGGGATTGGATATATATATATATATCCCATACGTTGACCCCAGGTTGACCCCCGGTTATGGTGCCCCAAAGGACTGGCTGCGACAAGAACCACCGCGACCACCTGGGCCGAAGCTGCTTGTTGGAAGCCGCGCGCTTGCGCTGCGGCGCCGCGGTGCAGGCGCTCTGTCAGGTCCGTGTCCCGGGTTGAAGGGTCAGGCTGCAAGGAAAACAGTGGATGTAGCCAGTCAAACATGGGATATACACTCTGGTAATTTAACATAGCTATTGAAAATGAGCATTTATAGTGGATTTTCCCATTAAAAAATGGTAATTTTCCTTATGTTAGTTTACCAGAGGGTAACATGATATAACCAGTAAAAATCGATTATGATTCAACCAGTCAGAATTGGATCTAAGCCGTCAGACAGGGTGATTTCGCCAGCCAGGGTGATGATTTAACCACCCAAGCTTGGTGATTTAACCAGTCAAAATGTGCATGTGTCCGAAAATGAGTTATACCGTTACCGTTATACCTGGGACTGGGAAAACCTCGGATGTATTGTTAGGTATTAAAATCATTCTGAAACCAGTAGGAATAATTACATACCACCTAGATCCCCCAAGTGAATCGTTTTTCTTTTGCAGGGTATCTAAGATTGACCATGAACAAATATACCCCCAATGGCGGTTTACAATGGACAAACGTGATGATTTGCAACTCGATTTGGGGATGCAGTACCCTGCGTTTGGAGAACGCCCAAATTGGGACTCTCCGGAGAAATGTGCAGATGCGAAATCCGCTTGCTTAACATTATTTGACGGTAAAACAAATAGACATGAATGGATCGTATATCTACTCACTTCAATGTGTATACATATGTATATATTATTATATATTTATACACTATAGGTAAAGGTTGATAGAATGTGTTTAAACGCTGGATATTTCATTGTCAAGCTAGTTGTAGCGGTCTTCCCAGAGACGGGGAAAGGATATTGCCATACGGAATACGGTTTCTGCTACCATTTGTTATTTAACATAGCTATGGAAAATGGCCCATGTATAGATTATGTATGATTATTTACATATTAAAAATAAGGTGGTTTGACATAGCTCGGTCAAATTACCCGAGGCTACCTTTTCTAGTTGTTCTACAGTTTCTCGGAGGTTTCTTCTTGGAGGTTGCATCTTAAAAGGTGAGGCCCTTCACTGGTGGATTGGGGGGATGTACCCCCTGGTAAACAGCCCCATAACTATGGAAAGATCCACAATTTTCTAGCTGAGTAAATCAACTCTTTTGACTGGGCCATGTTCAATTTATAGCTGGGTAGTAAATCAATTATTTTGAGGTATCCATGGCCACCTCCTCGGATCAAGGGTTAGCTGGCGTATGGACCCTCTACCAGGTGAGGAACCCACCAGTTATTTTTTTTTAAAGCTAAGAATACTATATATAGCTCTAGTTGGATGTTGTTTTTTGAAGACCAAGAAGATTTTATAGTTCTACTTACTGGTGCTAAACGCAGGGAATTTTCGGGAATGATCCCAGTCATCACTAGTAATAATCATCCCAGCAACCCCCAGCAACCCATCCATTCCCTCCGTAAAACGCACCAGTAAGTCTTCCCCCCACAAACCCAAAGGTTAACCAAACTTTGCGGGGCCTTTGTGTAGGCCAAAGCGCAAACGGACCAAAAAGATCCGCAGGGGAGGAGTGCCGTGCCATGGGCCATGGGAGGATGTGGGGTAGGCTCGGTGGTGGCAGGGCATGGCATTCAGGGCATTGAGGGCGGACCATGGGTTGACAGGATGGAAAAAAAATGAAAAAATGTCATATGTGAATTTCCATGTGTACTTAAAATGGGACTTGGGGTCATTTACGAAATGGGGATGGAAATTTAAGAATTCATTCCCTGCAGGCTACTGAGATTTTTGGGTGAGGAACTGCACCCACAATCCTGGCTGAAGGCTAACTCGAACTTGCGGAGAATGATGACCAGAGACGGAATATAATATATTATTGTATAATGTATTTAATATAAATGTATGTATATATATATACAAATAACATACATATCATATCATATCATTATATCCCCATGAAACAGACAAAACAGACAAAACAGACAGTACCATGGCCCACTAGGTTAGATTCCCACAAGGATTTATTTGGGCCACTACCGCTTCCTCAAGGCTTGAGATCCTAAGTCCTAGATGTTTCAGGGGTTACCCGGTCTGGTATAAAAAACTATTGAAAATGGCCATATTTATAGTGGTAAACATACAGAAAGCTATTGAAAAAGGCCAGCCATAGACATAGTTGAGTTACCCAGCTATAAAATGGTGGATCTTTCCATAGTTATGTGGCTGTTGGTATGTGGCTGTTTACCGGAGGCTATCCCGAAGATCAAGACGTTTTAGGAACCACTAAGCGAGATGATCCTGCAGGTAGGCCTACCCAATGCAGGACTGCGTTGCATATTGCCGTGTGGAGCGGCTCTTTACACATCGTGGATCTCCTACTGCACTGTTCTGATGTGAATGGGGCTGCCTGGATGTGATTCTTTTTTGGTGGGGTATGCACTTAGGTCCTCCAAGTACCAATGGAAATGGGCAAAAGTCTCAGAATATCCCACAATGGTTGTTACCAGATTTTTTCCTGGTATTTGGAGGGTCTAGGAACTTACTTGTGTTTGATTGGATCTTTATCACAGATAATGGGGATACCATCAAAAAATGATGATATGACAGAGTGAAAGAATGGGTATATCACTATTTTATTGAACATATTTGGAAATGCTTTATGATCGTTTAATTGTTTGCCCTATATCATATACACATATGCAGAGAATATGGGCGCCAACCTCCTATGAGGAATTATGAGTTACCCTCTGGTTATGCAGCGTAGCTATGGAAATTCATCATTTAAAATAGGTAGATGAAATCGCTCTTTAAATCATCATGGGCCAGCTATACCGTAGCTATGTTCAAGAATATTCGACCGTCTGGGATGCGACTTCGGATTTGTCACATCCGCATGTGGCCACAAGTCCGAGTTCCCTGGGGACTGACTATAGTTCATCCACTTCACATTATCCAATGGTGCTATCCCATGGTGTTTCAACTACTGAAACTATGGTCTATCAACCAATAAAACGTATGTTTACCACTTTGTTTCAACACAAAATCATAGTTTTCCAATGTTGACCAGATGATGTTCTCTTCATGATGTGATCTCTTTGGGCCGCATCTTCTTTTGAGCCGCCTGTGAACGACGCACGGTTCGCCAAGGCTGACTTGTATGGAAGGACCTGAGGGATGGAAACCCTAAACATCCCTAAACCCTAAACCATTTGGGGATGGAAACTGCACCACTCATTTCTGGTTTTTGTCAGTCATTTCGGATGGTAACCATTTTTTTGGGCAAGAAAAACCACATGGGGTGTAACTCACCATATTTTTGTTTTTTTTGGGATGGTCATCAATGCATTGTCATAGGGATATATATATATATATATATACACAGCCATGATGTTTGGATTCTCATTGGATTCCCAAACGGGTCTGGAAATGGTTTTTTTCCGCCGTGCGGCCAGTTCTGGCCAAGCCTTTTTCTGTAATATGATCCAGAGGAATATCAATGGATTGGTTTAAGGGAAATTTTACAGGAAAACCCATATTTAGTGGGAAAATTCATGGTTTCCTGTAGATTTTCCCTTAAACCAATCCATTGACACAACTATCCAGAGGAATATCATCTTCGTGGATCTGCGGATTTGCCAGCCTGAGTCACCAGAGATATCAACAAAATGCCCCTTGACTTGTTGCATGTTTTTTGGATTCATTAATGACATTGCAGTGTGGACTTCAATGAAGTTACGCTAGACACTTGAGATTGGATATATATATATATAGATAATTATACATTATATATATATACATATATTATAGTTTGTTATATTATATTTGTGCATCATATACACAACATAAAGTATATGTATAATATATAATTATATATCTATATATATATATATCAGAATGCAATTGCACTGCAAGACTCCAACTTGTCACGTAGAGTTGAACAGAACACATTTAGTGTTCGTCCCACACCTGCGTCGAAACAGCCAGGCAAAGCCGAAAACGTGTCTGGTTAGGAGCAAGCCCGAAAGGTAGGTTTCCTTCAGATTTGGGATGTGTAAGACTTTGCCCAGATATTTTTCATGGTTATCCTCTGCTAAACTAACATAGCTATTGAACATGGCCATTTATAGTGGATTTTCCCATTAAAAATGGTGATTTTCCATTGCTATTTTGACATAACCAGAGGGTAATGTCACTATCCCTTGAAGTTTTGTCCCGCTTTCAGGACACCTCTCTTCCTGTCTTCGTTTCTGGGCCATTTGCCGATGACACGGCTCTTGGTCGAAGCAGGCGTTGCTTGGTCGAAGTGCGGATAGAGGGGTGAGTCGTTTTTGTCAGGGGCTGTGCGGATAGATGGTGTGTAAAAATGCTGTGAATCTGCTACAAGGACGCCAAAAAAGAAGCAAGCCTCTATTTTTTGGATGTTGAAGAGTTTGCTTTTGAACTCAAAAGGTGGCTGTTCACTACAAGGTGGTACTTGGCAAACATTGGTTTAATTACAAGGCACCTTACAACTTATAATCACCATAAAGTTTATAAACATCCAGAAAACATCCATAAACCCTAGCAAAGCCAGTTGTAAACATAGCTATCTCAAAGGCCCCGCCTTGTAGTTGGCACTCCAACAGTGGAAGTATTTATCAAGTGATAGATGAAAACTATATCATGCAACTGGGTGGTTGCTTAAGAATCCACCACACAGGTATGACCCGCTCTAAGTTAAGCCATGTCTACAAATCTATCTTCGAGAAGCAATGCCACATATATATATATATAATATGATTTATACCCAGCGAGTAGCAAACTGAGTCAAAATTGGATGGCAATTTCACAATGATAATAAAATGAAATTTTGACCCATTCCCTCATTTGGTTCAGTAAATCCACGGAAATCTTCATGCTTGAAATTGTGTCAATCCTCATTTCTCGCTGCTTTACCGACGCCTACCGCCTGAATTCCAGCTTAAGTTCATTGCCATACAACCTCAATGATCGCTCTATTGCATGGCATTTGGGTTTGACTGAAAATAGGGTACCCATTCCATCTACAGTACTTTTTCTCAATCATCATGCTCTCATCGAACTTGCCATTTTGGAGGGTATGCCAATTTGTTCGGGTCACACCCAAATATCAGATCAACTGCCGTATATCCCAGTATGTTCATAATATGACCAAAAGCCAGATTGATCATGATAGGAAGTTCTACTGGCATCTACTGGCGTCTTAAATACATACCCATATGCTCCATGTATGGAATATTTACCAACATTTGCCCCAAAAAGCACCCAGTCATGTAGGTAAATATACCAGCACCATGGAGCATATGGGCTATATTCAAGTATGGATCCAAGTACCTTCTCATGAAGTGTTTGGGGTATAATTTACTATAATTTGGAGGGTTAAGTACCTTCTCAGACAGTGTTTGGATCCATAGGGATAATTATAAACCACAATTGCCACAATAGGAACCCCTTTTTCACCCGCAGACCACGTTTCCCGAGGCCAACAAACAAAAGACAGATCCCACAGGCCGCAGCCCGCTACACACGGCCACCGTGGGAGGACACTTCGCAGTGGTGCGCTTTTTGATTGAAGCAGGTGCGGAGCCGGCACAGTTTATGGCATGATTTACTAAGGTTGTTATAATCTTTTACAGTTATGGTATGTTATGGTATGATTTACTAAGGTTTGTTTAAATCTTTTACTCATGTTTTACTAATCTTGCATTTTTCTTTGACAAACAAGACACAGCGGCAGGGTCAGCCACCTCTGACCTGGCAAGGCCGTTTCAGTTTCAAACTCAACTCGAATGTTGCGAAAACATAGGAAAAACATATGATTTTGACAAGAATTACACAGGAATTATAGTTATAACTGTTATAGCCTGAAAATGATGGGAAAATTAATGGAAATCATAAAAGAATGGGATTGTAACTGGCTTGTACAATCAATCAACATCTGGTTCTGTCCTCTGAACCAACTAATTCGGAGGTACACATTGTTATTCTATGTTATTCTGTTAATCTCCCATACACCTTGAAGTCCATGTTTTGTAGTATCTGCAATATGATTTCATCAAAGTGACCGTAAGTGACCAACAAAAGCAAATCAAACACCAACCATTCATCAATCGGGCCACATAAACCACCAAATTTCCGGAACCTTGGGAAACTATGTCCAACACATGTAACAAGATCCGGATCCCAAACAAACAAGATAATTAGTCTGTTGTAATAGACATCCTGCACACAGTTGAGTCCCTCCACAGTACTGGTGCGCCTTGTGACCCGGTTTCAACGTTTAAATTGTTTCAGAATCTATGTGGATGCGTCGTAAATGGGGTTCACCAAATGGAAATTTTAGTAGAGAAAATGAGGTTCAAACCATGAGATTTATATTGGTGTTCCCCTCAAATTTTGAGACGCATCTCCTGATTTTATTCTTGCCATCATTTCTACCTAGACCCTCCAAATACCACCCAAAAAATGGCAACTAAAAGTACTAAGACATATGGGGTCAAACACAATTTTTGACAAACGGAGGGCCTAGGTAGTTTGTTTATGTTAAGTGTCCCATTCCAAAACAGGGCTTGGTAAATGTCCCATTTTGGAGATTTTGAACATCACTTGAAAAAGTATCTCTTGGAGCTTATATTACTGTTAATATTCCCACTAGTTGGGTGATGTTCAATTTGGACATGTACCCTCTGGTAAATTAACATAGACCCTGCCAGATAGGGCTTGGAAGATTGCTGTCCATTAAAAATTGGTGATTTTCAGGGTCCGAGTGTTAATTTACCAGAGGGTACCCCTGCAATACCTCCATTTTGAAGTACGGGAATTTCTCAAAAGCACATCAGGCGCCAATCGCAATCAAGTGGATCGCTATGGCAGCACGCCCTTGATGGAGGCCGATGGTGATCTGTCGGATGTGCCAGGTGGGGATATGATTGGGGCATAGCCAAGCAATATGGGTCTGAATGAAAATGGGGTATACTGTATATCATGGTATATCATGGAAAATCATGGTATATCCCCCATTTATGGTCAATTAATGGGAAACTATGATGGTCAACCAATTTGGGATATCCCACTGTCAGACAGACCCGTATATATATATAATATATAGATAGAGAGAGAGAGAGAAAAAAAAGATACATATCTACATAGTGATAGAATATGATATATGGAAGAATATGGAATCATTCATAATGGAATCATTATTAAATGCCATAGATATGTTCTCCGTATGCGAATTCCCATAGATATTGTCTGTATTCCCAGCTGGGCCGCATGGTCTTTTCACAATCCGACCAGACCCAGCTTGGGGCTCTGAAAGAAGTGTCGTCCCACTAGTCCTTCGATATGGATCAATATGGGGGTTTCCATAAATGAGGATACCCCCAATAGCTGGTTGGTTTATAATGGAAAATCGGATAGAAATAGATGATTTGGAGGTACCCCTATTTTAGGAAACCCCCATATGGAATAATTATAGCACGGATCGTTGGAGTTAGAACCCACTTACGAACTACTAATCCCCCTATTAAACACCCCATATTGATGGACCGAAATATGTGTCAAGCCCGTATTAAACCATGGTTTCTGCAGGGTGTTCAATATGAAAGGGGGAAGGGATTTATGGGAATATAACTGGGATAAGATATTATTTTGATTGGTTTGGCCAACGAAAATGATGGTGTAATGGGATGATGGGATGCAATATTGATATTTTGGAACATTGATGGGTGTATAATATGATACATTATGATACAATATATGAGGATATAGTATGGAACAATTATAGATCACCAACAGTTGAATATATACAAGGGTGTGTCTGAAAATGGGGTATACCCGCAATATATGACCATTTCAATAGGGAACTATTCTATCTTATTTTTATCCTCCAATGGATTTTGGGGTACCCGATTTTCGGACAGACCGATCTATATAGCTTGTTACTGGCATATTCCAACTTAGTGACCTTGACCAGTGACCTTGATCATGTTGACAGGCTATTTTATGCCTAACAAAAAGGCATATATGATACTATAGCAATCCCCAAAAATAGATAAGAGAAGAGTAGTTAAAACTGGCGATCTAACTTGGCGATGCACATGTGAAAACGGGGCATTTGATCCACAGAGAAGGGGCATTTTTATGGCTGACCTTCCCGAAAAGCACGGTTAAAATTCAGCATATAGTAACCTAAACTGATTCAGCTTGGCAATGGCAATGGAAGTCATGGCCTATTTAGTTCGACGATTTATATGATTTACCTCCTATAAAGGGTGATTCTACCGTTATGGCCCGAAATGCCAGTTATAAGTACATGTTCAAACCCCATTTATTCAATGTGTTTTTTTTGTTTGTTTAATCCCATAGAAATCATCACCAGTTATAATAACTAATAGCCATGGCCACAACTGTAACTGGCTTATGATCATATGTATAACATGTTATACTGTTATAACTGTTATTTACAACTGGGCTTATTATAACATGTAATAACTGGGCTATATTGATGTTTGATTACCATAATGATGGAAATTCAGCATTTTTCATGGGTAAATCAACTTTTCGACTGGGCCATGGCTTCAATGGCTATCTTAGTATGTTTACCAGGTTACCAGTACCTCCTATAGAGATGGTGAGTCTACCGTTCTACCCATGTCTGATTACCGGGTACCCTCTGGTAATTTAACATAGCTATTGAACATGGCCATAGAAATCGTGAGTTTTCCCATTAAAAATGGTGATTTTCCATATAGTTATGTTAGTTTACCAGAGGGTACCGGGTAAATGACCAACAAAGTCACACCACGTAGGCGGCACGTTTGGGACACGTGGAGTTGGTGCGCTTGTTCCTCCAGGAGACTTGGACCTTGGAGCGGAGTCAGGGATAGGATGGCCTTGTTACAAGGTATATATGGCCCTTAAGAAATGGGGAAATCCATGGGAAAATGATGGGAAATCAAGGGAAAATGGTGAAAATGATGGGAAATCCATGTGAAAATGATGGGAAATCCATGGGAAAATGATGGGAAATGACCAAAAGAATGGGATGAAGTAAGTGATGATTTTTCGTGGTTTATTTCATGATATACAACCAACTAATCAACTAGTTGTAGGAATTATCATCCAATTTATAGCTGTTCAGGGCCCGTAACTTTGACTTCTTGTTCAAGTAGAGTAGCCTTGAAATAGATAGAAAAGGTATGAAAAGGTCGAAATATAATTATCAAAGATTGGGACTTACCAGGAACAGTAGATGAATGTAGATGACATATTTGCAAACGACATGCCAGATATAAGAACATCTGACTGGACTCACGTAAATGGAGGTTTATAGCTGGGAAAATCATCGAAGTAGATGGGGGATTTTTCAGCAAGCCACGTTTGATTACCGGAGGGTACAACATGGTACAACTATTTTCGACTTTACCGTTATATCTTGTTTGGGGGTTGCTACATAAATCACATGGTTTAAATAATTTAGCATCAGTTTCCCTTTTTGAAATGGCAATCTTGCACCCCATTTTTCTCACACCCATCATGATTTCAGCGGTTGTATACCCATCAAATCCCGGTCTCTCTATATATATATATACATATATATATATATACATATATATATATACATATATATATATATATGTTCTTACATACCAAGTCCCAATAAAAATCTAGGTAAATCCCATCATACCTGGATGTTCATGGAAATCATGTGTGATTAATCAGGATATGTTCAGGGTCGAACTGTTAAACAACCAAAGAGTTAAGGGGAGGTTCCTCAGTTATGTTTGTTGGTTTATAAATAAACCTATCAAAATAAATTCGTTACATACCCCCAATCAACCGAACAGTTAACCAAGTGAACTGATCGTCAACCTGGCTATCGCAAATCAGCTATACATATATATATTTATACACATATAATCATATATATATATACCTGGATCTTCACTTAGCACTTTTTTCTGCTCATAGCAGTTTTCGCTTGGATTTACGCTTGTTCTGACTTTTTATGCTCACTTGAACTAGAAAACGCGCATTTGTTTCTTGATGGACGGGCATTTACGCTTTTTTCCCGGCTATTTATGCTTATTTCCCGGGAAAATACGCTTATAATTTCGGCTTCAAAATGCACAAAGTGCAAAACTGCCACAAAGTGGTGCAATTACGCTCATGTGGAGAAAAACCGCTCAAAAAGCAGAAATCTCTCAAACGAGCATTTATTTGTGCTTTTTCGAGGATGCAGGTATACATAAATCACATGAAAACATAATGTTGCTCTCGATTAATTACCAACATCTTTCCTATGATTTCAACTGCAATCCCATGGAAAATCCCCATGTTTGTTGGTTAAATCATCGCCTTGGTATTACTTTGCAAACGATCTCTCCGCTCAGGCCGGTGTAGATGTCTTGAAGGCAGATCGCTTCGGGAGGCCTGGGACCCCTGGGGCCCTGGCCGCTGGGGAACCGGCCACTTTTCGGAAGAGAAAATTCTACAGATGAATAGGTCATACAATGAGGAACACAGCAGTTTTTGTAACTAGATATTGTTGATTTTTATTAAAACGACTGTAAGATGATAATACGGTATAGGCCCAAATACTTTCTAAGAAGCCACTTCGCCGCAGAAATTATACCACCAACACTCCCTTAGAGGTGTTTGGATCATTTTGGATCCATCGGGATCTATAATGCCCTCCCAATAGAAAAAAAAATAGATTGCCGTAAAGTACCGTTCTCTATGATTCTACGAAGTACCTCTGCTGAATCTTTGGTGGGAACAATCTTAAACGGAAACGCAAGATTTAGTTGTGTGTTTTTTTTTACATGGAAGTAGACTTAGCTCCACAATTTTCTTTGAATGAGGACACTGTGACTATTTTCACATGTGGAGGCTTCTGGCGGCAAACAGCACGTTGACAGGAGGAATGAAAAAATGGTAAGTGCGACCCGTTTTTGTGGGGCAACTCCAGATATACATTATGATAGATTATCATCCAAGCATTTACCATCTTGGATTCCATTGCCGGGGTTATTAGCCACAGTTTTAAAAAGTTCTCTTTTTAAAAAGTTCTTTATTTCCCTTTTTTTGGTGGTTAACTTCTTTTTTCTAGTTTATTTCCAATTTGGCTGATGTGGTGAATATAAGTTGTGATTCGGATGAACCAATATAATAGCCCTGTGCTGAGCCTGTGCTGATAATATTTTCTTGATCTGGGGTAAACCCCACTTTCAACTCCACGTTTTGGACACACCCATCATTTCGCTGGATATATACTGTACGTATCAAATTCTACAACCTGAGCATGTAACCTATAACCATATTTGAATCCCCTCAGAACCAGATTTCAACTCCCTTTCTGTGTATAGAAAACGTGTTCATAGTTGGGGGGGATGATTGACTGTTCCACTTATTTTTGACGTGAACCATGATAAATAAAAGCCCAATAGTAAGCCATACTATTTACTCCTCTATAGTCTACAGTCTATAGATATTTGGTCTATTTGACCTATACCTATATAATATAGATAGGACATGGACTTAGTTACTTAGGTACAAGCCAATTGTCAGGGGATACACTACACTTACGAAGCACTTCGCGAACTCCGTCGCCCATCTAAGTCCCCCTGTATCAAAAGATGTTACACACACAGACATATATATATATGAATATGTATATATATAAATATATACACATGATATCTATGTATAGTTTGTTAGTATCATATATTTTCTCTCATGAAATATTTCCCACAAAATATCCCCAATAAACCAGCTATATCCCCAGAGATCGCCCACCATGTTCCGCCGGCATCGTGTCGCCCAGGACGCCGCTGGACGCGGCCCGTGCCGCCGGACACCTGCGGGTGACACGATGTCTGATGGACCATGCACCACAGGTGGGGAACGGGGGAAGGGCGTAACACTAACGTTGGGGACCCCCGGTTGGCAGCCCATGCCTAGACCTCCAAGTACACCCTCAATGTTTTTTACTCATAATTTTCGTACTTTTACGAGTCTTTGGCCGATTCTTTGGCTCTGGCCGGATATACCAATGTATATATGATATGATAATGTTCCTGTTGTTTTGCTTTGTGCTGCAAGCCCATGCTTTCAGGGACCACACGTAGTTACTATTTGAACGCAATTCATGAGGGTGCGTTTGCACATGAAATGGTCAGTAGGGGTGACTATCCCCAAAATGGTCCCCCTTCTTAGGTTGGTGAATTACTACAATCTTGAAATTTTGGAAAAACACGGACTGATGATGGTGGTTTTCTTTAAAACTTGGTCTATCTATCTATGGCAAACATATTAAGCCTGCTACCTGTCGCATTGTTTGCAGAGTACTGGGTAGGCCTTGATTGATAAATGCAGGATACCAACCGAGAAACAAACTCGCCAACAAAGATACCATGCAGGGAACAGTGTATCCACCAGGTAAACCAGACCATTGTTGGTCTCTATCCAAAAAAATCATTGGCTATACAGTTGCGATGTACAAAGACTATGATATCTCACATGTTGTTGTTTTACACATGCATTCCGAATCCATTTCCTCATCTTCCAGTTACCTTTCATCTAGACAGTTATAGTTATCATATATTATTGAATATCAGGTAGATATATATATATATATATACACATAAAATGTATATATATACTATATATATATTATTTTTAATTAATCATTAATTATCATTGTCAGTTAGAACCAACCCGATATCATGGATAATCTATCCATAAAAAAAAGGCTGCCCGCAGCCTCCACTGAGGCGTTGCCGGCGTTGCCGGCGCCCGGAAAACATCGGCGTCCCGCGAAGAGCGCATGGGTGTGATCAACACATGGTTTTTCTTGTTGCTGGGTAAACCATAGGAAAACCATAGGAAAACCATAGGAAAATGGAGGTTTACCCTCTGTTTATGTCAAAAATAGCTCTTGAAAATGGTCATTTATAGTTGATTTACCCATTATTTGTTTTTTATTCTTCCCATAGTTATGTTAGTTTACCAGGGGGTAATTCCAACTCACAGAAATATTCAACACCCCATGATGTGGAAGTATTTATGTTCCCAATCTATGTTCCCCATCACAGGTATTAAAGAACCCATATTATCCCAAATTTATGTTCCCGATGATGTGGAAATGTTTGCCGAAAGAAATAGTTTTTCAGGGTGTCGTGAAAATATTAGGGGAATGGAAGTCGTAACCCGCAAGGGGATCATCAACAAAACCATGGTGCAACTGACCTGGATAAATGAGGGTTTGATAATCAACCATACGATACCAATCATTGGGAGATACCTGCAAAACATGACCATAACTAGCCAAACAGCTGACTATGTGGTTGGAAACAGATTTGTCTCTGTGTTCTTCTATAATTTCTATGTTTTTCTTATCCTATGACATCGTGATCCCGGATCCCACTTCACTGGTATTGTTGGGATGGCTTGAAACCAACAATGAGGAAACATGGCGGTAGATTGCTGCAAATGCTATCGGTTGCTGTCCCAGATGTCATTAGCCTGCGCGAAGCTTTGGTCACTTACCACGTCAGAGAGTTCGAGACTCCATCAAGACATACTCCATTTGCTGCCATAGCTGTCTCCAAATACAGCAATTTCAGCAGCCACACACCTAAAAAAACATGCTCTAACGATATGCAACTTTGCTGTACTCATCAAAGTTATTTGTTTGTTCAACCATCACTTCGACTGTCGATTCGATTTCTCCCTGACCTGGATTTGGTTTGTTTTTTTCCATTGTGCCATTGGTTAATCCATCTTTCTAAGGGCAGCAAGTTCCATGGCGAATGCCCTGGCTGTGGGTCCTCGTCCAGACCTGTCCTGGGGATCTTCATCTACCTCCCGGTGTTTATCTGGTTGGTGGTTTGGAAATGTTTGGAACATGTTCTATGACTTTCCATTCAGTTGGGAATTTCATCATCCCAACTGACTTTCACTCCATCATTCTTCAGATGGGTAGGTATACCACCAACCGGTTATTTATTTGGATTTTTCGCTCACGTGTCAGCATTTTTAGAGGTGCCCCTGATGGTCCATCTGAAAAAATCCTCGGCAAAGTGAAAATCAGGGACCAATCCATGGATTCGGTGGTTTGGAACATGTTTTACTTTTCCATATGTTGGAAAGAAAGATCCCAAGTGATATTTTTCAGAGGGGATGAAACCAGCAACCATTATATCTATATATATATACACATGTGTTATGTCTGTGACTTCCCTATGTGCAATGTATCAAACCCAACATGTTTTCATCAAAACCCAGCATGACCTTCGAATTTGCCCATATTGAAAAGTTGTAGAGTTTCAGCCAGATGAACTTGGAGATTCAACAGGCGCAACCTCGGCTTGGTTAAAAGAAGCTGCTGATGCACTGGGGGGTGGAAGTGGATGTGTTAGATAATTTTAGTGGTCTTGATAATTAGCTAGGCTGAGGTACAAAAACGTCCTTTGATGATTACTATGCCTTAAAACTAGCCCAAGTATAATCTTGAAGGGACCTAACGGCCAGGGTTGTTTGTGAGCTGTACACAGCATGGTTGGTGGTATATTGACTATATCGACTTAGGTACCATTGTCCTATGCTAACATATGTTTGCACATTTTAGGGAATATATCAACTGAACGTGTAACAGCCTTAGTCGGAGCTCTGGCCATTGATGTGGGCCCCTAATCACCCCCTCAGGCTGGAGATAAGGGATCAAAACACCACCGTTGGGAACTCATATTTCGTAGGTGTGTTTTATACCACGGCCATGAGATTATACACTTCACCGCTTTAGCGGGCCTTGAGGATTTGAATTCGAAGCGGCTAGTGTTTTTTGGAGGTTGTTGGGTTCCCCCTCAGTTGGCTGCGGGTCAAAATCCTTGAGGTTTCTTTATGGTTTGCCAGTGATGCTCATGCATCAGCCCCATGCAGATGATATATCTCCACTTTGCATCCCTGTTAAGAAATGTTAAGTAGCCGTTGATGAACATACTGTAGATGAACATAGATGAAATCTGAAAATCTGATTACAACTGGGATAGCTCTAGGGGTGACTTCCTGACCAGGCAGCATCCCTCAACCACTTGTTTTTTCTTCTTGAATCCTCATTCAGGTGGCTCATGACATGTTACAGCAAGACCTGCTAGAACACATTGAAATAGTCTTAAACATGTTGGATGATGGATAACATGCTGCGTTTGTCCCAGGTGAATTGGGTTTTGATATTGGTTATATATACGTATATATATATACACATAAATGTGTATATATATATATATACATACACTCCTCGCTTTTGGGTCAGCATAAGTGAGCCTCTCCCCCAAGACTACGTTTTCCAACAGCTTTGTCTACCCTAAATGTGGGCGAATCATATCATTACCAAACGTGGAGCATATGCACATGGTTGTTTCTTCGAACCCATGTGCCTTGTGTGCCTTTTTCCAAGGTATACGATGGCCTTTGGCGACACAGAAGAAGCCCGTTTCGAGGACGAGATGTGGAACAATGGGTTAACTGTTTTTTTTGAGGCCCTGAAAATCAGAACCTTTTGGTCATGTAGTTGTATGTGTTATTTTAGTGTATTTTAGTAGAGTATCTTAAATTGTAAAGGTATATTGATATGACTCGAAAATGAGCGAAATATATCCTAAATGACATCAGATATACTGTAATGTTAATTTTTGGTATACCCACATTTGGTGAGTTTTTGGCAGCATCACAGCTAACCAAGCCCCGGAAATGACCTCAGGTTGCTAATGTCCAAAGGCCAACAGGGCCAACAGATTCAGAGGTACCTCTGCCAGATCCCCGCGCCATGAGGAGATTTCAGAAGTCACTGACAGGTACAATCCCAACCAGAAGGTGCAGAGTTTGTCGGGGATGCCTAAAATATATTGCCCCACTATGGAACATGATCATGAGATTGGTCTGTCCCCTATGTTTCAGGGGAAGCCAGATATAAAAGATTATATAAGTATTACAAAAGTCACAAAAGTATAGTTTCCTACTCATCAGGGGTGGTACAGTAATCCTAACTTGGCTGTGGCTTAAGATTATTGAGCCCCAATATTGAACGCCTTGAACACCAGAATTGTTTCTTTGTTTGTTACTGTGTCAATTTTATCCGCACCAGTGTTTTCGTTGAACTACCTACATGGATGTGCATCCCAGTTGGTATGCAGTCAAGAAGCATTGTCATAATTCAGTTACACTAGATATGCACTATATGTATAGCAACGCCAAAATAGATAGAAAAGGTGGACACCTGGAAATATGAGGTAAAAATCATCTATACTATCCTCGAAACACGTTTCTATCTTTTTTGGGGTTACTAATTATTTAAGCGCTTACGCGCAACAGCCGGCCAGGGGCCCAACTATGTAGGCCCATTGTGTGGCTATGTTGGCCTATGTTGGCGTATGTTGGCCTATCTTGCGGGCAATGTGGGCCCATCTTGTGGCTATGTTGGCCTTTGTTGGCCTCGTGTTGACCCATGTTGAGCCAAAAGATCCGAAAAATGGGAACAGCAAAAAAAACACGGTAAAACGCAGGATATTTTGATGGTCGGCGGCCTATCTTGGCGCATCGTGGGGCTATGTTGGCCCATCTTGAGGCCTATGTTGGCCCATCTTGGGGCTATGTAGGCCCATCTTGGAGCTATGTTGGCCCAACTTGGGGCTATGTTGGCCCATCTTGGGGCTATGTTGGCCCATCTTGGGGCTATCTGGGCCCATCTTGAGGCCTATGTTGGCCCATGTTGACCCATCTTGAGCCACAAGAGCCGAAAAATGACAAAAAATGCGAAGAGCACAAAACACCGTAAAACGCGGGACTTTTTGGCGGGGGGGAGTGGGTCGCCGGCAGGGGCGGCGGCCCCTCTCTCCTACGGAGAGGAGAGAACCGCCGTACGGCTATGCCACGGCCAGGGGGCCCCTGGCCGGATTAAAGGGCTGCCGCCCACTGCCGCCGACCTCTGTTGTCAGAAGACCAACTTGTGAGATACAATGAGAGAGCGTGTTCAAGGGATACCGCAGAGACATCAAAAGACAAAATGTCAAATGATTGTAAACACGCAATCTAAATGGGCAATCTGAAACATTAGCATCCCAAATCACATGTTGTTTGAAGATGTGTTTGGATGGCTTCCTGCAGGTGTGTTCTTGATGCAGCCGCTTGTGTTTCACAAGATAGCGACCAAAAATTAAGTCACAAAAAAAGAACACCGTGGCGGTGAAGGACGGAAGGCTTCGCGCCGCTGCCCTGTCTGAAGGCCTAACGTCGCTTTCTGAAGAGTCTAAGAAGAATGGCAAGAGCAGCCGCCAGCTTAGAAGACCCTTCGCTGCTAACGTCGCTTTCTGAATGGTCTAAGAAGAATGCCAAGAGCAGCTGCCAGCTCGCAAGAGCAGCCGCCCGCGGAGAAAAGGCTTCCTGTCGTTTTCCTCTTGGAAGGTGTTCTCTGACGCGTTCCCCCTGCTGCAGGCTGGGGTCGGCGGATATCTACAGTATATGTTGGGATTCGCTCATAGTTATTTGTCGCTTAGGAACACCACTCATGACCAGCGCGATTCCTGGGATGCTCCGTTGGTACTTTTTGGCACCACTGGCAGGTGACCATTCGCAAAGCCATCGAACGGGAGCCATGCGCTTAGTGGATTTCCGGTACGGATCTGCATCGCTGGTGAGTTGCTATCCCAACAAAAACTTAAAAATGACCTGTTATTCGCAAGAAATGATTTTTTTTACCTGGTCCACTGTAACGCGTACGAAAAGATGCAGGAAAATAAAGTTTTGGTATTTTGGATCTACTTGATTGAGGATTGCTATACATAGCTGCAAGAGATTATTCAATCGCCAGCAGGTTAAAAGGTTGCTGCCAACTATTAGGGTTTCTTTCATGATGGCACACCATGCGCTTAGCCAGTCCTTGTTCACTGGCTGCTTCATGAAGAAAGAGGGATAACCGCCCATTTTCTACGGCAACAAATGGGTAAATTACAGAGTTTGTTGCATTAACTAGCATAAATTAAAATGACATGTTCCGCTCACGCCATATCTCACTTCTTCGCACAGTAGGAGGTGTTGAAGGGGGGTCGACTTGTATGATTTGTTCGTTTCATATGTTTTGGTTCGATCCTTGCTGAAAAAACTGGGCTCCATGTTGTCATGATACGATTGCTCTTTGGTTTAACATAGCTGTGGACATATAAATTAAACTTAAGTCAATTTTCCACAGCTATGTTCAATTATCGGAGTGTACATTGCTTGGGCTTGTGAAACCTACTTTCAGAAATCCCTTTTCTCCACCAGAGCCAATCCTCAAAGAGTTACAATACCCTATTGGTGTCGCTGCACCTCATTATGACTGATCACAGCCTCTCATTGTTTTTATTTTGTGTTACTATGTGTTACTCAAATGACAAACAAACATTCGCACTTTCTGAGGTAGAAACTTGGGAGCTACCCTCCGGTGTCATCAAACACCGGGCTCAACCCCACTACGATAAGAAACGATGACATTGCGCCAGGATCACCTTAGAACCTGACGGTGACTCCCACAGTCTCCCGGCTTGATGGAGGATGCATGAGATGCAGAAAAGTGGACAACAACACAAGGGATGGGCCGAAATGATGATGGGAACATATGTTAAGCATGAAAAAATGGATTCAATCATCAATGACAGTTGAATAGTTGGGATATATAGTGGGATAATATCTGGATAAGTTCTGAGGACCCCACGTTGCGACATCACTGGAATGATGAAAACTGGATTGAGGTAACTATCCCAGAATGGTCGAACTTTTCAGAGGGTTGAATTATTATGACATTTATCCAGAAAAAATGGTTATTGGATGGAAGCACCTGAAAACATGAACAGAAATGACATGAGGATGCGGTAAAACCAACAGAAATGATCAGAAATGGACATGTCGTTTTTTGTTTGGTGAAATACCTCAGCTCGTCAGGTTCAACCACCAGTCCATGCCGTCCATGATCCCTGCAGGTTATCAAATCCTTGGGACCTGGTCTGGCCGAAGTCCGGAGGAGCGGCCCAATCTGAGGATATGGATGGATAGGGAATTTAGCAACTAACATCAACTAACATATATATATATATATATACAATGTGGGCCTCCCTAATTATAAGATATTATAATTAGTTTATAACTAACTATACTTGGAACTTAGAACTGCCATAAACCCTAGTTATTGTAGTTATATACCAACTTAGCTATCTTGGGGGCATATATACATATATATATATAATTATACATTATATTTATATATATATATATATCAATTTATCTGGGCAAATTATAACAACCCACTGTCCTCCCTCACTGGAATCATGGTTAATAAGAGGAATCATCCGCGGAATCATCCCAAAATGGCCGCAAGTTTCAGGTTAGTGAATTACTAGAAGTTGCCCAGATTTATGGGATATGCCCACAGGAACTGCCAATCTAACCTTTAAAACTACCAGATAGATATATTATCTAGCATAAACTCAACAGTTGACCTACTCAACTACACTAACTTGGCATTTCGGACTCGGCACTTGAAACGTTGTTTGAAGTTCTGAATTCGTCGCCATGTCGAGGAGATGACCTGTGAAGATGGCGCCTGGTCGTTTGAGATCACCATCGGTGAGAATCGCTGGGAATCGTTGCCCGGCAGGATGCACCGGTGCAGCGGGACGCGCCACCCGTTGTTTTCAGCCAGTGGTGTTCCTGGCTTTCTCAGGGATTGTCATATAGGGTGTTGAATAGTAGGGTAGTTTTCATGGTCGGTATTGAAAAAAATATGGGGGTTTCCGAAGCCATGGGGGCACCCCCATAGCTGGATGGTTTATAGTGGAAAATCCTTTTAATTAAAGTAGATGATTTGGGGGTACCCCCATTTCAGGAAACCTCCATATATAACTTATATAAACTTATAGTAGCAGGAGTTATTTTATCCCATTTATCGAAGGAAGTTTAGAAGTCAAACTTCCGACAATATGGACAGATATAAAAGCAGAGGTGGGAAGAGTCAGAGGAGAAGAGCAGAGGCGAGAAGATCAGAGAAGAGAAAGAGTCAGAAGAAAGAAGATGCAGGTGGCAGGTGTACCAAAAGGTCGAAAAGCCGCGAATCACTGTGTTTTTCCAATGATTTGTGGCTCTGGAGCGGGGAAAATTGGCCCACTCGCTAAAGCGGCGGGAGCGGAAACATCTGGCCAGATGAGAGATGAAAAATTGAACGCCGCATGTTCGGACCACTTTTGGAAGTTGAGATGTCGAAAAAGTGCACGCCGTTGTGGCACGAAGCACATTTCGAAGTCAAAAGTGCAAAGAACTGACGGGTTCGGACCACTTTTGGAAGTTGAGATGTCGAAAAAGTGCGCGCTGTTGTGGCACGAAGCACATGTCGAAGTCAAAAGTGCAAAACACTGACGGTCTCGGACCACTTTTGGACGTTCAGATGTCGTTTTGCATGGCAGGCACAACGGATTGTGCACCTTGTTAAAAGTGAGCAACGAGGGTTTTGCAGCAGTTTCAAAAAGGATGGCAGGCGTGGGACAGGTGAAGAGGATCTGCAAAGATGCTTTTCGCGTGGCAGGCGCGGTACAAGAGACAGATGAGTCAGATATGTTAGGAGGTCAGGGCGCTGATTTCCTGAGAGGGGTTGCATTTTGAAGCATCGAATCTTCAAGTTTGCTAAGATGATTTTACGTGACAGGTGCAGCACTTCGTGTGACCTGGCATCATTTTTTTGGTGGCAGGCCCAATACTTTAGACAGATGGAATGGAAAAATCGCAAAACGCGTTGGTACAAGGCCGTCAGCTCTGCACTCAACTTTCCATTTTTGAAGGAAGTCTCGCAGAATAGCTTCGTTTTTGATGTTGTCAACTTCGAAAATTGAGGAAGTCTCACAAATTCTTTCGTTAGTGACGTTGTCAAGTTCAACAAGTGAGGAAGTCTCGCAGAATTGCTGCGCTTCTGATGTTGCCAAGTTCAAAAACTGAGGAAGTCTCGCAGAATAGCTGCGTTTTGAAACTTGCAGATGGACAGAAAGATGGCTAAATAGATAGATAGATAGATAGATAGACAGATAGATTGATAGATAGATAGATAGATAGAACGATCGATAGATCGATAGATCGATAGATCGATAGATCGCTAGATAGATCGATAGATAGATAAATAGATAGATAGACAGATAGATAGACAGATAGACAGCTACAACTGCAACTGCATGTTACAAGTACAACTACACTACCACTGCAAATACACATGCAACTGCAAATATACTCTGCTACAGTACGCTAACTACACTACACTACACTAATTACAGTACACACACTACACTACGCTTCACTACAGTACACCCGACTAGACTACAACCACAACTACAACTACAACTACAACTACCTCTGCATTACACTACGCTACGCTACACTAGCTACAACTACAACTACAGCGACAACTACAACTACACTACTTTACACTAAACTACATTAGACTACACTAAAGCACACAACACTACATCACACTACACGACACTACATTAGATTTCACCCATAGAACCACACCACAACTACAACTGCAACTACCCTAATTACACCACACTACAACTACAACTACAGCTGCACTACAACACACTACATCCAGCAGCTGTGGGTGAGGTGACCACTGCAACCATTGCAATCACTCCAAAAATTACAACTCCAACCACATTTCGGTCCATCAGTGGATGTGCTCTGCCAGGCATGTGTTTCTTATTTTTGAAATTTCTTCCACCGCCTTCCGCGGTACTACTGGTAACCCTTAAGGGCCAATAACTGCAGAACATGTGGGATTTCATCCGGAAAATGGGATTCACTCATTAGCAAGTGTTTTTTTAGCACCAAAAAAATATGTTTAGCACCAATCATGGTGATTTGCGATCGGTCACCCACAAGCAAATGATCATCGGTGCTGGTCTTGACTGCATGTATATATATATATATAGATAGATAAATAGATAGATAGATAGATTAGGTTAGGTTAGATTAGATAGATGGGATAGGATAGGATAGGATAGGATAGAATAGGATAGGATAGGATAGGATAATGATAGGATACTGTAAGATAGGATAGATAGATAGATAGATAGATAGAAAGATAGATATATAGATAGATAGATAGATAAATAGATACATAGATAAACAGATAAACAGATAAATAGATATGATTATTTTCCATCCTACTTGTCCTACTTGATGATGTTCCCACTTAAAACTCAGAAACGTATCAGCTCCGCTCGGACAATTCGATTGTGATATCAAGCCAATTGTGAACAGAAAATATTGTTTCTGAAAATGGGGGAGCCCCGTCCAGATGCCCGGTGGAATTGGTTGACTCCGATGCCATGTGAAATGCTGCACAGGTTTTACCTCACCCAGGACAATGACACTGAAAAGTTCGGGGTCACAGCTGGGAGTGAAGCTGTATGCATGTGGCAGTTGCAGGGTTGGATGATTTCTGAGTGAAAAAAACACAGCATTGGTTGAAGGAAAAATCTACAGGACGCCTTTGTAGATGTAAACAGCATGATTTCCTGCAATGATTTCCCTTAAATCAACGTCTGACTCGCCTCTGCAATGGTCCGAAGCTCTTCTGAATGACTCCAGCTGCAGTTATCAGGTCCCAGGTGTGCAGTGATCAAACAACCCTCGTTGATTTGGTTGTCTACCCAATTCATTGGGGATAAAATCATTTTCCCTACAATGTGGGGCCCCCAAGATAGCTAAGTTGGTTTATAACTACAATAACTAGGGTTTATGGCAGTTCCAAGTTCTAACTTTAGTTTGATGGGGTTATAAACCAACTTATAACTAGGGGGGCCACATTGTACGAACAAAGCAAAAGATCAGAGGGCGATTCGATCACTGCTACGGTGGTCCCATGTTTTTTGGGGGTGATTACACTCTACGAAGGCTGGAAGTGCAGAAGGCATCAAACAAATCAAGTAAAGGTTTCTCATCCAGTCATGGGGATAGCCCCAAATCATCCAAGTCATGGATGACCATGACTTAGTATTGAGACCCATCGTATCCCATAGGATCCCCCATTTTGTTCTGAAACCTCCAGATACATCACTGATTTCAGCCGTCTCAGCCATCGATGTTGATCTCCTACTGAATAAGTCGGTTATAAACCCAGGTGATACCCTCGTTATAAATGGGCTACTGGTTGGTGGTTTGGAACATTTTTTTCCATATGTTGGGAAGAAGAATCCCAACTGACTTTCATATTTTTCAGAGGGGTGGCTCAACCACCAACCAGGCTAAGTAGGGGCAATGTCCACTTGTAACTGTTTTTTTAACCCACTTACTAATTAAGATACTAATTGGGATGAACCACCAAGTAGGACATCATGTTTGAAGCTTCCCATGTGGAGCCACTGGCTGGTGTTGTGAGGCGAATTGTGCCCAACGTCTCCAAAGCCACCAAGGAGGTTTGGTATACTCGGTGTTCAGCAAGTTTTCCGGGACAATTGTCTGTTTGTTGCTTCAGAACATCCAATCCCGTGTCCTTATGGATCTTATGGCCTTGTGGCTTTTGACTGAAATCATCTCGTTTCGGTCCTTAAATTAGGTTGATTACCTTTTGTCCTTGCAAAAGCCCTATTTTTGAGGTGGTTCATCGCTATGTTTGGCAGATGAATAAGTCACCTATACGTATGTATATATATATATTTGTGTGTGTGTGCGCACATAAATTCCCTTGTTGGTGATTACATCCTCATGTTTGTTGTTTAAATCATGTGAGATTGTTGTTGTTTCAATTTGGGCATCTATTCTGTGGCTGGGATGTGTTTTCACATTCAAATGATTGGCTGGTGTCCACGTGCCAGCAAACACAGGGACTTTCAAACAAATAATAAGTATATATTCCATGGTATTCCCAAATTTCTTGTTCAACTCGCCAAAGTAAAAACATAGTCCCTGAATTGTCAACAGAAAGTTGAGAGAATTTCAGGGATTTCCTCAGGTTGCTGGCAGTCAAAAGGAAGAAGCGACTCTCTTGGCTCGCAACGCTCGCAACCCTCGCAACGCTCGCAACGCTCGCCTCTCCGTCACCGTTGGTTTCCCAAAGTCACGTTGGATCAACGATTTGGAGACAGGGAGAAGCAGAGGATCCATGTGGCAATTTCTTTTCAGTGCCAAAATGGCTATTAGAATCTATTAGATACCATTGATATTAACTCATAATGGTGCCACCATTAAGGTGCCGCACATGGCTATTTCAGCCATGGTTTTTGAGATGTTTTGATGGATTACCAGGACCAAGTTACCATGGGTTCTTATCAGGTTCTTATCAGCAACTGCCAGTGGACCGGGACCTGCGCAGGCCGTGCCGGTGGGCCCTTTGAGCACAGGCCCCAAACATGTGCGAAGTCCCAGGGGGATGATTTCCCAAAAGTGAGTCCCTACAGATAACTTCTTCGCCCTCAAAGAAGTTATAACTGGTGTAATTATTTCAGGATATGTATATATTATATTATATACTATATTATATTAAAATTATATATATATATTATTATATAATTATATTATATGATATATATTATATTATATGTATAACCAACTGTTATTTTATCCCATTTATAGCTGTTAAGGACCACAACTGTACTGCTGTGTTTTGGCGATGATTCATTGTACTATCTTTCGAGCCGACCAAGAAAATTGTGAGGAGACCCTTAGGCCCTTGATGGGTAAGAGCATGACAGATGCTGTGGAAGTGGGGATGATGCTGGCTCTGCTGGAATCTCTTTGAAACTATATTTGATTTACAGTTGATAGACTGCATGTACGTATTGTAGGTGTATATTATATAGCTTATGGACGTATAAAATGTATATTATAGCACGTGCTGTATATATATATACACATAGTTATAATATACAGATACACATGTGAAAAAAAATATTCTATGAAAAATCTACAAACACATTTACAATTTACAAGGCCAGAAGTATTCTGAGATGTTCTTGCTTACCTGACCCGAAGATTTGCAGACAAAGATATACAACTGCACTGAGCATAAGGTGCTCTACTGACTGAGGTTACCAATATGTTTTTCAACACAAGCCAGGCATGCGCAGCAGACACATTTTTTATCAGATGTCAATCCTATGCCCTCCTGTTTTGGAAGAGAACGTGGTCCCACAGCTGCTTCAGCTATCGTTCCACAACGGCTCAAAGTGACTGCTTTGTCGACATAGCCACGAAACATGATATGTGCTAAGGGTCTCACTCCTGACGAAAAGACAACAATCACCGTGAACAGGTGGCCCTGGTCCAGTCTTCGATCTTGGCTTTACAAGAGCATAGTTCCGGTGAAATTGGCCTTTCCTTCCCTGAAAAGAGGCGTTTTGAATTCGGCAAATTGGCAAATCCTCACTTGAAGAACAACTTCCCTTTGGACGCATTTCCAAACGCATCTTTTTGCCAGTGCTTGCATGCTTGAAGTTCTTGAAGCTTCAAATGCATCCCATCTAATAAACATCTTTTCAAGGCACCTTTCACGAGCTGAGGGTGTTTAGTCAGGGCATGCGCCTTGCGCCGCCGTGCTTCCGGCTGCAGCGGACCTTGCCGGTGGCAGTGGCCGTGCTGCTTCCTGGTGCCTGGTGGGTGCCAAGAAGCTGTGCCGGACGAGGCGGCGAAGGATCACCCCGCGAGGGGTTTTCTACTGGGGGTTATGGATGGATACAACCATGGTAGTTAATTACATTGGAATATGATTCTCCAACTATGGTCATGTACCATATAGTTATAGTATGTTATAGCTATGGGTACATCAAAATCCATTGGAATATAGCTAATATGGTTATATAACTATAGAGGATATTCCAATGTAGTTACTATGGATATATAATAGTACAATTGCTAATTTGACAACTATGGACTAGGGTTATATAAAGTTATATAAGTTATATATCCATAGAGTAACTGGAACTGCACCCCCAAAGTAGTGACTGCTCAATACCTCTGGCTAGCTGTTCTTTTTTAAAGTCCACCAAGTGCGGGAATCCCATAGAAGGCCCAGCCCAAGTTGGATGCAACCAGTTGGTGTGGAATACCCAACATGACAATTGCGGAGATGGAAGACCCTTCGTTGCCAATGGAGTTGGGTTTTTGGGGCCCGAAGACATTCAATAGATTTGTTCAGTGTTCAAAACCCCTGGTGGTTGATTAGGGCCATAGGGGATTATACTACAGTAACCAATAGAATAGAGAATATCACAAAGCATGAATGGGGCAATCCCTATCAATCAACCATTATGAAGGGAAGTTACAGGGTTTTGAACACTGAGTGGCATAATTATACGCTGGATCAGCGGGTTTCCCAAATCCATCCGTGAGACCCCCATTGAAGAATTCTTATCTTCATTGTAGCAACCTCCAGAAAGGTATTCTTAAACAAGTGTTTTTTTTTGTTTCGGGTTAGACACAATGTCCAGGCTTTCAAATTGTTCTATCCTTTTTTGGGGGTTGCTAAAGTCGTAACCCGTAGCAGTTATAGCAAGCTTATTTGGACGTAACTGTAACTAGTTGACAGGAGATCTATTTCATCCCATTTGTAAGTGGTTTATAAGTGGTTTACAGGGCCATAACTGACTGTTTCATTCCATTTATAAGTGGTGGTTTCAAACATTTTTGATTTTCCATAATATATGGGATAATCCTTCCCATTGACTTTCATATTTTCAAGATGGTTACTTGTAAAACCACCACCCAGTATATAAACCTTCATGGCTACTGCGGGACATGTCCCAGTTTCATCAGATTTCATCAGCAGGTGACTCTGGATGGTTTTCCCCGTAACTTTCCTTCAAGAATCAATGGTACTTCACAGGGTTGCTGTCCAAGATCTTCAACACTTAGCCAGGCCTGGTACCCAGCGCAAGGACCTTTGCCATGTCAGGCCGTGTTCGCCAGCGTTTTCAGAAACGCCAATGTGAGTTGGGTAAAATTTATGTTTAATGGATATGATAGAGATTTTTCATAGGAATAATATGGGATTATCAATGGGATGAAAAATGATTATAAGTCCAATAGCCAAGAATTAACTACTAGTATGGTTAATGGGCGAATATAACATGATATCACGGACTAGTTAATGCATGGGGAATATAACATAATATATCTCATTATTTTTCGAGGTGAATTAGGCATTCTAACATACAACAAATGTCCACCATTTAATTATTTACATATTTTAAAGGGTACTGTATCTAGGATTCTAAGAATTCAAAGACTGGCATACGTGCCTGTGCCGACTGTATTCAGAGTGTGAAGAGGGGGCGATCGAAGAAGGCAGCGATACGCCCAACAAACTGCGCGGTGTCGGCGGTATCGCAGTTCCTCGTTGAGCATTGTACGACAAGTTCTATGGAAGGCCTGTTGTTTCAACTGGGGCTGAATGGCACCCATCGGATGGGGCTTGGAAGGGTGATGAGCCGGTTCGTTTTCCTGGACGCTTAAGAAATGGTACCGAGGAGGAGAAGAAAGCCAACGTGAAAACGTGAAGTGGCTGGCAACTGAGATGAACGTGTGAATAGCGTTGGATTCACACCCGTGAGCTCCACAATGGATTCGCAACAAACAAGTTAGTTCCAGGTGAGGAAAAAAAACGAAATCCAAAGCCCTTAATGTTCTTGATTCAAAAGTAATTTCCTGACTGTCGGAATTTTCCAGATGTGCTTGATAAACCGCGAATGGGTTCAGCTTTTGCCAGATGGCAACCTCTCATGACTCTCATGTGGGAACGGTTCTAATGATGTTCAAGCCAATCGGGAGGGCTCATGATGGATTGGGTTTACTACATATAGATTCAAGGTCGTGCCCCCCAATGATGCTTGTTGGTTTATAACCCCATCGAACTAGTTTGATGTTGGTGAACTCCCATCCCATCGGAAACAAAATACACATCCTTTGGTTGGCTAAACCATGTTGAACCTATACCGTGAAAAAACCCATGACTTATAAACTAGCCTAAACTATCCTAAAATGAGATGTAGCCTATAGGTATAGGAGTCATTTCATCCCATTCAAGGCCATGTTAACCCATCATTTCCCATCTGAGGGCCATAACCGGTGTGTTTTTCGTTGAATTCCGAGCCCTCGCCGCCTTGTTAACCCTTGGGGCACCTTGCATCGTAGGCGCACGCCTTCCAGAGGCGTCTTTGGGAGATGGCTGTATAACCATCCAGTATTACAGTGCCCTGGAACAAGGGCCTTCAATGGGATTACTGTAACTAGGAGCACGGCCTTTAGAAGGCCGTGGGTTTTTTGTGATCAAGGGGGTGTCATGGATCATGTTTGATGTGCTCGTGCCAATAGGATTTTGTTTGATGTGATTTTTCAGGCCGTTAACCCCTTATTCTGGTGCAGTTTTTCAAAAAACAGGTATTTCGCCTAGACGAAACTAGCATTTTTGTTTTTTTTGCCGAGTCTAAAACTACTTCGCCCTGGCATGTTTTTAGTCGTCTTTTGGTCAGAACAGCGCTTCTAGTTCTTCCAAGAACCTTTGAGGATCTGGATTTTCTACGCTACAACGCCAGCACCACATGAACATATATCATATATTGTGTCGCTGAAGGGTGCAAAGTTCAAGAGAACTTACAGTAGCGTGGCATGACGTATGAATGCAAAGTTCAAGAGAACTTGCAGTAGCGTGGCATGTCGTATGAATGCAAAGTTCAAGGGAACTTACAATAGCATGGCATGACGTATGAGTCGAAAGTTTCAAGAGAACTTACAGTAGCACGGCATGACGTATGAGTCGAAAGTTCAAGAGAAATTTCAGTAGCGTAGCATGACGTATGAATGCAAAGTTCAAGAGAACTTACAGTAGCGTAGTGGGAAGTTCAAGAGAACTTACAGTAGCGTAGCATGACGTATGAATGCAAAGTTCAAGAGAACTTACAGTAGCGTAGCATGATGTATGAATGCAAAGTTCAAGAGAACTTACAGTAGCGTAACATGACACATGAATGCAAAGTTCAAGAGAACTTACAGTAGCGTGGCACGACGTATGAGTCGAAAGTTTCAAGAGAACTTACAGTAGCATGGCATGACGTATGAACGGAAAGTTCGAGGGAACTTACAGTAGCATAGCATGACGTATGAATGCAAAGTTCAAGAGAACTTGCAATAGCAGCCACGGAGTAGCATGTCCTTCATCAGCAAGTTCACATGAACGTTAATACATGCCCCACCCCAACCCACCCCAACAAGCCCCACCCCACCCCCCCAATGTCCACAAAACACCACGGCCTTGTAAAGGCCGTGGTCCAACTAGTTGGTCATGTTGGTTAAAGGCAAAGTCCACAAACTCAGCTGCACGCTTCAGTGAAATCGTTTATTTGGGCTGAAGGGCCAGGCATTTCCTTCAGCGGCACTGAGTTCTCATTGCCTACGATTCATCAGGTGCATACAGATCCTTAATCTCCATGTAGCCACCCCAAAATAGATAGAAACGTGCTGGAGATCTATGGAAATCTGAGATAAATATAGATAAATGTCATCTATCAGCCTGGAACCATGTTTCTGATATCTTTTAGTCATGTCGGGGGTTGCAAAAAATGTCATCTAGATCGGAGGCTTGCTACAGACTTGGTTTTTTCCCCACCGACGATCCGTCAGCAGGTTTGGCATATATGGGGAATATGTCTATTCGTTTGGGGAACCCAAACGAGCAAAATCCACTTGGATTTGTAGTGACTGGTTAGCAAGTCTCCGATTCGTGGGTTAGCCCATCTAATTAATTCTACAGTAATTTTTAGATTATGACTATGGTTACTAACCCCTTTTACTAAGTGGAATGATCTGTTATCACTGTGGTTACCAACCCCTTAAGATCTATAACTGGAATGCAGATTTCCACCCAACTTTGTCAGGCTTTGGTTTGGGTGGATTGCGAGATGACTGGCCTTGGGGCAGAGGGAGGTCCTGGACCCGATACCTTGCTGGAGGCAGCAGCATTGAACTGGGGTGAAGCTGGGTAAAGTTACAGGCTATGACGGCTATGACCAACTTACCCCCTTCTGGCTATGATGCATGGAACTTTATGACTTTCCATATATTGGGAATGTCATCATCCCAGCTGACGAAGTCCATCATTCGTCAGAGGGGTAGGGCTCAACCACCAACCAGAATATATAAAGTTACAGGGAATACCTGGGACTTGGAATACTTGGATCAGGGAATAGTTGGAGGATCATAGAAAGAACCGGAACTGGTTAGTAAGCCTGGTGATCGTAAGTCCCAGGTTCCTAGGCTTAGTTTATTTCTAAGTGGGCTATAACCCCGCTGACCAACCATGTTAAGTGATATGATCCATGTAAACGGCTGCAAGTCGGTATGATCCTTGTGGCAAGGATTCGCCTAGAATCGGTTGGGGAGCTCCGATTTATGTGGTGATTAGAACTCCTCAGGTATTCCTCGTCATGGAGACTTGGATCGGGAATAATACAGTTATAGCATGTTATAGCCCTGAACAGCTATGATCATACTATGATCCTGGCTATGTCATGATATATAACCTCAGTTACAGCAGTTATTTCATCCCATTTAAGGCCCATCTATTTCAGGGCAACTGCAGGATCATTGAGTTTTTTGGCAGTTGCAGGTGGCTGTTCTGATCACGGACGACCATTTGCAGTTGGTGGCGGAAGGGCCTGTGCCTTGGGCTATGCGTAGCTCGTAGCGTAGCTCGTAGCTGGGGATCTCACTGGGGAGGTGGGTCAATGGTGGATAAATGATGCTTTCAGAAGCTATGGGCTCCGAGGAACGGAATCAAAGAGGGGGTGGTTGGTTTTGACGTCAACGCTTACTTGGTTGATTTGATCGGTGGTTTTGAGGATGTATGATTTTCAATTTTCAACCATAGAAATTCGCATCACATGAGAGCGCATAGGCCTCTGGAAATCTACGCTGGCAATGAACAATTCTTGGGGATGGCTGTTGAGACTTCCTGACCCAGATCCCCATTTTTGTTCAAGTCACATGGTTCGTTTGAAACCTGTCCGCCTTCTGGATGCTCACCAACAAGGATTTTCACCCACAGCCACCCACCCCATCAGCGGGGGATAGAGTGCATCCTGAAGACTAGCATGGAACATCATGGAACTACAAAAGCTTGGGGAGAATAAATCATGGTGAAGATGTATTCTGCAGGCATGCGCTAGTTTCTCCCCAGATATTTACTTGGACCACATCAGATGATCCCTTAGCTGACTCTTCCAAATTAGCTGGATCGGACAAAACTGTGGAAGGATCATCCCTTTTTGGTCGTCGCAACTGGTTACCCTCTGGTAAACAGCCACATAACTATGGAAGATCACCATGTTTAATGGGAAAATCAACTATAAATGGCCATGTTCAATCGCTATTTTGACATAGCCAGAGGGTAGGATCGCCATTGGTTCAGTCGATCACCGGTGACGTTGGGATCGCAGGATGTCGTAGTGCATCATTCTGATGAGGTGCTGGACGGCAGCTCGGCGATCGATGATTGAATTAGGGCGTGCGGAAGGAACCCCGAAATGTGATGTTTGTTGCTTTAATTGCCTGTACCATTTTTTAAAATGTAATTCTGTCCCTATAGTTGGATATCTCATGATATTTCATGATATTTCCACAGAAAATCCAACAGTTTGCCTATAGTGAAATCAAAAAAAAAAAACAGCTTGGAAACCTGGGTAACCTTGGGGCCAGGCATGAATGACTGGTGCAAGCGGCAGTTCGGTTGGGACGACCAGCAGAAGATTGCGCGACCCGGATTGCTGGCCGACCAGGCCCTGAATCATCCCAGGTGAACCGATGAAACCCTACAAAACCCTGCTTTCGGCTGGGTGTTTTTGATAACTCGGAAAGGGATCAGTCGTGGCTGAAGACCAATACTCCACTGGGAATTCACTTCCTTGGCCACAAACCATTAGCCTCAGGGAAGATCCAGATGAGTGAGGACAAACACTATTTCAAGGTGATATCGAAAACATATTTCCCTCCGGTGAATTCAGTTCAACCCACCATTTGTAGATAGTTATTCTAGGGAAACTCATTGCTTCTCATATAGATGTCAATGTTACCAAAAGGCACATCCATCTTTTTTGGGTCTTGGGTTTTGTTGAATCTATAGTATAATCTATGTGTGTGTTTTTTGAGGGGTTCCTTGAGCAAATCAAATCCTGCCCCGTTCAATCAGTACTGTACAGGTGTTTATTATTGTTTTTTTTATGGAACCCAACAAATAGACCTTCTTGGCATCCCATCAATCTTTGTAAATTATAATGATCTCACTCCATACATCATGATGAGTATACGGAAGTTCCTCCCCAAATGGCCGTGTTTTGTTTTTTCCCTTGTGAATGTTGATTAATAGCCAGACACTAATCAGGGGGAATTCTGTTCATCCTAAGAGGGGTCATTGTGTCATTGTCCACTGCGGATGATAATGAGTAGCTTTCAAATGTGGTTCTGTGGTTCATAAGGTACCCTTTGGTAAACTAACATAACTATGGAAAATCACCATTTTCAATGGGTAACTCAACTATAAATGGCCATGTTCAATAGCTATGTTTGTTTACCAGAGGGTACTTATCAAACCATCAAAGCATCAAATACCCACATGGGCTCAGAGCCTTGTGGCGACTGGGTGAATCTCTTGCCATAAGTTGAAACGACCAAGCAACAGACCACAGATCTATGGCAAGTTTCCCCATTTTTCCATGTTAGATTAACAATAGGTCAACCGTATTACTATCGTAGATGTTTTTTCCCATCTTATCAGATTGCAGTATATGTTCCCATCTTATGATCATTTTTAATTAAATGATATATACCTGTTCCATCCTTTTCCCATAATAATCATTATATGGCAGTGTGTCAAAACCTTGTACCCCTGGTGAACATCAAAATAGCTGGTAAATGGATGTTCATCCCCCTAAAAATGGTATGTATAGGTATTGATCAGATCCATACCCATATATGATCATTTCCCTTTGATCCTTGGTTTACCCATTTCTTTTGTCTCCTTCGTTTCGACCTGCTTCAACCGCAGGTCAGAAGATCTAAGGTCACGCTGGAAGAGCTCGAAGCTGGGTGAATGGGATGGCGGAGTACTGCGACATTAGTATATTATGATATTTTGTATGTAGCATGTATATATATATATATATATACATTGTATATATGATATGAATATATGTATGTATACGGTAATATGTATTATAGTGTCAATTCTGCATAATTTATCATATATATATATGAACATACATGTATATGTATATTGAGCTATGATCAAAAATATGGTTTCAGATGTGCGTTGATCATACTTTGTCCCTAAATACGGGATCATAATCAGGATCAATCAGGTAGACAACGTCCATGTTTGGTGATGAACATGTGGTTCTCCAAGAATCGTTGGTGCCAAATTTATTGCATTCCTGAAAAAGATCACATTCCCCTGAATACTAGCCCATCTTCAGACAGTTTTTTCGGATGTAGTCTATTTTTCAGGTGATAAAGAGAACATTAGGGGCAAATCATCTGGGCCTCATGTCATCCTTTCCCAACATGACACGATCTTACGTTGAAGTGCGCTTCCTGTACAAAATATCAATACATAGAACCATGGTAATTTAACATAGCTATTGAAAATGACCATTTATAGTGGATTTTCCCATTGATCATGGTGATTTTCCATAGCTATGTTAAATTACCAGAGGGTACATAGAACCATAATAAACAACTCTACTTTGAAAAGATATGACTTTACCAAATGGCTGGTTTCACGCCGTGCATTCACCTTTTGTAGCTGGTAAGAACTTGAAACCTTCTTCTTGATCTTGGGATGGTTTTTGGATTGCACAGTTTGTTTAAAGTTGCCACGGCGTTGTTGATGTTTGTTTTGTTCATGTTGTTCGTTCAATGTTAATGTTGCTCTGCCATTGATGATAACTATCAGTAGATGATGTTGTTTGTCACTTTGTGTTTTCCTTTTGAAACGAAGGTAGGGTGTTTAGTACAGCAGAATTGTCATGTTTTTGCCTTCGACTGTCCCACGTGCCACCAATCCGTTTAATCCTGATGATACATGGTTCTGATATTGATGTTAAAGTTCATGGTGATGATCAGTGATGATGGTCAATCATCAATATCATTTTCAGAATCAGTCATATTATCTAGATCAATATCAAAATGCCCACTGTCTCACTCTAGCGCCGTGAATTGGCAAGAAAACACCATGGAAGAGAAAGCACTTGCGTCAGACTACCAATATCAAAATCAGTATATTATATATGTATCACTGATGATCAGTATCATTAAGTGTGTTGTCATCATGATGTGTTGCGAGGGAAAACTACATCTAGAATCATCTGGATCATGTCCACCCACAGCGAGGTCCTCAAAGTACTTCAACAAAGGTTCATCACATTTCTGATGATCGCAGCCCCAAGAAAAAGTAATGAAAAGTAATATCCTCCCAGAATAGTGGTAATGTTCCGTTTCGTTCCGTTCTATCTTTCTTGGGGGACTTGCTATATAGTTGCCCTATGAAGCGTACTCATTGTTTTTGTTCAATGGAATATCCACCAGTTTAATCCATTTTACAGATGGTTTTCCCAGCTATAAACCAGCTATAAACCAGCTATAAACCAGCTATAAACCTCCATAAACCTGGTTTTCCCAGCTATAAACCTCCATAAACCTGGTTTTCCCAGCTATAAACCTCCATAAAGCTGCATTTTTTTCGGGGATGCTCCATTGCCACGTCACGATGATGGAGGGCAACCATCCCACCATCCCGACCAAGGATCAGATGTTGTACGAATTTGTCACCAGGCCGTCCCCGAAATCCGTTGTTTTTTTTTCAGTTGTTGAACCAACTTAAAGATGCTTGAAGCATATAGTTTCTTGTTTTTTTTGGGTGTGTATATGTTGTCACTGGCCATGATTGGTAACTAGAAGGGTTGGAATTTTCATCAAGAGCATATCTAAGTCGTCAAAGAACAAACGCTGGTGTTCTTAGATTGTTATATCACATGAAATTCCACAATTTACTGTTATTTGCAGATGTTTATAAGTTTATACTGCAGAGGTCATGAAGTAAGTCTATGACCCATCTAAGTAGAAGCAACAAGTCAGACATTGATGTGAACGGGGACAGACGTTGCATGCTACTAAATATTGATGATTAAGTTAGCAGTTATCAATAGTTCTCAGTGAACGGCCATGCAATGCTTCACAGGCGTGATGCCCTGTTCACATAATTGCATGATCGGACAATTTACCAGAGACTCATTAATTTTCAAGTGAATTAACCATGGTTCCTTAAGAGTTTGTTCATTGAACCATCCTTCGGAGATTTGCTTGGACTCCTTTTCGAAAGTTATGGCCCTGAAAAGTTTCAAGCAAGGAAGTCACCCCACAAATGGGAATGATAGCCCCATGGAAATCACCCAAGGATACCCCGGGCCATAACTGTAGAAGTCTTGTAGACATACCCCCAAAAAAAAAACAATGGATGCCTTCGGCCGTGTCCCAGGTATGTGGAAGAGAAAGGTGGCATCCTCGCTGGAAACACGGTGCCTTGCCGGGATCATCTGGAAGCAGAGTCATTCGTAGAATGGCCCTGAAAAATCATGGGAAAATGATGAGAAAATAATAAGAAAATTATGAAAATCATGTCAAAATCATGGGAAAATCATGGGAAAATCGTTGGAAAATGATGGGAAAATCATGGGAAATCATGGAAAAATCATGGGCAAATGATGAGAAAATGATGGGAAAATCATGGGAAATTCCGAAGATAATGGATAAATGGGATGAAAGAACTCCTACAACTAGTTGGTGATAAATATCATGAAATAAGCCAGGAACAGAGCTGGAAGGCTACAACTCGAAGATTTACTTGATACACCAACCCCGGACTCTGCCATGAGTTGGGGATTGGAAGGCAATTCTTTCCTCCAAAATTGGACTTTTCTCAGGATCTACGGTTACATGTAGAATAAGTAGGTTTATGGTAGTTATAACATGTTATAACCATAGTTAGATGGGGCTATAAACCAACAAACATCACGTTTGGGGGGCAGCCACGTTTGATGACACCAGATGTTCACACCACGTAGGCAACTGGCTGTGATATTGCCACTCTTAGATGCCAACAAAAATAAATAGAAGCGCCCGTTAGTAAACTGGTTGGTGGTTTCAACCCCTCTGAAAAATATGAAAGTCAGTTGGGATGATTATTCCCAATATATGGGAAAATAAGAAATGTTCCAAACCACCAACCAGTAAACATCTATCCCCATTTGAAAGCAACAAACAACTCAACTACCTGTCCAGGCTTGACGCCGTGAATCTCCATGTCCTACCTCAACAACAAGACGATTGTACAGGAGAATTCCCAAACTAAGTGAGTCGGTTTAGTTCGCTGGGGAAATCATCGAAGAAAGTGGTGAATATGTGGAGGGTATGATACAAGGTGATGCCCCCCAGTTACAGATTTATAAACCCATTAACTATACATTTACATCCTCCATAAACTGCCATAAACCCGAGTTAAGCAAGTTTTATGAATGCAATTCCAAACTTGATTCCTGGAGCTCCTACGACCCTCGGATCTCGATTTCCAGGGCAAATACGTAGATACTCTGGCGTTAAATTGATAGCAACTCAGTCAAAGCAAGAGTCTGATCTAGGATGACCTAGGTGTGTGTGTGTGTGAATTATGACTATGGACACAAACCTTGTGAACTGAGTTTTTTTTTCGTTTGGCCTGTTTCGATCAGTCTCATTTTGCAGTGGTTGAGACCTTCAACTGAGGTGCACATGGACAAGCGCTTTTTGGACAAATTCTGTTGCTCGGAAGACTTGTCGGTGGTTTGAAACATGCGAACATCTTATGTTCAACCCGAAGAGGGAAAGAGATCCGAACTGACGATCATTTTTTCAGGAGGGTTCCAACATGTTCCAACCGTTCCAACCACGGGAAAAGCTTCACATAGCTTCGCGGACTTGGCAGGTCCCACTGTCCGGCCAGGTCCGAAGTTTGTGAACTGCTTGCATTATCGCATCGTGGACGTGAGCACGGTGAAGGCCGGGCCATGGACGCCATGGAGTTGATGTGGATTGATTCGCAGTTCGCCGATGGTTTTCGTCCGCAGATTTCAATGATATGTTTAGGTGTTCTATATAGCACTGATATAAAGGCATTGGTTATTATAAAGGTTATGAAATTGCGAACTAGTTAACAGAAATGTTAGTCATAGTTCGGAAATTGAGAGTTACTTGTCAAATGTTATCAAGGAATTGGAAGGAAGATATTTCATCCAAAGTTGTTTCCACGTTCCGACCATCTTAGTATAGGGAGGATGAATCCTACCAGAGTGAAGCATGCCAATCTGGTTGGTGGTTTCAAAGATGAATTTTATGTTCCATTTCATATATATATATGGGATGTCATCCTTCCCATTGATATTTTCAGAGGGCTAGGTTGGTATACCACCAAGCAGCGGTTTTGATCCATCCCAAGATCCTGGAGATCAACCAAAAAGATGCTTAAGTCACCACCAACCAGCAATCATCTGATCATCTGAATGTTTGATTCTTACGATTCCTAGGGGTCCAGAGTCCAGGCAGCACAGATTGGTGCCGGTATTTTTTTTGTGTACCTTCGTTGATGTTCATGAAAATTTTCCCAGCGAAGCTAGAGAAAGTGTCGAGGATTTTCCAAGCCACGTTTCATTGCCAGAGGGTAGATGCATTAATATGCCATTAATATTCCCTAATATTCCATATATACCACTAATATTCCATTATATACATATTCCATCATCCATCAATATATTCCATGATAATATACGATTAGTTTTCCATTATATTCCCATTAAAATCCCAGTAACATCCCATGAAATCCCACTAAAATCCCAGGAAATTCCATTAAAATCCCATTGAAACCTCATATATAAAATCAAATCCCAGATCCTATGAAATCCTTATTATATCATCATTTTGTGCTGGTGCAATCTTGCTGGGTCGGAAAGATGACATGCCTTCGCAAAAAAGGAGCTCTGCCGACGCTGGTACCCGGAGCAGTTCAGTGCCTGGGGATCGTTAAGAGAACGACAGATGGGGAATCGGGAATTGAATATGGTGCAATGTGGGGCCCCCAAGATAGCTAAGTTGGTTTATAAATGTAGAATAAGTATAGGGTTTATGGTACTTATAAGTATAGTTAGATGGGGTTATAAACCAACATATAAATAGGGGTCCCACATTGTATATAAGGATGATATTGTAATTGTTATATGTATATATATATTATTATATTATATATATATGGAGGTTTCGATAAATGGGGGGGGTACCTCTAGATCATCCATTAATAGATGGTATATAAGGATGATGACTGAACTTAGATGAGGTTTATAAACTTATAGATTATGATAGCTAGGAAAAAATGCCTTACTTGGTTGTTAATCCCACTTAACAAGTGGGTTATAACCGTAGTTAGAAATGGGCTAAGTAGGATTAGACCACTTTGAATTGGGTTTATAACCCACTTGCTAAGTGGCATTGACTACCAAGTAAGGATGATTGGGATTTTAACCAAACGGTAGGATTTAAGTACATATTCACCTAATCATATATTCTAAATGGATTCAAATAAGTTCATACAAATAGTTAACCTTATAATTTGATGATATTGGGCATGTAAGGATTAGGTCAACTATTTGGACAAATAGTATGCACACTTTAGATCCATATCGAATTAGCCATAGTACCCATATATGAGGATTAGATAACTTGAGCAATTGGGGTTATGTGGATAATTTAAGGTACAATTTGACGATATATAAGCTCTACTAATCCAATAGTTTGAGAATATTCTGGATAAATTGATGATGATTGGGATACCAACATTTACCCATCAGTGGGAGGGCATGGATGGGAAAAAACGAGATGACCGAACTTTGCAGGTTGGTGAACGGTGAATCATTGATCCAGATCAGATACGGTTAGCCTCTGGTAACCATACAAAAAGCCATTGAACATGGTGATTTATAGTGGATTTACCCATTGAAAACGGTGATTTATAGTGGATTTACGGTTTGCTAGTGAAAATGTCCATAGAAATAGTTGATTTACCCAGCTCAAAAATGCTGATTCTCCATAATCAAACGTTTACCAGAGGCTGAATTCTATACTTGATGTATGCCTCAAAAGAATCCAGCCGTGGAGGGGAGTAGTGCTGGGCGATGAAAAAAAATGGGCCGGAGGAAGTACCGGGATCCATCCCATATGAATCGCAAGCAACTCATAGCTCTGGCGATATGAAGAATATGATATCTGGTTGGTGGTTTGGAACATTTTTTATTTTTCCATATATTGGGAATAATAATCCCAACTGGCTTTCGTATTTTTCAGAGGGGTTGAAACCACCAACCAGTTATGAAGATTTATTTATTTATCATATGGTGTTATATATAACTTCATTCCTCACAGCAAATTGGCGATATGAAGAATCATTCTGTTTGTTTTGATATGTCTATCATCGCCATTCTTTGCATATAGTCTAACTATGTCTAACCAGTTACCCTCTGGTAAACATACAAAAAACGAACTGGAAAGATCGACCATTTTCAATGGGTAAATCCACTATTTCTATGGCCATTTTCAATAGCAATGTAAGTTTACCAGAGGGTATATTCCATTAAGTGGATTATACTCCCATTAAAACCCATCAAATCCCAATTAAGCCTCATTAAATCCCTAACTAACCAACGATTTTCTCCAACGTCCACCTCGCCCCGTTGCGAAGCGAACAGGTCGTGCGCCCAAGAAGAAGGACCTGCACCGGGCTATGGACGACATCCGCGAGAGCCTGAAGGAGAAATCCAACGCCCATGATGCCCTCTGGTAAACATACAAAAAGCTATTGAAAATGATGTTTTATAGGGGATTTATCAATTAAAAATGGTGATTTTCCATAGTTTTCTGGCTGAATTTGATCATGAGCTCACTATGTGATGTCATTGGAATGGTCGTTAGCAAGATTAGGTAAGGGAAGTTATCCCAAATGGCCCTATGATAAGAGCTACCCCCTGGTTATGACTAACATAGCTATTGAAAATAGCCGATTTATAGTGGATTATACCCATTGAAAATGGTGGATCTTTCCATAGTTTTTTGTATGTTTACCAGAGGGTAGGCAGAAAGTATCGTGTTTGTAAGTTGCCAACTCTGATGATCTTCCACCCAATGGTTTGTAAGTTTGTACAGGCTTTGGCTTCTCATTTGGAGAAGGCGTGTTTTTTGTCCCTCATAAACCTAAATTGGAGGTACCTATCATATCTAATGCCTATATATTGTTTAGGGCAAAATTCCAGGGGATATACCCCCAGGTTTTACGGCTTGATATGGTACGTACAGCACCTTCATTGTTATAATACTCCGTTCTATGTTATAACATGTTATAACCCGATTTACGGAATTTTCATGAATTTTCTAATCGCATGTATGACCATTTGCTGGTATTTTCGGGGCCACTCTAGAAAAAACAATAGAAAAAAACACAACTCTGAGAATCATTGAGAATCCTATGATTTCAAGATGGTTTACAGTATTCCCATCATTTTATCCTATCATTTTATCAATGGGAATTTCAGGATCCTAAAATGAAGGTTCTGTACCATATAAGGCCATATTTTGTGGGGATATCCTTTAAGGTTTCTCTAGTTTTTTTCCTCTATTTCCACAAAATATGGCCTTATATGGTACAGTACCTTCATTTTAGGATCCTGAAATTCCCATTGATTTTATCCCATTTAGAGAAGGGAATTCCAAGTCCTGCCAGGAGTTGGCCTTCTACAAGGAGGCGGCTGAGTTTTTTTTTGGGTGGAGTTGAGGCCAGAAATGGATGATTCTCATGGAATTAAAACATGGGGTTATAGTGGTTTCATGGAATTTGAATGGAATTTGAATAGTTTTTTTTCTTATGTAAATTATGAATCTCTTCCCCGGTTACGAAACAGCCCCGCAGAAATTATGGATATCCATGGTAGATCATTGGGATGGGATTCTTGATGGTGATTTAGCCAGTTCCATCCACTGCTTTAAAACTGGTTGGTGGTTTGGAACATTCGTTATTTTCCATTTCATATATTGGGAATAATCATCCCAACTGACGAACTCATATTTTTCAGAGGGGTTGAAACAACCACCGACCAGAACATGATGGAAATAGAGGAAAAAAACTAGAGAAACCTTAAAGGATCCGATGGCCATCACCCATTGGTCTTGGGTGACCAACTGGTGATTTTTGTTGGCAGGAGAATTGGGTACCAACTTAGCAGTCGGACTCATGCCATGAGTCATGATTTGCCAAAGATACCCGGCCCGGTAAACATAGAAAAAGCGAACTGGAAAATGGCCCATAGAAATAGTTGATTTACCGAATAAAAATGGTGATTTTCCATGGTTATTATGTAAACGTTTACCAGAGGGTAATACCGGGTACAACTTGGACCTGCGGGTTTTCGGATGGAGGTTGCATCAGTTTGGATCAGATCCCTTCTGGTCCATCAAAACAAATGATATAAGGCCTGGAGACCCTTGGGGTTCGAAACAAAGGTGCCTCCCGTTGTGCCACCATTTCACTGGCAGGTAGAAAGTCAAACCTTGCGTTGCACGTTGCAAATGGATAGGTTGATCACGGTTGATCCAGCAAAAGCTGGAGGACATTCTGTGTATTCTCAAATATCTAGACACTGATTTTGTTCCGAAAGCCATGTTCAGAATCATGACTCTAAGTACTCCCTTCCCCCCCAAAATGAAACACCCCCCAGAAACCATAGTGGATGTAGGATTGCCCTCCAGTAAAGTAGCATAGCTATGGGAAAAAACAGCACAAAATTTCTAGCTCAGTTTGCAGCTCACCGGGAAACAAAAATGGTTGTTTTCCATATCGATGTTCTTCCTTATGTTACTTGATTTGCGAACAGATAATCGTTGCATGTTTAGTACTTGGAGATACTTGGAGGCTTGGAGGATCTTTCATGGGGATCATGAGGATTAACCAATGGATTTAGCCACTTTGTAACCCATATATGTATATAATATTTATAATATATATATATATATATATAATAATAATATATATATATACACATATATATATATCTAGTTGGTGGTTTGGAACATTTGTTTTCCATAATATATGGGATGTCATCCTTCCCACTGACTAATATTTTCAAGATGGTTAAAACCACCAACCAGATATGGATTATCTGGTATAATAACCTACAAAAATTAGGGACTTACTAACCAGGACCAGGCTGATTGACCAGTGATCGATATTTCCACCTGCTGAGGCCATCTTTCCGAAGTGATGAAAAAGCGGGTTGTGCTGACGAGTTGTGGAGAAAACAAAAAAACGTGTGGCCGCGTCATGGTTGGATGTGCATCCTTTTTAGTAACTTGTTTAAACAATATTACATATATATATATATTATGATAACAGTTATGGTGATATTCTTAAAACTTATTGTAGTTTATACTATATATGTGATGACAACCCAGCTAGACACAAGATGTACCCTGTTTAGTTCTGGTTTATTCTTGACTATTCAGGCCCTACTAACTAGGAGACACAAGGCCGGAGGAGGTGGAATCGGCCAAAGGGGGAGTGGTGCCCAAACCGGGGCACCTTAAGCTTATAAGACATGCAAAGAGCATACAGGAAGGGGTCCCCAAATGGCAAGTTGGTTTGTAAGTTGGCCAATTACGATTCTATAGTGGATATGATGCAAATATGTGTATACTGTATATATATATATATGATTATATGATTAAATGATTATATGATTATATGATTATATGATTGTATGATTATATATGTATGTATATACATGTATAGTGATGTATAGACAGGTATCATTCTATATCTAGTTCCAGTCATAAACCAACTGTGGGGGGCTTCCTTTGACGTCCTGTGCTGAACCCGACCTGCGCGTGTAAGGAATGGCTCTTGGACTGTCGAGCACGCGTGAATGTGCCGGAGGAGCAGGTGGGGATGATCGTGAAACGTGGCTTGGGTCAACCTTTAACTTCTGGTAAACATGCGTACAAAAAAACTATAGAAAATCACCATTTTGAATGGGAGAACTCGCTATAAATGTGCCATTTTAATAGCTATGTTAGTTTACCAGAGGGTAATCTGTTGCTATCAAGGGTAAAATGTACTAGCCAGCTTAAAAAAATAGTTTTCTTTTAAAGATATCTATGATTCACCATGTTATATACATGAACGTCCCATCAAACCCTTCATCTAGATCCGGAAACAACTTCAGTTTGAGTAGTTCCTATAAGGTGATTTTCAGGCTGAACTCAGCTGGCAGATGTTGGACGAGGAAAGCATTTCAAAGTGCTGATGGGTCGAGAGCTATGATACCCTTCGGTAATTTAACTTAGCTATTGAACATGTCCCTTTATAGTTGATTTACCTATATTATATATATATGGTGAATTCCCATAACTTTGTTAGTTTACCACAGGGCACCTTTTTTGGAGAGATGACGAACATCCATGACATCATTTGACATGTTGACTCTGAGCGCCACAGTATTCACCTGAGAGGGATTACAATTTTGGGGTATGTTTGGTCGACGATTGACCAATGTCTAGTACATTTGTTACTAACAAAGTTTAACCAACATGTCAAACGAAAGGTTGTCGTCATCCATTTGGATATGGAGCTTTCCTGAAATAAGGGTACCCCAAATGGTCTATTTATAGATGGATTTTCCATTATAAACCATCCAGCTATTGAGGTACCCCCATGACTTAGGAAACCTCCATATGTTCGCACCACCTTTTTGGCGGCCTCACACTCCAGTATTGGATCCTGAGAGGAGTCTACTTGATGACCCGAGCTACCTTCTATGGATAGTCCTTGTTCGGTATGGATAGTCCTCTGCTAAAATTGGTTAAGTCGGAAATCTTCCAGGAAAGCCTCCAAACAAAAGCTTGACGTAAAGAACAACAGCCCCAAAAAAAAACGTGTTGTATCCGGGGAAATCAACCATGGATTTCCTGTGGATTTTCCCTCAATTTCCCTGAGAGATCAATCCATGAAACCCTCCCTGGCAGGTGGGATTGCCTGGTGACAAGTATCGTGTGACTTTCAGGTGCGAGGACCCGGCTCCATTTTTTCGGAGGTTTCTTAAGGTACCCCAAATCATTCCGTCGCAGATGACCATGACTTATATGGCACATACAAGGTGGTGCCCCCTAGATAGCTAAGTTGGTTTATAACTCCAATAACTATGGTTTATAGGTGATATATCTATAGTTAATGGGATTATTAACCAACTTATAACTGGGGGGCACCACCTTGTATAGTATTGAAACCCATGGTTTTGAGCATCCCCCATTTTATGAGACCCCTATACCATGTGACCCCCTAGTCCTAAAGCAACTTTGCTAAGCAGGGCACCAACTTGTAGTATGCTCGGAATTTACATGGACATCCCCATTTGAGTCATTTAACATCTCCTTTTTGATATATATATAAACATATACATATATGACACAATATCAAAAGAAATGGAGACATGTCAAAACCTTTAATTGCCATGTTTGGGAACGGCAGAGGGATGAACATCCACGGCAGCTATCCCCCGCATTTCTCCATCACAGAATAGGGGATTTTGGTTGCACAAAAATGCCAAGCAGATAGGACTCCTCGTGTATGTGTCTTGTTTGTAAACCCCATGAAAACCGTATTTATGAGTATCATGAACCACACTTATTGATTATTCGAGTGATAGACCAAGTAAGCTACCTAGGGGGCCCCCCACTTTGTACTTATATCCTCCAACCCAACCGTTCACCAAGTGAAAGCCTTGCAGGTGGGACAAGCTGAAAGAGATCTCGTGGGAAAAGTTAGATGCTGAGAGGGCCGAGGTTTCCCAAGGTGCAGGGCTCGTTTTTGGAAAGTTTCGCCTGCATCTTGAGGAATATGTATAGACAATGCACATCAATGTACTCCTAGACCATCCGTTTGTATCCATAAAAAATGTGTTTTACACCAGAATTTTAGGACGTTTACCATGCTTGGGAGAAGTTGGAGGGTCTAGGCTGTACTCAATGTAGTGACTCTAGTCTAGCAAAAAAGTTAGTATTATTGTTATTCGATCTTCCTGATTGAGGTTGTTCATAGAAGACCTTGGTATACCTTAGATACCTTGATGATCAATATATATATATATATTATATATATACCTTGGTATACCATCAAGGCTGAACCATTGTCTTGATCAATAGATACCTTGGTATACCATTGGTTCAAGTAGTATGAGAAGTAGCACAATTCTCTTGTTCCATGGATTCCATGGTCCCCTGAGTCCTGTGGACTGTAAATTTGGGAGCCATGGTGGCCATGGTGGCGCTTCCAACCACCATGGTGTCACCCGAATTTTTCAGCCGCTACTTTGCTGAATCATGACCTGTGAATATTTTCATGCTGAGCCCAAAGTTACCGGGTCAACTCCGAAAGGGTTGGAAGTTGGTGGTACCATCCTGGTCCCCCATCAGCTACCAAGACATGCCCTGCAGATCATCCCAGGGGTTCGATATCGGATTGGGAAAGGTTTAGTGGCAGCTTTGAAGTGTTGATTCGAACATGAACCCAGGACATGTTTACAAAAAATACACACTTCAGTAACTTCAGTTGGTATTTTCTCGGAGTCAATGAAACGATCAAGCCGCGAGACTCGAATAATCACAACCTAGACCCTCCACAGCCTCCACGCACCAGAAAAAATGAGGTAATATATTACCATACAACGGTAACTAACCCGCACAACCAATTTGGGAACTTCAAGCAATTTCTGTGGGAAGACAAGGGTCGAAGATTGAACACATTGAGCCCAATATATTAACCTGTTGTTTAATTATCACAGATATGGAAGTTCCAGCATTTAAAGATCATGTTCTGAAGAAACCATTGGTTTGCCACATTTGTATACATTTGTTTGTTGGTTTACCCTTCCCCCTTGGTGATCGACATGACCCAACAAGCTGAAAAATTGTCGGCCCAAGCACCAAAAACCATGGGTCTCTTGAGACATCAGCATGACAGGCAAGTACTATCTCACTGGCCCTTTCAATGAGTGGAACTTGGTCGGTCCGTCCCAGCATGTCCCAGCGGCTCGTGAATTGGAGGGGCTGTTGCTGGGAGGATATGAGCCACGAACTCCACCTACAGCCATTTAACAACCACTGATGTCTGAGTCTGGGGTTAACATGGGTTAACATTATATACGTATACATGCATGCATGCATGCATGCATACATACATACATACATACATAAATACATGCATGCATGCATGCATGCATGCATGCATGCATACATACATACATACATACATATATACATACATACATCCATCCATCCATCCATGCATGCATACATACATACATACATAAATACATACATACATGCATGCATGCATACATACATACATATATACATACATACATCCATCCATCCATGCATGCATGCATACATGCATGCATACATACATACATAAATACATACATACATGCATACATACATACATCCATGCATGCATGCATACATACATAAATACATACATACATGCATGCATGCATGCATACATACATACATACATATATACATACATCCATCCATGCATGCATGCATACATGCATGCATACATACATACATAAATACATACATGCATGCATGCATACATACATACATACATATATACATACATACATCCATCCATCCATGCATGCATACATAAATACATACATGCATGCATACATACATACATCCATCCATCCATTGATGCATGCATGCATGCATGCATGCATGCATACATACACACACATTCATACATTCATTCAATCATTCATTCACTCATTCATTCATACATACATACATACAGACATACATTATTTATATATGCAGTATATACATAGTTTGTTGTGTTCTTTGATATCTTCGAATTTGCTTGGGCCATGATAAAACTGCATTTGATGTGTGATGCCAACAACCAGCAGAACTGGCGGAACCACCATGCCCGCTGTTTTGTACAAGTTTGTTTGTTTTGACTGATATTGAATTCAAAGATGTGTGCGCTCACTCCCTGTCAGTACATTGTGGAATCACAAATTTTGCCCGCACGTTTCGTGATGCGCCAGCGTCCAACCCCCAAAGATGTCACACTGGGACTCAATCGCAGGCGTGGGACGTTGAATTTCCTGCGTGCAAACCATGAGAGTTGGGCTGCTTATGGTATCCCATTTTGGAGCCATGGAGCACCCTGACGGGAAACCCCATAAAATCCCATGCCCCATCCAGGTGGAAATGCAGGTCGACACCACGGGTCCCAGAAGGACTGATGTTTGGAGGTGAAGGTTTTACTGCGACCGAGCCCTGGAATCATAGTTAGATATAGTTAGTAAGCGGAATCATTCCCGAATGCTTTTATTTCAGATTAGTGAAATATTGATCTGGTCGGTGGTTTCAAACATGTTTTTATTTTCCATAATATATGGGATAATCCTTCCCGTTGACTTTCATATTTTTCAAGATGGTTAAAACCACCAACCAGAATATTGGTTTACCCAGATGTTTGCAGACGACAGATGCCAGTTTTAGGAGTTCCACTTCTTCAACAGGCTGTTGCCTTTGCCATTGCCATAAATTCATATGGCAGTGTGTCAAAACCTTGTACCCCTGGTGAACATCAAAATAGCTGGTAAATGGATGTTCATCCCCCTAAAAATGGTATTAATAGGTATTGATCCATACCCATATGTCTGACTATGTCTCAGTAACTCACAATGCAGACATGAAGAGACTGTCTGGGATTGGAACAGGCATTTTGAAGGAGCTATCAAAAGGAGCCACGCACAAATCTCCAGGAACAACAAACATGTAAGGGACGGACATGGTTTTCAGAAATTGTAGAAACAAATAGCGATACCCCCTTTGAAGGTCATATCATACCTGCGCACATACCGTGTGGTAAGCGATGGGACCTTCCCAAATGTGCTGATATCCTTTTCATGAATCTTGAGTTTCCAAGATTGCTCAAATGACGAGAGATTAGCTGAACTCTGGAGAACATGAACTGAGCAAGTGAGTCCAGTATTGAGAAACAAGTTGTGTGCCTTTGGGTAGTATTTGCTTGTGTAGCTTTATGGAATATGTTTTTGCTTCTCTCTAAGCCGATCTATCTATTGTACGAAAAGTATCCAAAGTCGATATGCACATTTTCCACGTAGATGGTCTTGTCACTGCCGGTCTGAAAGTAACAATGAATTTCTAAAAACATGTTGTTCTTCATAAAAAATGTGACATGACTTTAGACTCTATAGACCCAGATCATGGATGTGAGAAATCTGTCCAAAGACCCTTCCAAGAAATCCTACAACCAGGCCGGGGACTCCCGAAAAGCCTGCCATCGCAGGAGGCGAAAAGGCTGGTTCAGCACTGAGGCCCGGGGTCCGGAGGGGTTCTGGAGGAGTCCAGGGGTAAATGTGTCATTTCACTTCTATATTTGCCCAAGTTACCCCCCTTGTAAATGGATGTTTTCTGGGGTGTTTGGAGCAAACCTGACTAATGAATCAAAGCTTCATAGACCTTGGAAGCTTGGGTGCTTTAAGACTTTTGAGTCTTTTGAGCCATATTTGCCTTCCATAAGAACGGTTACAGACCAGCCAAACAGCCCTTTTTTCGGACGCGCATCTCAGATACAGGAACCCAACTGACTGGACAAGGTCTTATGTAGTGTTGTAAATTCAATGATTAATGACAAGTATTGACCAGTACCGTGGACCCGATTTGTGTCAAGATTTATGACAAGCCCTCCTTAAATTTGTCATATTCATCGTGGTGCCTGATGAATCTCTTGTAATTCGTGCTTTTCCTTGTGAAGGTGACTGAAACTTATTGTAATTTCCCAAACGGGTTGATCTTAGCCAAATGAGAACAGGGTCTTTTTGCAGCATTTCTTGCAAATCCAAGTTGTGCTTCTCCAGGGAATTGCCTGTGTTTCTCTACTGGATCCAGAGTGATCCAGTCCCCGGTGTGTTGCCAGGATCCGCAAGATTCAACCTACCCTCCATTTGGTTCGTGGCTTTCCCAGCTAGAGACCTCCATTTAGTTGGATGACACCAAAGATAAACTGATGACAGTTATAGCCCATTGTTATCCCTTTATTCTCCGTATTAAACAAGATATAAGACATTATAAGACTATATTAGTGAAATTACCATTCATGTCATTGATCATTATCAATAATCATCATGATCACCATTAAGAACCATTCATCAACATTCGTTTTTGACCTTTACCTATATGGAGGTTTCCTAAAATGGAGGTACCCCTAAATCATCCATTTATAGATGGATTTCCCACGGTTTTCCATTATAAACCAACCAACTATTGGGGTACTCCCATTTATGGAAACCCCCATAAGTCTTTCATGTTCTCGTCCAACTTCAATGGACTATTTCGCCAGGTGCAAGTGTCAACATTGGCCATGGAGTTCTGCGTGGTGCGGAACGAGGCCGAGCGGCCTTTCGCACAGCACAGGGATGGTAAGTTTCATGATGAATGAAGCATGTTTTTTTTTTCACATCATGATGGTTAAAAGATAGAGATATTGATGGGATGGTTAAAAGTTCATAATTATATAATTAAAATAGTAGTATTAATTTATTAATAGATCATTATCATTTATGAATAATCAAAGATAGATCATGATTGTTCAATATGGTGTAATCATTGGTAGTAATCATTGTTAAAACATGATATATCATGGAACAAACATAAAGATAACATTTCCTATGTGTCATTAAACAATGATTGGTATAAATAGATGTTTAATGAATTATTGTTTCATAATCATAATGATGGCAAAACACATGAAACAGAAACAAGCCATTGTTAGCAATCATCGTTGTTGATGGGTTTAATCAGTCTTACGGATAGCCTGAGGGGTATCATCAAAGGTGGCCTTTTAATGCCACCATTGAGTTCGTTGATTGCATTATAGGGATGATTAAACATACGGATTTTGTCTCACTTGAAATGGCCACTAAGAAAAGACGCAAGATTTTGAGTCATCCTATCTTGACTCATTGGATATCATGGATATCATTCACAAAACTTCGAGGGTAAGAAATCCTCATTGGGTACTCCCCAAAATAAAGTGGCCATCGATGAAGATCACTGACCTGAGCTGAAAGAGCTTGGTGTCAGAAGGCCACCACCTTTGAATCCATTGCTGCCCCCCCTATATATATTATATATTATATACCCTCTGGTAAACAGCCACATAACTATGGAAAGATCCAAAGATCCACCATGCTATTAAGGGGTAAATCCACTATTTCGACTGGGCCATGTTTAATAGCTATGTTAGTCATTACCAGAGGGTATATATGGGTTTCGTGTTGCTCAAACTTTGATGGACTATGATGTTTAATTGGTTTATTATTTGTTGATACATTGATATGTGTTTATAGAAATGTCAGGATATTTGAGATTAGCTATATGATGCCCAGATGTTTCCAGCTAGCCATGTTAAATTACGAGAGTGTCAGCATCAAACAAGCTGTGGCAGAGACTGGATGGCCAACTTCGGCTAGTAATGCCCGTACGCTCCGGGTGTCATCGGACATGGCCAGTTGCATTGATGATTTGCTGTAATCGGAAAATCATCGAAGTAAACGGGTGGTGTTCCATAGAGACATGTTTACCAGGTAGTATGCTGCAACATTTTCAGAGTTGACTGGCCTAGTTGGGGAACTGACTACTGTGCCTAGAATCCTAGAATTCCAAGATTTTGAGGGTTCCTGGTCCTTCCATACCAATAGATAGTTCATGGAGAAATTGTACTGAACTAGTTGCTTTACTTGCCAACATGTACATATATTAATATTAACATGTTTAGCTGTTTGTATTGTTCCCTCCGCCATATTCATGTGCATATGGCTTCTGAACATGCGGCGTGCCTAAATCTTCTGGTTGCTATACCCCATGTTGAGACAATGGACAAACTCCCCCATCTTGGGCGTTCAATCCCTAAATATCAGAATCCCATTCATAAACCATATCCACTGGTGATTCTGGGGAAGGTATACGTACATATATATATAATTATATATATACATATATATATGTATACACATAATTATATAGTACATGGTGATTCTCCTCACCAATTTCCCTTCTTCGCTGGTCATTCTCGAAAAAAGCCACGAGGACTTCACACAGACCATCCATCCCGAGGCGGTCCGGTCGGGAGAGCCAGGGCCCAGAAATGTCTGATGAATCTGTTCATTTTGGGCTCAGGTAGTTGAGTATTGGGGATTGGAATTCATGACTAAAAACAAAAGAACACAGTTTTGTTCGGTTTGCAAAGAGGCCCCTAAAACGCACGTGTTTGCATCTTCCCACTTGGTGTATCTCGCTGTCCCGCTTTAAGAATGTGGCCAATTGAAATTTATCGTTGGCCCAGCGAAAGGATTCAGTAGGAACGCACCACAGATACGCAAATGATGTGAACTGAAAGGTTGCTCTCCTTGATACTCATCAGAAAAACCCAACCAATGGATGTCTTAAAGATGATTTTCTGGACTTAGAAGCTACGATTCTCTCGGTGCATGCAGGTCTATGATCTCGGTTCTGGACAGTGATAGTCGTTCATATCCTCATCATCTTCGTTGGGTCTTCTCCGCTATCCTTGTATCAGGGATGGCTAACATCCCATGTTCGTGTTTCAATAGTCCTAGTTCTCCAAAATATCCGATCAGAAGGTGATTTTTAGACCCCAGTTTAGACCAGATCCCAAAAAAAAGTCCCAGAAGGTGTTTGGAGCTGTAGGGATAGTCTTAAACATCACTCACCCTCTGGTAAACATACAAAAAGCTATTGAAAATGGCCCATTTATAGTTGATGTTCCCATTAAAAATGGTGGATCTTTCCATGACTATGTTAAATTACCAGAGGGCAATTCTTGGATTTTGCGATGCTAAAAGCGAGATGGTGGTCCGGTAGAAGACGGTGAAGGAGAGCATGGAGATGGCTTTTTCAGCCCCTATCACCAACTGCTGAAGGGAACCAACCTGGTGAGGCAATTTGGGCATGGAGATGGCAAAATGAAGCCAGGGGAGCCAACAGTTTGGCAATTTCTTCAGGAAGAGATCACTCGGGTCTCGCCCACAAGAATGACGCAGATCGTGCTTTGTCGTTGCTAAGGCACAACTTAGCACACACTTCAAACACCTTCCATTTCGTTTGGAGAGCTTTGAACGATATTGAAAAGTAGTTGAGCAGCCAGCGGTAAGATGTGGCAAAGTATTTAAGTAGAATTTATAGAGTAGTTAGCTTTAAACGACGGCGAACCCCCCACGAACTATCATACTGTAGCCTATTTGTATGAAGATAGCTAAAGATAACCTTAGCGGAATTACTTGGAGGATCATCCCACTTAATAACCGGTTAGCAACCCTGGCTATGTCCCCGAGGTGGGCTATCCTATGTATTCCATTGGGCTGCAACCCCACTTGCTAACCACTTACTAAGTGGGGTGAACCGTGAAGTACTGTACGTACTTGGATATGCATTCCAGTTACAAGGTGCTATATACCCCCACTGGTTGGTGGTTTGGACCATTCTTTATTTCCCATAATACATGGGATAATCCTTCCCATTTACTAATATTTTTCAAGATGGTTAAAACCACCAACCAGCCCAGTTTCTCGCTTTATAAACCTATCTATGTAGACACAGAGAGATGAACTAACGAAACTGAGCAGTAGGTACTCACCACAGTCATCGCCCTCAACAGTTATAGGATGAACTAACTTCTGTAGCTGGTGAAAAATATCATGAAATAAGCCTGCAACATAATCCCATGATTTTGTAATGTCGAGGTTTCCCAGCATAGGGGTACCCCCAAATCATCCATTTTAGTAGGACTTTCCATTCGAAACCATCCATTTGGGGGTACCCCCATTCCAGCAAACCCCCATGTCCCATCATGTTTCCAGCATTTTCCCATCTGTTACGGGCTATAACTGCAGGCTTTTTTTCGCTGTGGCCTCCTCAGGTCCTGCCAGGGCAAAAGGTGTCGCAACACTCGGCCATTTGCGGCCGGGAGAGCTCAGACATTGGTGAAAAATGAGGTGTTTTACCATCCAAATCACAATGTGAATGAGGATGTTAAATGATATTAATGGATCTCAATGGGTTTTCAATGGGATTTTAATGGGTTTTTAATGGCATTTTAATGAGATCTTAATGGGAGTTGGTGGAATTTGAATGGGGCGTTGAATGGGGTTCTTTGTTGAAAAATGGGCCTTCAAATCGGGTACCCAAGAAAACGCAATTTTAAGCAGGAAAATGATGATTGACCAGTTGGGCTATATACTTTCAGACGCGCCAAATAGGTACTCTCAAGAAAGGCAACATGGATACGCCACAACATGTTTGGTTTAAACATGTTTGAACCATCCAAAAATCGGGATTTGAGCAAAGAAGCATGGGCATGGGTTATATACCCCAAATGGAGTCTTCCGCAAAATGATGGTTTTTGCCATTTGCTGAAAAAAAAAGGTTTTGCAGCCAAAGGCTGGAAGGGAGCAGATTTTTGGGGGATAACCCCCTGTGGAACTGCTATCACACTTCAGTGTACCGGATTGCTCCGAAGACATGTCTCGATGGCAAGGAGGTTTGAAGAATACTACAAGGTGGTGCCCCTCCCCCGGAATTACCTTTGTTGGTGTAGAACCACCATCTTAACTAGTCCGATAGATCTGTAAACATCCAGAAACCCCATAGTTGACGCACTTGTAAACCCATTTTGCTAAGTAGGGGGAACCAAAGTGTTCTCTATAGAAAATTAGCTTTGATATGAAAAAACAACGTTGGCAGATCATTTTTGTAGGGAGTTCACATCGATTTATATATCTAAATCGTTTTACTAGCAGGCATCCAAGAAGAAAGCACTAGCTTCAAGTCTCATGTCCCTGTTGAATTGGCCATTCTGGCCGATTGGAGTGTACCTCATCGTTGAACAAACTCACATATTTGGGATGGCATTTGGGTGCAGATGTGAGGACGGGTAGAACCTACCAGAACGGTTGAATGAATCGGGAGTGGGATCAACACAATGAGCTATCATCGATGTATCCCCGATGTTGGAGGTTTATTGTTGGGTTTACATTGTGAATATCAGAAATACCAGCCCTTTGGGTTTTGACCCATACCATCCCATACCCATCATGGCGGGTTTGCAATAAGCAAAGCCGCCGGGTTGGCAGGCTGCACGAGCAAACAGCCAGGCATGAAATATATATATATACATATTACATATATATATATATATATACACACTATGTTTACTTCAGATCTTGGTTTCTGACTTATCATAGAAACAAATCCAACAAATGAACAAAAGCTCGAATGTGAATTTCATGGTTCCTTGTCATAGGAATTCCATATAACATGGAATCCTATAGAAGGACATTTCCGTATAAACAGTGGCAGCAAGTGCAGTCTGGTGACGTTGGACCCTTGGCCCATGGGCCGAACTATTCTATTGTTCAGAGTACCTTGACCATCGAACTTTTCATGGGCCAGGACTTCCATAGCTATGTAATAAACAACCAGAGAGTACATGTTTACAGGCTATAGGTACATTTTAAAAAATGAGTGTCAAGATACTTGATCAATTTTTGACAAGGCGTTATTGTTATATACATATAGTTATACCAAGGTTCCTTACTATACCAATTCAATATAACATGCAATGCCATAATAACACACTTCCATCAACATCAGTGGTAAGAAGTGTAATGATGTCACTTCAGAAACGATTTTCCGATAGCCTGTTGGGGATCATCGACTTAGGTCCTGACGATGGTGAGGGCACATGGAAGATCGAGGAGACAGCTAATTCGAGAGTTTTCGGGACCACCTTGAACATGTTGCTAACAATCATAGATGTCCTTTTCCCATTGGTTGGTTGATTAATAGAGGGGTTCGTTGATGATAGATGGTATACCAGCTCCCGGCCCCTCTATTTTTACCAAAAGGACATTATTGCTAACAATGTTGGTGTCCTACAGGTTCCTGGATGTGTTTCTTGGTAAGTTGAGATATTTTCGAAACCACTCAAGTGAAACGTTCCTGATGTTTCTTTTGAACAATGGAGCGGACTTATTCAACAACCATGGGGATTGTTGTATTTGTAAAGTTTGTTTTTTTTGTCACTGGTAAGAATGGTGATAAGACCAAGAGTAAGATGACTAAGATGAGTAAGGATTTAGGTCGTGCCATCTTTTTTCCGATTGATTTGCCTATTGTTTTCTATTTTAGATGGTAGGGCCGGCAGGTTTCAAACAAGAAAAAGGGTATACCGTGCAACTCAGGACACAGAACCCGCATCAAGAGGGGTGGTGGCAAGGTGAAACACAAAGTTACACTGGGGAGGTTTACCAACATTAGTTTTAAGATTACTATACACGTGAAATGTTATATAATGTTATATATATATAATATCATGTTGTATATACATATACATATGATTATATATACTTTTTTTGCATATATACATATATGTTGTGTTAGAAACAGTTTCAAATATACAAAGATAAATGTGTTATTTTAAATACATGGTGATTCACAAAAAATGTGTGTGTATTACGTTATTTGTATATTCATATCATATCATATATTTACATACATGTTAAATACATTTGATATATACATATTAAACGCATGTCTTACATATGTCACATATCAATGTAATATTTGTTACGCACAATTCAAATCATTATATATATATATAGAGAGAGATGATATATATATATATACACACACGTGCTATATGTGTTTGATATATGTTATATGTACATAAAATGGTTTGGAGGCTCACCGGCTTCCAGCGAGGACTTACCTGGAGCAGTCTACAAGATCTTCTTCTTCCGTGATCCGGAAGACTGTGTTGCTGGGCAAAAAATTGGCCAAGGAATGCTTTCAGGCCTTGAAAAGAGATATGAGGGTTTCCATAAATGGGGGTACCCCAATAGCTGAACATTGCAATTCCAGGAGGGAATGGGGAGGTTTCACGACTGCGTCTTTTTGGACAAACCCATGTGTCACATGCCATGTGTACTGGATTGGTCGAAGGAGATGTCTATATGGCTTGTTAAGGGGTAGTACGAAGTTGGTTTCCAACCCCTATTAACTGTATATATATATATATGTGTGTGTGCCAAGCATAAATCTTATTTAATCGACTTACAAGCCCAATTAGCTATCTACAGGCTATGGGGCACGACCTTGTAGGCTTCACTTTGGGTGAGGGGTCTGGACCGTCCCTTTGCCGAATTCCGGTCGAGTAAACCAGACTGGTGAATGCTGTGTGACAATGTGCCGTGGTTTAGCTACACATAGATATTGTATATATGTATATATACAATTATATAAATGCAATGTGGACTCTATACACAGTATGCATATATATAATACATATATATATATATTTATATCATGGATTGGACATCCCCTTGAAATCATATTTGCTAGTTTGTCTTGGCAGTTCAACACCCATTTTTGGGTGTGTCTGAAGATGGGTATACGCCCCAAATGGCAATCTTCTTTAGAAACATGATGATGAACCCGTGGATCTAGGACCATCAAGTATAACTTGATAAAACTAAAGAAATGCTCCATGTTACTCCCCACAGTTATGGTTCTTAACAGTTACAAATGGGACAATCCAAATTTAGAGTGTTTCCCCATCATTTTTCTCAGCCTTTGTTTATTTGTTAAGGGCTATAACTGCAGTTGGTTGCTTCAAAAAAAAAATGGTTCTTGGTGAAAACGCCCCAAGGAGGCGAGTTGCATGAGGATCGACTGGAAGAAGGCACCGGTCTGGCGAGCTGGAGATGTCGAACAAAGATGTGCCTTTTTCATGGGAAAAATCACTGGTTTTCAGTAGGATACCTGGGTGTTCGCTTCTGGTCAATTAAGTTTTTCCTATGGGAAACGGAACAGCTTTGATGAGGAACGCGTCAGTTTTCACGGTATTTTTAGTAGGGAAAAGGAGGTGTGTTAAACCATCAACTTTTCGGGGTGCCCCATTTGAGACAAACCAGACAACCCAACTGTAACCGAAAAAATGGCGCTAGGCCATTTGATCTGCGCAAACTCCTAGTTGGGGTCTTGTGGAGGCCTATTTGTCAGACCAACCATAAGGAAAAACCATGACGAAGCATGCGGTTCCCCGTGGCATATCTACCAGAAATCCTGGTTAAACTACTGAACTAAAGCAACTTCGCTAAGCATGGGCCATGACCTTTGTAATATGTTGTAATGAATAATGCTTTTGTAATATATGTATAGATCTAGAGATAGAAACTATATATGTAGTAGTACGTGCTTCACAGATAATCCTCCTTTTTTGGTCCCAAAATGGGTCAAGCGGCTGGGAGGCTGGGAAGTTTACGAACCGTCACTTGAGGCATTGGTACCCAAAAAATCAATTGGTTGATTACTAGAGGCATTTTAGTACCTACTAGTATTATGGTTAATGTGGGGTTCTAACTGCGGTTAATTTTAGCGCTTCTAACTCATATGAGTAAGAACCCGGCCAGATGTATAAATACCCTTTTTTTTCCAAAAAAGGTTCTAACTCTGAGTCCGTCAGTATACATAATTTACCCATGGAGTGCAATTACCCAAGAAACAGTGAAATTTTGTATGATGTTTTAGCCATAAACATTTTGGCACTAAAAAAACTTGAGAAGCAATATTACCAGTAGTACACCTGGAGAAAAACAGCCTGAGTAATATGGTATAATGTGGTAAACCCAGTAACAAGCCTACCATCTGGGGATTGTTTATACCACCCATTTATGGCTATGTTGGGGATGGTTCATTGGGTTTACCACTTGCCTTTATATTTCGATCCGTTGACGATTTTTCCACTAAAGATGTTCCAGCGTCAGGTGATTTTACCAGAGGTGTACCAACAAACCGCACTTCCAGGTGGAAGAAGTACCCAAAGCCCCGGCAACAGAAGCGGCGAAGAAAACCACCGAGTGAAGAGGTCGAATTGTTGAGTGACATTTTTTTAGTTAATGATTGTGAACAAGGGGGCTGTGAACCATGGTATGATGGTCAACATTTTGGGTTGTTTTCCAGGATATTTACCCGGCCGCTAGGTAGGATCAGCCACAATCCTGGATTTCAATGTGTATCTCCATTTTACGTTGCTTCGATGTAGATCATAACTTCAGCGAATAAGGGATTTTCAGGCTTTAGTTTTCGGGCCATAAATCACATGAGGACAAGTATTAGTGATCGTATACTTGATCCCTGTTATCTATAGGGTATTGGTTTTTAACCGTAGGCCACTTGATCACTTTGGGAGTACAGGATCCATTTGTTTTGAACATCGTTGCGTCTTTAGGCTGTAATGCGGGAAACCCAACGCCATAAACCCACCATTTGGGGATAGTTTTTACAATGCATTTACGGTTAATTGTATACCCTCTGGTAAATAAACATAGACCCTGAAAATCACCCATTTTTAATGGAAACTAATCTTTCAACCCCTATCTGCCAGGGTCTATGTTAATTTACTGTAGGGTAATATTTACTATTGGGTTTGCCACATTAATTCCAATGAAAGAGAAGCACCAACGACTCAAATCCACACGGTTTGGTCCTCAACATGGTTCCAGATTGGCATAACCCCCGGAAGTTGAGATATACCCTCTGGTAATTTAACATAGCTATGGAAAATCACCATTTTTAGTTGATTTTCCCATTGAAAATGGTGATTTTGCATAGTTATGTTAGTTTACCAGAGGGTAACATGATATAGATGTATAGCCCCTAGAGTTGTGGCCACTGACCTACTTCCTAAGTGGAACTGCACCCTTGAGCAAAGCCAGATGTGACTAAAAGATAACGTAAGACAGCAATGTGAGGAAATATGTGTTCTGATATGATTGCAAAATATACACCGATAATACATGTCAATGACTTTATTCTATAATATTCTATATCTATTTGACAATAGATCCGTAGAACATCTCCTGGGAGTCTGACGATCACGGAAGATGAAGTTAAGATGTTCCTCCCACAGAAGCAGGTGGCTGCCTGAAAAAGGCGACGGACATGAGGTGATTTGAAGGCTAGATCTGCGAAGTGTTTTCCCTCTTCCAGATTCTTCCGGTTCATTCGGTCTGAGAAAGTTAGTTGTGATACTCCAGGACAACTGTCCATGACATTGTCACACTCCTGATGTAGCCAGGAATTAGGTATTAACTGACTGATATCATGACACACTCATATAAATTGGTTGGTATCCTATCTGCCATCATGATCCCAAATCCCACTGACTACTGATCTTTTTGGTGGGTTGAAACCACCAACCAGGAATTATGATCTGTCGTTGGGTGAAGCTTTGGTAGATCTAGACTGATGGCAGTGAGCAGGTCATAGTAAGGGAAAGAAGTCAAACCATATAACCATGATAGCACACGCATTTCTGTAGTTCCGCTGCTACATTGAATTACACCGGAACATGTTTTCAGTTTGGGAAGCTGATCAGTTTCCAGAAAATGATCCATTCGTAGGTAGGAACACCGGCTTCTTTTTGGTCTCCAATTTTGAGACATTCCCATAGAACAATCATATTTCAGCTGGGGTTACCCAGAAAAAGTATAAAGCAGTAATAAATGTCTAACAAATGGTATCGTATCGCCCCTATTAGTACACTGGGGGTCTGGTATTCTAATGTTATCATGATTTGATAGTTTGGAAGATGTATAGCTGATTTTCCCATCAAAACTTCATGTCTAGCTGATTTTCCAATTAAAGCTTCCACGTATAGATGATGTTCCCAGTAAAACCTCCATTTATAGCTGATTTTCCCATTATGTAAAACCTCCATGTATGGATTGGATAAATTGCCTTTCTCAAACCGCCCAAAAACTGGCGAACCGAAGTGAGCGGGCCGCCCACCGGCGTGCGCACCCCATGTCTCACTCACATGTGACATGAGTTCAGGGTGCGCACAGACCGACAGAGCATCAGAAAAAAAACGACAAGTCAGTGGCGTTTTTGGTGAATTGATGAGTTGTACCTGGTTTACAAACCGATTGAATCCGCTTGTCTATGGAAATCGATGCATGGATACATCCCACAAAAATATTCCAACTGCGTTGGTCTTGTCTTCTTTTGGGTAATTCATAGTAATTAACTTCATAGCCACCATACTGTAGTTTCTGGCTGAATTTGGACATGTAAAAGAACATGAGGTCCAAAATAACATTGGGAATTGGGTTCAAGACCGATGATCCTGTTTTTTTTGGAATGAACATCCATGGATTCCATCTATTGAAATTTGAACAGAAGGGTGCCCACTTTAGCGTACAAGGGTTTTGATCCATAGTCATAGAATCATATATATATATACTTAGATGATTCATTGAAATTTCATAAAAATCCTTAAAAAGTAGTTTCAATAGGAATGTCCGGAATGTCCTTTCAAGAAACGGGGATGGCTACATTCAAAAATACGTCCCAGTTCATATTGCAGACATTTTTTCATGCCATTCCAAATGTTGGACCGGTTGATCCTGGATTTGGAGCAATGGGACTGGCAGTGACTGGATCAATTGGACTCTACGGAGAGTTTCTGGGAAAATTTCTCGCTTGGAAAATGGGCTCGGATGAATGACCCATACCCAGATGCTCCATGGTGCTGGTAGATTTACCATGATTTACCGTTATTGTACCTACAAAACTGGGTCATTATTAGGGCAAATGTTGGTAAATATGTCATACATGGAGCATATGGGATAAACAAAAATGAATTGCTATTGCTATCTTCGTCCAACGTATATCCTTGGTTTTTTTGTGCCAAGAATGGTGGGCTTAACAAGTCGGAGCCCGAGCCTTGTGACGGACTCCCAAATCTGTAGCTTTAGGTTTGCTGTACCCTCTGGTTATTTAACATAGCCATGGAAAATGGCCCATTTATAGATGGTCTACCTATTAAACATTTAAAATGGTGATTTTCCATGGCTATGTTAAATAACCAGAGTGTAACGTCTATCTACGAGAGATATCTCCGGCAAGTTTCTTGTTGAGTTTCGTTCTCAGCAGTTCATTTCTCGGATTGCTGTCTCTTTGTCCACCTAGCCTACCATTCCGCTTAGGAAGTGGACAAACTAAAAAAGTGTCTAGTGATATCTTGCTGAATTTAAACATCTATAAACGTTATCTACAGTTTATGACAAGGATTTTTCATTGCGCATCATTGCGCTATTTTTCAAGTCGAATTCCATGCACATCCAGCAGGACTATTCCACCTATCGCAATGCCAAGCTCTACATGTTTGCACCATCGCCCTCAGCGTTCCCTGGTGGGACAGCTTTCGGATCACCGAACAAAAAACCAGCCGCGCATGGCTGGGTTTTTACAGTTTTATGGCCATGGCGAATGTAGTTAGAAACTGGTGATTTCTATGGGATTCAAAACACATTCTACAGTAAATGTTGGGTTTGGTTAGTACCCACATAACATCTTAGAACTGCTATAACTCGGGCCATAACTGCGGCTATAGGATCATCCACATCCACTGAGTAGAGTGGGTGAATGGGTTGATCCCGGTTGATCCAGCACGTGCGGAAATGAAGACACCATATTCACATCATGTGGGTAAAACAACAATAAACCATCCCCCAGTCATCACCATTTTTATAGGTGGTATGGTTACCATTACCAAATGGGTGGTTTATGATTGTTTTACCATCATTACTATGAAAGGGAAAAAAGGGGACCATCTATTTCAATTTCATATTACTCCTCTGAAAAAAGCAAATGAACCCACGACATTCACATTGGATAAGCACTGTGTGTTCCTTCCCTTTGGCGGAGATCACCGTGGGGGATTCCTGGTGTTCTCCCCAAGGACTCCGCAGATTGGGCATATGGATACACCTTCTGCTGGGGAGCCTGGAAGAGTGAAGTGGAGCAGCTCGTTTTTGCTGTCGGAAAGAATATGCATATGTAGCTCCACAGAATGTATATATATATATATATATATATATACAGTTGAAATATATCAACCCCTGAGCCCCACCATGTATAGCATATGCAGGTAGGTCTAGTGTAGGCATTCCGTAGCTATGATTCCAATACATCCCAAGTAGATATACCCGAATGTATGTACAGTATGCACCACATGTATAGAAGCGTTATACATGTAGAGTAGCCATAGTGAGAAGTAGATGTAACCCTAACCCATGCTGTGGACACATGGCTCAAGTGCCCCTCGGAACAAAAGAGGGGCGTGGTATGGTAACAGGGTTATTGGAGGATTGGATTACTTGTTTCGGGGTGTCCAGTTTTTCCCCATGTTTGTCTTTTGTATATATAATATACACTGTATGTAGATTGTATATACACGCAATTACATGATTTTAGTTTATAATAAAAATTACATATATGCAATGAATATATATATATATATATATATATATGTATATGTATATACACATTTGTACACATGGATCCCATATGTTGTCTCAGAAACTCACTAACCTAGCTGTCACTTGCCGGGAAAACGATGCGAACAGCATGGCCCCCTGTAGAGTTTTATGCAAGGGTTGGATGTTACGAACATGTATGTTAATGGATGTAACATTACAAAGAGGTGCTGAATATCACCTATCAATTATATAATAGAGAAACTGTCTCTAGGTCAAGGTTTCAGGTATGCTTGATGATGTCATTGGATTTTCAATTTCAAGGGAGTAAGATGACATAATCAGTTCATGAACAGGGAATGCAAGATTATGCAAGATCGTCCTGTTGTCAGCTTGTAAAGCACCAGATTCCGGAAGGCCCGAAGACCCACATCACAGAAACCACTTTGTGTAAAATGAGGTCAGGAGTGCCTTCCTGTCACATAAGACTATATGAGAAACTGTAAGATACGTATAGATACATCAATGTGTACGTTTTCATGATTGTTCATCACATAATCAGTCTTATGCAATTCATCTCGGAAAAACATAGTATTCCAG